CACCGAGTTCTTTTCAAACCGCGACTTCCAGCGGTAACTACACGGCGGTTTCGTTAGAGCATACCGCGGTCATTATCAAAAAACCGCGTCTAACAGTGGTATCTACTTAAATATTTTTCCGTGGGCAGATTGATTTATCTTTTCGTTAAGAGATAGATTGATTTGTTTTTGAATTGAGTTTGAACTAGTCCAAACTCGGATCTTAGAATGGCCTACGACATATATGAATATATAGTTTGACTATGGGAATTCTCGACAAGGATGATTTAGACATCAGGCTGGAGTGTCTCTTCAAATTACGCGATTTGAACCGTGATGTTAGAAAAAGAAAATGCTGCAAGTGCCAAGAACTTAAGAAGTGGTCGAGAGTAACTCCAGGGCGGTAAAAAAACACCAGTCCAATTTAGTGCGTAGAAGAGATAAATGAATGTATTGTATTATTAATCATAATCTTGTAGATTCCATGTTGGTGTTACAAGGAAATACAAATTGTAGATAGTCACAATCGTTTTTATTTTTTATCACGGATTTCTTGAACCTCTTGTTTCCATACTTGATTTTCATTACGTGATTTTATTATGACTCGGCACAATATCAGTTTACAAATGATAAGGTAATCAGTCATAGGAAGTATGAAAAGGTGCAATAAAATAAGTTATCTTCGAATCGATATGATATTGGGTTTACATTAGCACAAAACATGGGTTTATTTTCATTGTCTATGATATGATGAAGCCTATACTACGGAATACATCGATACAATTAATGACACATTATTATTCCTTTAATTTCTTGTATCACATCTTATAAATAATATATTTTACAATGATACACTGTTCGGCATTGAAAATCGGCATGCTCTCTCGTTTACATCAATATCATATACTTTTTCTTGATTCTTGTTGATCAATGTTATCTAAGGTTGACAAATTATTCAAATGGTCACTCAGATGAATAGGACACGCAAACTCTACTAATATGTATTGATTTCTGCTGCTGATGATGATATCGCTTTAGTCTTTGTATTTTCAGATTAATTGAGTGGTATTCATTCCGAAGAAAAATTCATTTCTTATCCAATAAATATCTAAAATATAAATCATAAAAATCTAGTATCTTCCTTATATAAGGTTACGAGGGAATTTTACTATAATTTGTCGATCTTTTTTCATGAAAAAAAAGAACACTATGATTGTAGCTTGCTTACATTTCATGTCATAAGTAGCAATACTTTTCTAAATGAGCTTTTATGAATCAAATTTCATATTGAATTATGTAAATGTGTTATTGGATGAAATATAACAAAAAATATTTTCGAAAATGGAAGAGTAAGTTTACAACAGGAGTGGCTGAGAATTCGTTTTTAATACCATGATAGGATGAATTCTATGTATTGTTACAAAATCTCGCGCTGTAGCCATTCTTTTTTATTTTACCTAGAACACATAAATATGCTAAATGTAAGGAAATAGATATACATCGATCTATATCCCTGCTTTATTCAAGTAGTTATTAATTAAAATCGCTTTCATTTCGCTAACTATATATTCCAATTTCCCATTTATTTCAAATCCAAAGTGAAACACAGACGAAGAAGTTTATTTACTATTATCCGTCCCAGAAGTCAAGGCAGTCGGTTGGTTTTTTAATAACGTTTGATAGGAACACGATAGAGACCTGCGGGTTTCACTGTTTGATAGCCAAGACCCAGGCGCATATTTCCACAAGCAAAATATTTTCTAAGAAACAATTTGAAGACCAATTTTTCAGAGGATCGCTGAAAAATCACTCAGGATTTCTGGTAACTGTTATAGAAGTCTATAGATTTTCTTACACATTCGGAATCAGCATTAAAAACTGAGCCGACCAAGATATATTTTGAATCCTTCACGAACTTTTGTTTTCGTCGAGAAATTCGCTCCTGTGGTCTCGCTCAGGGGCCGGTCAAAAAGTGAACTCCAGAAAAATCCCATTTGAACAGTAGGAAGCAGGTTCCAAGTTTGCAGAATGCTGTTAGAAACCAAAATGGTAAATGAATAAACAACAAAAACAGCATTTTTCTGGAGTTCACTTTTGATCGGCCCCTGAGCGAGACCACAGGAGCGAACTTCTCGACGAAAACAAAAGTTCGTAAAAGATTCAAAATATGTATTGGTCGGCTCAGTTTTTAATGCTGAATCCGAATGTGTATGAAAATCTGTAGACTTCTATAACAGTTACCAGAAATCCGGAGTGGTTTTTCAGTGATCCTCTGGAAAATTGGTCTTTACCTTTTTCCTTAGAAAATATTTTGCTTGTGGAAATATGTGTCTGGGTCTTTGCTATCAAACAGTGAAAACCGCAGGTCTCTATCTTGTTCCTATCAAACGTTATTCAAAAAACAACCGATATTTTCTATATTTTTCAAACTAATCCTATAATAGGCTATATTTTGAGCTTCTTCACTATACGTGGTGTATTCAGATTTCCGAAAAAGTAAATTTCTATCTCACTATTAAAAGATATACAAGAGTGCCAACAGAAATTTTCGTAATTATCTTTACACGCGAAAGAAAATTATAAGAAAATACCATACTTTCAAATACCTCCCAACAATCTTTCCTGCAAATTTCGAAAATCAGTTTCACATACGCATCGAAATTTCCCGTCAATTTTGGAAATAATTAATAATATGAAAGCAAATTAGAATCCACAGAAAATATTGATTCTCGAGTAATTTCGCTCATCACCTAGAAACTAGGGAAATTACGGAAATTTCTATATCCATATCATATAGTGTGATGGATTCACCTGTTATACACTCATCGCTGAGAGCAGTGCCTCTCTTTGCCATTGTTCTCTTTCGCGCACTCATATAAATACCCTTGTTCAACTGTTGTTCATCAGCCATTCTTGACTCAATCTTCTTCTCCTATCATTTTCGTCCCTTTTTCGTTGTAATCCTTCCATAATATATGAAAAAATAAACCACAAGTAACTCAAAACCGTTACACTATGTTCAATGAAAGTATTCTCGCATTGAATTTGGACCTAACGATGAGATTAATATACATGTATATAGTACGATTACTGTATATGTAGGAGACTATGAGTGTGAACTTTGATAAAAGAATAATATTGTAGAAATGAGAATTTCGATAGCATTCTATAGTTACAAATTGTTAGATTATGTTTAACAGGTCTGTATTGATTCATGAGGTTAGTGCGATGAGAAAATATGACGGAATCAGGAAACCAATTGTCTGATCATTCATGTAGTGGTTGTGTGCATGAATGGTTTCTTTAGAAGAAAGCCAAGTGAATTCTTCAGGTCGATGATAGTCATTCATTTAAAACAATTCGACAGAAGCCTTTAAATATGTTTCTATAGGACTGAAAATAACTTGTCTGACTTTTCAGGCTACAGATACAATGTTCTACATAAAAATATAATCCATACAGTAATTCATTCTTACATAAATTTATATAAATCAAAAACAAAAATAAAACTATCAATAAAATATACATCATTAAGCATCATTCATTTTCTCTTTTGAAATGAAAATATAGAATAACACGGATTAATTCAGAGAATAAACTAAAACTTTGAAATCAATAAAACATCCTTTTTTGAAAAACCTAAAACAGGTATTATTTCTTTTTTGTCCAATCTGATTTATACTTTCGTGATGAATAATATTCATAAGCAGCTCGATTACATATTGGTAACCATTCACTGGCTTGATCTTCAACAGCCTGAAAAAAAACATACTAAAATCTTCTAAATATTATTTTCTCATTTACTTGAAGATAAACATATGCATCAGTACCATATCCATCGATGGAATGAATTTGCATATCGCCATTAAAATAGCGAGCGTAGAGTCGACTCTATATATATATGTATATATCACACATCATCATTTTATTTCAATCGATATTACAGGGTAAACATACTATTGGAAGGCCATAACCAAAGCCAGCTAGCGGAATAGGACCCGAATGTTGAGAATCAGTTAATGATACAGGCCTTGGCGCAGTCGAATACATATATCTGAAGATTTTATCAGCTTTTGAACGTGGAATTCCACCTCCACGATCACTAGAAATATATCATTATCGTTTAAGAAATAAATCCATGATTATCTTTACCTAATATGAATAGTTAGATCTTCTTTTGCTTTGACAATATTAACCTAGAATCAAGAAACAAAATCAATTGATTCAAGTCACTGAAGAAAAAAAACAATAAAACGAACTGTGATTGGAGGTAGTTTATTGCTTGATTTTTGACTTTCTGCATATTCAACAGTTGCACGCATAGCATTCTAAAATAAATATAATTTTATCAATATTACTTCATATTCATTCTTACTTTGAATAATTCAAACATAATATGATAGAGATGTGATGGAACATAAGCTATGGAAATTAGTTCATCGGGATTCGTCGCTAAAAAAGAGCATTAAACAAATCTCAATTCAAACAATCAAAAATGAATCATTACTACCGTTAATAGTACGAAGTCTCAATGAAGGAGCTACCAAATAATAACCTTCACATAAAAATTGAGCATTTTCAAATGCGTCTAAAATATCAAAAACAAATCTTTCAATTCATACTTAGTAACTTTTTTCAAATAGTACCTTTAACTGTATCTTCTAGAAAACAGTTAGGATCAACAAAACCAAGATGCGAAGGATGTTCAGGTACTTCTTCGCCAAAACACATAGCTAAAAGAAAAACAGTTTAAGAGACATTATTTGAAACAAATTTTGATTTCAGACAGATAAACTTATTAAAAATTTTAGTTAAACATGCAAAGCGCCTAATCATTTTTACGTGTGAGTTAGTCTTAAATGAGTACTCGTACATGATCGAACCTAATTACCGTGAATATTTAATTTCGTTGTTTTTTTCTGAAAACTATCCGTTGAAAATTCAACGCTATAGTGTCTGCAAGTTTAGATCTAATCTAAATATTGAATTAAACTAAATTCTTACTATGTTGATACATGAGTAATCGTATTGATATTCGTGATAAATAAAATCGATTAAGGAAATATTGTATCTGTGATTCTTCATATTCTTTCACTTTTCCAGAATCGGAAAATTCCATATAACCCTAAAATAAAATAATCTTCTTCTTACGAAAAAAAAAGGAACAAGGAAAGTATGTAATAAATTACTTGTGCTAAGGTTTCAACAACCGATTTGTGCCGTCTTCGTATATTTTGTAACGTTTCAGTAAATCTATATAAGATGAAACGTAAATCGGTTTTCAGTTTTACTTTCTAGTTACTTTTTAATAATTTCACCGGTTGGTTTCAAATTCTTAAAAGAATGTAATTCAAATAAACTTGTACCATACCATCCATTTACTGTTTTAACACTTGGCATTTTAAGAAGACGTGGTGGTAAATGTCCCATTTCTTTCATCATCGAAGCAAGTCGTACTGGTAATTCATTGCGAAGAAATAAAAATGACTGTTGAGCATCACCTTCACGTGCTACAAATAGTAAAATTAAATATTAGCTAAAATTCAATAAATTGATTAAAATAATCTACCAAATTCTACTATTCTTTTCATTGTTAATCCAGTTGGCGGATATTGAGCATAATGATCGACAATATGCGCCAATGATTGATGTTGAGAACGTAAAAAACGAGTCACATGCATGATTCGCTTTTTTCTTTTTATTGATTATGAAACATCAAAAATAATTTTAGTTCTGCTATATAGATTACTTCAGTTATTCACATACTATCTAAAAATTATTCGGTAGTCAATACATCTAAGTTAAAGCACTATTTTATATAGAAAAAATATGTCAAATATATAATAATTCGGGAAAAGAAAATCTTCGTAAGTCTATGTCCAATCAGAACCTTTTTTTGTTGTATACGAATATCGCATTTTGCTAGATATGGGTAAATGTTCGCTAGAAAATAAAATATATAAAATTTCCATCGATTTCTCTTGAATCATAGAATAGTTTACCTAGCATTTGCAGGTTCCGCCTAGAAAAGAAAAGAGAATCAATATGAAAATGTAATCCCATATCGATTTAATTACTTTGATTGAAACATATGCCCAAGTGCCCATACCTTCAACAGATGCTAGAGATAGATTTCCTTGAAAATATTTTGCATAGAGACGAGCTATCGGTAAACCATAACCAAAGCCAGCGATGGGCGTTCCTTTCGCGACATTATTGGAATCAGTTTGTGGCTTTGGTGCAGTTGAATACATATAATGAAATAGTTGTGATAATTTTGAACGTGGTACACCACCTTTACAACAACAAAAAACTATTAAATATGATATTTATCTATGAAAAACATTTCGGATCAAAACTTTATGATTCATTTTTTTCCTGCTAACTATAATATTCGAAATAAGCAAACTAGTGAACTAGATATAGATCATTTAAGATAAAGTATATCGATGAACAGATCACTGCAATCTTATGGACATTTTTCATACAGTAAGAATTTCATAAAAAAATTTAATAAAATTCTTATTAGAAATAAATTCTTTTCCTACTTCCTATTAACCTGAATGATTGTGAGACTTCTTTTGTTTTATTCAACTTATGCTCTTAAAATTTTCGAAGAAACTTACCACCACGATCAGCTATTGCTATTGTTACATCTTCATGGCCTTTGACAATATGAACACGTACAGGTGGATATTCTTTTGCATCTAAACCATAGCGTTCAACAGTTGCACGAAGTGAATTCTGTTTTGTAAAAAAAAACTTGAAAGTTTAAAATTTAGGGATAAAAGGAAACACTCACTTTCAATAGTTCAAATGCAATGTGATAAAGATGCGCTGGAATATAGACAATAGTGACATGACTGTTTTCGTTATCACATTCTGTGTATCAAAGAGAGAATTTTCGATTTAGTTTTTTTTGTATTTTTCAATAGAATATCTTTACCATTGTGAGATGTGATTTCAAGGGCAGGAATCCGATATGATGCTCGTTCGAATAAATGTTTTGCCGTAGCATATGCGTCTATAGATATACATTCAGGTGAAGGTTATAAAGATAAGTAATCGATCGAAAGTAAATATTTTTTTCATTCTCTTAGAGTTGTTTTTTAAAAAATAACAAAAGAAAAAAATAGATGTGTTTTTCTTCTATATTTGAGTACATATTGTTTTGAATCAAATGAAAATAGCACGGTTAAGATTAGTTTTTTTTTTGAGTATCATCATCAGGAAACTAGAGAATAAAAGTTCTGTATCCTTTCTTAAAACAGTTCTATGGAATAACTCATGCTATATTTTAAAAGTAAGCTGACAGTTAGATTGGCAGCAACTGAAAGCTACTGAAAATATTTAATTTTTATATATTTTGTTCTAAAAAACGCTTAAAACATGAAAAAAAAAATGACGTCGAAAATATTCTAATCGAAAAATAGATTAACACATCCCAACTGAATGATTATGTTCATGGAACCTATTTTTCAAAATCTGACATCTATTTAGTAGTGTAATCATGAAAATGGATTATATTGACTGACAACACCTGTAGTGGTCTTCAAGCGAGAAATATCAAATAAATAAATCATATATCCACTTCGTAAGTCAAATCTTATATATTCTAATATTTTATTGTCCTTCAAATTTTGTAAACAGAGACAAATGTTATAAGTTACTCAGAAAAATATGATGATGATGAAGAAATTTTCTAGATTTTTTGTAATTTTCAGAAAATTGGCATGAGACGCTTTAATATATGCATCAATGAGCTCATTGAAAAGGTCGTAATTAAGTTTCTTGACATATGGATAGATCCGACATCTCGCATTACATAGATAGCCAGAGAACTACTAGATCTAAATATCAATATGATATGGATATTGAATTAAGAAAGGAACGATACTCTTGAGTTTTTTAGTTCTATGGGCCAGCGAATATTTATAGAGAGTTTCACTGATACTAAGACACGCACATACGAAAATTACTTTTAAAAACATTGTCATCAAAACAAGATGATGTGTACCCATGTTGCGAATACCGGATCAATTTTTGCGGTAACCCGCGGTATTTATCCGTTCTGCGGTAATGGTAGCCTGTAACCGGACCGGTAAAACCGCGGTAAACCGGCGGTTTTTTGCGCATGTTTATCACATGGGTAAATATCCATCAACATATGTAGTAATATTCAACATTTATGTACTTTGACCCGATTACAATGAACTTATGGTTCACATTTTAATTGACTTACGGAAAGAAAAACTCTTCGAAATTATATGAGTTGCAGCCAATACCACTGGAGATTTTGCTTACTTAATGTTGTTTTTATGGGTACGATGAAAAAGCAAAAAACCACTGACAAAATAATCAGTTTTATACGTACTCAGAGATAAAGTACGATGAAAATAACGAGTATTTGAAGTTTTGTTTTTCTCTGTGATATGAAAAGAAAAAGAATGTAATATTCGATTACAGTCGATTCACAGGTGCCGTACTATTCTTTTTTTGGCCTTTAAATTATTATCACTTAATAAAAATTATATTGCGATGAGAAATATTTCAAAGTTCGCCTTATTTAAATATACAGAATAAACACTGATGATCAAATGTGATAGATACAAGATACAAACAAAAATTTACCTTGAACAATACGAACTACGTCACAGTAAGGGTCAATAATACCCGCTTGTTGTGGATGTTGAGGAAACTCATTACCAAACAGCAGAGCTAGAAAAATAAATTTCATTAAACTCAAACCAATAAAATATAAAACAATGATTTACTATGTTGATAAATTAATGTTCTTATTCCGATACGATTCATGAAAATTCGGTCATAGAAATATTGTAAATGGTTTTTTTCTATTAAATCAATAGGACCCGCTTTATCCATTTCCATATAAGCCTGAAAAACATATCGAGATTAATAAAACATAAAATAGCTATTCGACTCTTCACTCGAGCAAAAATTGGAATAATATCCGCATGACGTCGTCGAATACCAACTAATGTTTCTGTAAAACTATATGATATTAGTCGAACAATAATAAATATTAGTTCTATTATAGAACAGGATATTAAATAGAAAAGTACTTGCGAAGTGCTGTTGGATTTGGTTCAATATTATTAAATGCTAGAACTTCTGAAAAACTTTGATCATATGATTTATTTATTAATTGAAAACTTGGCGTTTCAAGTAATCTATGAATAAGATATAGATTTGATTTACTTTTAGTTTCATTTAAATCATACCTTGTCGGTATATAATTCATTTCTTTCCGCATATGAGACCATCGAACAAGTAATTCAACACGTAAAAATTTATAGGAGTCTTTTATATCACCGTCAACCGCTACAAATAGAAGTTAATAATGAGAATAATCGATTTTTTTCATTCTTCATTAACATACCAAAATCAATGAGACTTTTAAGTGTCACTGGTGTAGGTTGAAATCGAGCATATTGTTCAAATTGTTTTGAAAGTTTGAAAACTACTCGGCTAAGACGCATTTTGTTCTTTACAATACCAATATATCTGAAGTATATTCACATTATTTATAAGCATATGTTATCTGCGTTTTATCTCATATGAGTATAGAACAAGTAGTGACTATTCAAAGAGAACATTAATTTCCTTAGAGTTTATAATTTGCAATAACTCAACAATATGTGTCTGTGCTTCGAACAATCAAAATTCATTATTTGAGGCTTTCAAAAGGTCACTTCCGAAGAGTAATCTAGATAAAATCTTCATTTATGAGTCTTATTCAATTTTATTTTAAATTCATATGTTATTAGTAGAATTTTAGATTGAAAGAAATGATGATGATAGCATCGATTCTGTGATTAAATTTTTTACTATTTAGAATGTATTGAGAAATTGCAAAAAAATGCATGTGAAATAAAAACGGCGAATTGAAAAAAGGCATACTCTACACATGCAACTTACACAATATTTCTAATGAAGATAATATTTTAATAATAACAATCTGAAGAATAAGATATCAATGAAAGATTTTTCTGATCTGCAATGACCATGTTTTTTTTTTCCAACCGAAATAAAAGAGGTAGATTGTTATTAAATCCAAAGAAAAACATTTATTTAAACAATGAAGAAAAAAACATCAAGTTTACGAATTGAATAACCGTTGTGTTGTTTGTGTGACTTTATTTTCGATTTCTGTAACATTAGTATCAACGAAAGTCAACATTTTAAAGCATGAATCTAATGTTTTTGTTAATTGTTTTATATTCTGTTCATTAAGAACTGTCGTATCAACATTTTGATTTGTTGGTAACTGTGTATCATTGTCATTATCATCATCTTGTTCATTCAATTTATCAACAATCTCTTGTAAATCTTTCGTTGAACACTTAACTAACGAATCTAATTGTTCCATCAATTGAAAATTCTTCATACGCTCGTTAAATGTTGATGGTAATAGTTGATTCAAATACATATTCTGTTGTTGTATTGAATAAATATCATTTTGCAATGGTGGTAATTGTAAAATGTCATTTTCTAGACGTATGATATTTGTTTCCAATTCTTTTTCGTGTGTATCCAATAATTTTAATTCATCTTGTAAATGATTTTGTTGTAGTTGCATATGATTGATGTCACGTTGAACTACTTGTAATGTTTCACGATATGTTGATAAATCAACATCGCGTTGTCGAACTGATTGAGATAAATTTTCATACGATAAACGATGTTTTGTATCAAAATCAGTTTGCCATTTAGTTAATAAACGTTCAAAATCACGATATGTACGTGTTACTGGTTTACTTGTTGGCGCTGCTGCTGTTGTTATTGTACTTGTAGTTGCTATCGGAACATTTGTTGAGGTGATCGTAGCGGTTGGTGTAGCAGAAAAATTCATCTGAAATACAAAAAAATAATAAAGTTTCTATCCGTTTTTATTTATTTTATAATTTAATCTGTTTCATAGTTTCTTGAATGCTATCAATATCACGAAAACATGTTTGTAAGTCATCTATTGTCTTTACAATCGAACTATCTGTGCCTATTTGAAGTGATCCATAGAGTTGTTTCGTTGTTTCGACGAGTTCATTTAACTGATTATCAACTGATTCCATAAGATCGTTGACCATTGGACGATCTTGTTCTGTTTTCATATTGGATAATATGTTTGGTAGACGAGTTTTACTGTCATTATTCAATTGTTCAATGTTATTTTCTAATTCATTATTATATTTGTGTAGAGCTTCAGTAGATAATTGAAATTGTTCTAAATTATCTTCGATGTTTCCAAGTAAATTTTGAGCTTCAATAAATGATTCCGTTGTTTTATTGAGTGATTCTTGCTTTTGACTTAATTGATAAGCATATTGAAGAAGATATTCTTCATTTTTCATTAAATCATCACGCCATTTATTAATTATTTCATGTAGATCATTCGATGTTTTGTTTGGTTTAGTAAGAATTGTGGAAATAAAATCATGTGATGAGGACGTAGACATTGCCTTTTGTAGTGAAATAAATTCACTGAATAAAAAAGAAATCTTTCACTTTTCTTTTCTATTAAAAAGCACAAAGGTCGATCCTATGCCGAATCAGTCACATTACAAAGCAAGTATTTAGACGACAGATGTCCGTAGAAGTTGATTAAGTGTATATTTTTTGATCGATTAACTTTGCAGTGTTTTTCATAGTACTGCTTCTTTTGGAAGCACGAGGAAAACGTTTTTTTTAAAGTTTTCGTCAAAATTTGGCATACCGATAGGTCTTAGTAAGAGTAAATACTATGGACACGAGTAGTTCAAGAGATACAGTAAATCCTTCTTGTTTCTAGTCTATCTTCCTACGAAAAGTATTCAGTCGAAATTCGTGAACAATTTTTCCTGGTGTTTTTTTTAATGAAGCAAACACCTATGCGCGGACTACTACAGTGTCTCTACAGTTGTAAACTAAGATATATAACTTTTTTCTTTTCAAAAATAATATGCAAACCTTTGGTTAGCAACCGGTTTATGCATTGCATGTCTGATTTAGTTAGCTGCATATTCATAAAAAAATCTGATTGATAACATTCATTAGATAATGAGTCGATTTTAAGATGAGGTTGAAATATCATTTAGATAGAAATTTATGTTCAAAGTCCAGGAAGCTTAGAATTAACTTTAACTAAAAGTTGTTTTCTTTCCGTGATTGCTATTTTTAGTTAATGCTTCAGCAGGATTCGTTGTTGTTTTGTTTTGATCAAAACAAATTTTTGAACTCAAGGATCACTTCAATAAAATTCCTAATTTAGTTAGTTCATTGCTAAACTATCCGATACGTTAACATCTCCCACACAACGAGGAAGTAGGTTTTACATTTACTATATTATTCATTTGAATAGTACATATTTGCTAAGTTTGGTTTGTCCTGATTTTTTTATCAAAGATAAACAGAATCAAAGTGGATTATTTTGATGTAGATTATGTATTTGGATCGAAACGTCTCGTGGAACAATTATTTGATTATTTCGTCATCAAATTTTCTCTAGAATCATGTCTTTAGTTTCTTTAAATTCATAATTGTTCTATAATATTTTTCATGATAAATTATCGAATACCCAAGTTATTAACTGAGAAGAATTGTAACAATACGAGTGTTAAATCTGAAAGTGTCATCAAGTAAATTATAAAAATAGAAAACTTTCTACTCAGTTGATTCGATAGAAATGAAAGTAAAAAAGTTCTTGGATATGAACATATTTGCAATTAATAATAGTGAAGATAAAAACATTATAAAATACGATAATTAATTCAAATGATTATAATTGCTATCTTAGTTTGTTTTGGACCTAAAAAAATGAAGTGATCGACAGGAAATTATGTTGAAAAAATATAAAATATGTTCACATGTATATTGCTTACCATAATTTCAAGTATTTATAAAATAACGCTCGTTCTACGGTTAAAATTGTCTATTGACTATTAAATGCTCATGATTCAAAGTCTGGATTTTATAACACATCATCATCTACTAAGTTTTCAATATTTTTTCCTTTAAACATAATAAAATCCTTCGATTTTCAGAAGGTGATGACTAAACGAATGTTTTTTGTCCTGACGTGAGGACAATATTTTCATGCGACTAACAAAGCAAACAATTATTCCATTCGAAGTTACGAAGAGAACTGAAAGATTTCATCACTTATATAAAAATATATCAGACTTTTTGTTTTTTGCTTTTTCTAAATGAAAGTATTGTATTTAAAATGATTTCACTGCTTGATGTTTTATCAACGGCAACAGTCATCTATTTCAGAATAATAAGAACAGGAAAAAAACAAAAGTGTTGTAGACAACAACATTATGAGAAAAAAATCTTTTTCTATTTTACTTTACCTTCACAATTACAGTATGATGCACTTGTTTCGATAATACAATACACATTCCTACATAGTATATTTGTATCAGTAAGGAAAGAAGAAGCAAAATAAAAAACGGTAAGGGGAAATTTATTTAATTAGAGTAAGTGTATTATTCGTTGAAGAAAGATGCTGTCTTTTCATTTTAAAAAAATTCTTCAAAATTTTAGTTATTAATAACGTCCCATTAAATGATTCATTTTGATGAATAGCATGAAGTTTGTATTTTAAATGCATTTTTTCTGTTATTTAAATGATAGCAAAACTAAATACATTTTATATTTATTTTGTAATAGAATATTAAGAGGTAAGAATGATCCGTAAAGGAATGTAGATATTAACCGCGATATTTAAAAACTGTGAGATCGTACGAATTTTGTTTGAAGTATTTTATTCATGATAAAGGTAAATTAAATGTTTATATTTTATATTTCACTTCAATTATAATTAAAATACTTAGAGGGAACACTAAATAACAATCAAACATCGTTGATTACTATTAGTATTTATATTTTGTATAGACTATATATATATATTCAACCGAAATTGATTACAGAAGTATTCGTGAATATGTTTCAGTCATCAAATGATACATCACTAAGCTCTTTCGTAATTTCTTTTCTATTAGAAAATGACTGATACTTTTTTCTTAATCTTCTAAGAATTATTAATAGTATCGTTTTAGATTATTAGCAATTATGACTGAAAGTAATGAACCACAGATTTATAAAAAACGTTATAAAACGGACGAGAAACTTGGTGCTGGAAATTTTGGTACAGCTTATCTCGTCACTGATCTAAGAGAAAAACATGAACCGTAAGAATGTTCAAGTTGAGTTTCTCTCATTGAAATTGATGTTTTGTTTTAGAAAAGTATTGAAAGTTGTTCGATTAGGTGAAATGGACTCAGAACAATCAGTTGATTCTGTTCGTGAAGCTCAACTGTTATCAGAATTACATAATGAACATATTGTTAAAGTAAAAGCGAAGAAAAAATGGCGATTTTATTTTCATTTTCTTTCGTTTAGTTCTATGAAAGTTTTCTTGAAAATGATTGTTTATGTATAGTAACAGAATATTGTGAAGGGGGTGATCTTGATCATCGTTTAAAAGAATTGAAAAAACAAAATCGTAAATTAGAAGAAGATCAAGTTGTTGAATGGTTAATAGAAATATTAATTGCTGTACAATATATGCATAAATCAAGAGTATTACATCGAGATTTAAAAGCAAGAAATATTTTTCTCAAGTCTAATAAAGTTAAAATCGGAGATTTTGGTATAAGCAGAATATTAGTTGGAACCATGGATGTCGCTACAACATTTACTGGAACGCCGTATGTTGTCTAAGAGTTTTCTTTCATTAAGAAGTTTCTTGTCCTGTTTTTTTTTTCTCAAGTTATTACATGTCACCTGAAGTTTTGAAACATGATGGATATGAATCGAAATCAGATATTTGGTAGGATTAGTAATCATTAGTTTTCAAGAGAAAGAAAAGTAGATTGTTTAATATTTTCTTATTAAAGGTCGGTTGGTTGTTTATTATATGAAATGTGCACTTATCAACATGCCTTTGATGGTAAAGGTCTTATGAATGTTATATACAAAGTTGTTGAAGGAAAACCACCTGAACTTCCAAAATCATATTCAAAAGAATTAAATGATTTACTGAAAAAGTATGTTTAATTGGTATATGTGAGTTTATTCTATGCTAAAGAGAGACATCGTCTAATTGATTAGTTGTTCTTGGATCAATATTATGCATATTCTAATGAACTATGAGTATTCGAAAAGTAATTTTGTATGTTAATTTGTTTCTGCATATATGCACTCCAGTTTTTTTGGGAATCACTAGTCACGGTTCAAAATCAATTTATCATTTCGACGGCTTCATCGGCTAGATCTAGAGTCAAGGTTTAAAAATCGCGCAAAATTTTTTAATTGCTGTGTGTTCACCTTAAAATGGAACATTTCTCAGTGTTAGACCCTTTTCAATCTCATTTTCGATTATACAAAAGGAATCAGCTGCACTCAGAAAAGATGAATAGAGTTCAATCTCATGCATTATCAAAAGTAAAGATTACAATTGCAAGGCTCTGAGTTGAACTCATATAGACACAGATATCACGATTGTTAAAATGTCCTAAAAGTTCTCGATGAAAAATGTATAAATGATTTTTCTATGAACATTGAACCCAGAAGTTGGAAACCTACTGTAAAATGAGCTTAGTTCTAACTTGGTATAACACCAACTCAAACACAGTTAGGGTGTTCTTATCTTTGTAAAGTTTGCCTGCTAGGCAACTAGTAAGTCGTGCAGCAGCCTACTACTAGATCATTACTATTTTGAATTTAAGACAATAGCAACGACTTTCTACATAGATTTTTGTTTCGTTTAAAGAATTTAATAATTTACCTTAGAACTCACAATTCTACAAAAGTTAGCAATCTATTATGAATATTACATAGTTTGGAAAAAAAAACAAGGAATTCGATATTTTTCTTTAGAAAAGCTATCTTTCTTGAACGACACAATTGCATCATGAAAGAAAAAATAACAGACAATGCATCTGCCATCGAATGGTACTATTTCTATAGATAATTCTTCTTTTTTTTTATTCAATTAGAATGCTTATGAAAGATCCAAAGAATCGACCGAGTGCTGCTCAATTGTTGCAAACTCCATTTATTGTTCGACATCGTGAGGTATCATTCATCATAGGAAAAAAGTGTTCGCTAGTTCTATTTTTAATTTAATTAGAGAACTAATTTAAATGGTCCACTTGAAAATACAATCAGTGGTAATCTACGTTCAAAAGACATTAATACTCATTTGTATGATTTAATTGTTGGTATTTTATCTAATTACATAACAAACTATTTTAGACAAGGCTCAATAATTTATGGAGAGATGCAGAAACAAAATTGGTCCCTTGCTAGTAAAGATCATGTACCAGATGATTATGATTATGTTCAATCTGAAAATATTTCCTTGAATAACAACGATGAAGTAGAGCAAGAAGATGACAAAGAAAAAACTTTAAAATCTGCAAATACACTCAAGGCAGTTAAACAAACAACAGTTGTAAGGAAATTTCGCGACGGTGATGCTCGTGGTCAACAATTCAAGTAATCAACACGATCAATATGTAAAAATTGTGTACGATATCTAATTTTTTTAGTCAAGCTCCAAGATCAAATGCAATGGACACTACTCAAAATCGGCAAATAGTACGTGAAAATACAAATTTAGGAACTGTAAGTTCATGTAAACATATAGTATGGTTGTCGTTTTCTAATCGATCCAAATTCATTGATCTAGATGAAACAATCACAATCATTTACAGATAACGCAGAAGAAAATGCACCAATTGTAAACAATCGTGGACGCAGTAAGATTGACTAATGAATTTTTAATAGTTAAATTTAAAAGAAAAGCTTTCGAACGAAAGTAGCTCGTTGAATGTAATGAAGATCGAAAACTGTGCTCTGCTGTTTAGTTACAATAATGAATAGAAATTTTTTAAAATCCTTGCTATCGTGTTAGTCGTGTTTATCGTAGAAATCCAGTTAGAATAAGAGAAAGCTTAGAATGGAGAACAAGTATGAGGGATAGGTCACTCTTCAATTTTTATAATTTTCATTGTATCAAATCAAAAAGCAACGATTGATTAATGAATAATATGACGAGACGTTCGTTTCGTTCTTGAATGTTCGAAAGTGTTACGAAATTTTAATGGAAAAAATCGCTAGTCTGAAAGACTCGTATAAGCTCTTCGAGTCTGACTTTACTTTTTACGAGTGTTTCTTTTTTAGATCCTGTTCAAGTTCCGAATGAAAGTAAATTTAATAATCGTAATGGCGCTCGAGCTACTTCATTTACCGTTAACATGGATAGTCGGCCTATAACTCCAATGCGAGGAAGCTACCAGCAAGTAGTTGAAAAATTTCATGATGAAGATGATGCTGGTTATCCTAATAATCAATTGAATGATCGAAGTCCGACACGTGAACAAGAAGCGAACGAAAGATCAGTAAAAACTCGACGAGCAATGTCTGGAACACAACATTCAACAATCAATTCAATGAGTCGAACGATGGGTCCACGTAATCCAGCAAATGGTGATCAAGAAGTGCAATCGAAGCCAATGTCAAGAACTATTGGCAGTGCAACGAGAAAGAAAACTCAATTAAATGCATCTGTGGATGATGGTAAATCTAATTGATATGAAATCTATGATGTTCAATTGTTTAATATTTCAGGTAATGCTACGTTAAAAGATAATCCAAATCAAGATGCATTTGGTCGATTTGCAAAAGATGCTAAAATCAATGCATTACGCACGTACGTAATTTAGGCGTTTTATTTTTGTTTTGATAACATTATTGTAATTCAAAAACATTTTTCTTTTAGAAAAGCTATTCAAAAGTTAGGTGAATCAACTTTTGAAAAAGTTTACGATTATTTTGTTCAACAACGTATGGCACAAAAGTCGAATCCTAATTTTAATGAAGCTAAAATGACTGAAGGCCTTACAGCCTTTGTTAAAAATACGAATGATTGTTTTCTTGTTGATCAACTTGTATTTCTTGAACTTTATCAAAATTAATAATTGTCATTTATATGAATCTATTTTATGTAATAACCATAAAAGATAACTTAAAGAGCTCGTGATAGAAAACTTCAATGAGAACAAAAGGCTCTCAAATGTATCGAACAAAGTGAAATTTAATCTAATGGTGATCAATGTTTTTAAATTTTTCTCATCCGAAGTGTAGAGGCAGGCAAATAAAACAAGTAACGTTCATCGACATCGAAAGTCGATTCACTGGGCCCTAGACTGACAGTGTTGAGGAGAACAAATGCATGGACAGGACAGAAAATCGGTTGTTCGTGCCAGCAACTGGTGATGATACTTTCAAGCAGACCTGTAAAGGGAGTGGAAATAAGTGAAACTGAGGTAAGAAGTAGACGAAGATTAAAGGTCTCAAGTAAAAGCACTGAAAGTGAAGACGAAAGACGGACAAAATGAGACTTAAAGGTCCTTAAGGAAGGCAGAGCCTGACTTTTACCTACCCACAAAAATATATGGTTCAGAAATTTCCTGATGGTTAGCTCAAAGTTTGGTAGGGGATCAGCTCGCCCCTCCGCTGACCCCATCTCCAGAGCGGACTGTTTCACATGGCCATGTCTTGTATCTATCCATGGTTTGTGCCATTGTTACAGACAGACGCACACAGATGAATTACGGCTTCTAGACCCTATCCTTTCAGTCTAGGGAATACTAATAAATAGTAGTAGTTTGTCAGTTCTAAGATTATATTCTTGGACACGCAGTTTTGTTTTTGTTTTTTTCCGTTCCCTATCATCAATAAAACTGATACATATTTTATTTTTATGCTTAGAAAAGTTCTGCTAATGAAATTGAATAAAGTAATCAGGTAGAGTCCTATATAAATTCAACTTTTTGAATTAGTACTGATTTGTACCACTCTACTCTAACAGAAATCCAAGCAATGCAATTTCTTGATGAGTCTTTAATTAATTAGTTCGTTTCGCAATAGATATTCGATAAGAATTCGAAACTTTTCTAAATATAAGAAAAATACGTGAAAATGATATCAAGAAATTTGTTTAGTTCTAAAACAAGTTTAGGCTACTATTCGTACGCAAATTACCAGAAGACTCATAAAAAACTGGGAAATTCATAGAATCAATATATTGTTGTATAACGGTAGTGCAATTGATGCTATAATTCAAGTTTACTAAGAACATTTTATAAGATTCTTGTATTCAATTGTATAATTGTCTTTTAAATATTAAAAATCAACATCTGATTACCAACTCATCATACATATGCTGGCTGCTATTTCTCATTGATGAAGATGTTTTCTCTTAAGTATAATAAATATTAATGTCGATCTTCCTTTAACACAGTACATTCGAATGAACATTCTTTTCGATATTCGTCTTTTAATACTGTACTTCATGTGATTGTTTGAAAATTTTGAAAACTTCAATAGAAGAATGGAATAAGATTGCTTTGACTCTTAAAATATTATCATAAGGGATATCATTTGTAATTTCATAGTTTTGTTTTGTTGAAGTATAACAGTGCGATGATCTATCGAGACTTCAATGACATTTTTAATATTCCCCAGAGGGATCAACTATATCAGATTGTGATAAAATTTCTCGTTAAAAATTTCATTAACTTCTCTAGATTCATGTTGAATTAAAATTCTTTTCGGGATTCGTCGGATCAATGACACTACTGGGAGCATAATGTTGAATGAACAAATTACACTAGAGTTTATAAGCCTATAAATAAACTTCTACACAACAACAGCTTTTATGAAAATCTATATATACATTTTCATGTAGCTACGAATTTAACTTCTTCATTGATGATTAGAATACCTTAGATATCATTGTTACAATCCGGTTTCTTAAATAGAATTGGAATTGATCATGAATCTAGAAATTATCTGATGTTGAACTTGTCCAAATTGGAATTCATGATTCAACGCTGACATATATACATATTAGTAAGACAAATCAATATTATCATAAAATTAATTTTAATCGATGATGGAAATGGACATGAGAATAGGTAGATTACCATTCAAAAACTGAATCTAAGAAATCAATAAATAGTTCTTTCCAAATTTTTGTCGATTAAACATTCTGGCTGAACCGATGAAACACGATTCACGATTGCAGTTCAACCATACAAGTTAGAAACGCAACCCATTATCCATTGTTTAACATTGAATATTGATTTCTTGCGCAGCAATTTCACGCCGGTATAATTGAAAACTCATTAAAAAAATTACTGCCTATTAATTAGCATGTATTTCATATAGTTTCATTGGAATAAATCTCGATGCTTATTATTTTATTAGACTTTTATTTATTCACTGCCAATCTAATAAAAATACATTCGAATGGCGAATAACGATTAATAGTACTCTTTAGAAATTGTTATTCTTCTTTTATGTTATATATAACAAATGATGAAAAAAAAAGATGAAAAATCGACATGTTTACTCAAGCTGTTCTAGTAGTCCTATGCCAGTCAATGAGAATAGAGAACTGACTTGCAGACAGAGATAAATAGCGTTATAACGAGTTGCTTGCATTCCTTTTGCTTTCATTCAGTGGAAAGCTATTTAAAATTGATTACATTCAAATCCAATACGATACAATTAATTATCATATATGAATATATCAAATATAATAGATAATAATAATAATATTAATAACAGCAGTAATACATTTTCAACAACAACTATTCGGTTTATTCGAAAGTACCATACAGAAAATCCATTTAATTCGTGGTATATTGGCGGTGTTTTATTTTTGTTTACTTTTATGTTGGGACTTGTTTTTGCAAGTCATTATCAACAAAATTGCTGTCAAATATTTTTGATACGTTTAATGCCCACTCTTTCCACCTCACCACGGCAAGGATCAACAAATTCATTTATAAATCGTATAATCAATCCAGTTCATGTTTGATATAAATGAAGAATGACAAATGCAAGGTCAGACTTAATATTTTTGATTCGAACATGTTTATTAACATGATCTTAGTCAATTTAAATGAATACTTTTTTTGTTACGTTCGAATAATTGAATAACATAAAATTAAAATAAACATTAAAAAGTCAATTTTTTTAAAACACACGTCGGAATATGCAAGAATTGGTCAACAAAGAGATGATGAAAATAGACCGAATGACAACACTAATGGATGACTTAATTTTAATGATAGCTTTATTCATTTCTTTATGCTTTTATTTATTCTCATACTTTCAGATTGTATTCTTCTTTTGCAAAAGATCAATATTCAACTTTTTCAAATGCATATGAGACTGAATTTCTGAAGATCTAGAGAGAAAAAAGTGTGCTTTTGAAACGATATTAGGTAAAAACATGAAACATATACCTACTTACAATTACAAGTGTGAAATATCATTCTTTTGTCGTCATGTGTTCTGGTGTTCATCTATAAAGATCTAATATGCGATTTAATTATTTTTTACGATTTCAATAAAAATTGTCGGGTTCGGATATTTGAATTCTCATAGGAAACTCTTTTATGGGAAAGAGAAACACAATTTTTTTTTAAATTACACTAGTTTTATTGAGTCTTCTCGAAAACTTTTCAATCTGTCCTTGACAATGCAGTTCTAATACTAAAGAAAATCTTCACAATTTTTCAAATAGTATTGACAATGATTTTATAGAAACTAAATTGAAATTGTTTGATACTATTTAATTAGATTTCATCATACCAGTACCGTATTCAAGAGTAATTTAATAAACTCTAAAACTTGACTATCATTATTATTATTCTGAGTAAGTGCATAAGAATCTAACTACGTATATCTCTTAAAAGCTACATGATTTGAAAAGGTCTACTACATGTATCATTTGAGATTATGTTTCAAAAATTTACCATCGTTGTCAACTCTGAATCGTTTCTAATTCTTCTTTTTTGTTCTGTTTCTACCATCGAGTAAATTCACAATACATAAAGAGAATTCCAGCATTAGCATACATTCTAAGTGATTCATTAAGTATGTAGGCATTGGCAGATTCTAACCAATAACGGACTGTATTGACACTGAAACAATTTACATATAGAGTCTGTTGATCACAAGTGATGCTGTTCTGACTGCACACTATCTTACAGAAATATTGTGCTATTTCCTATTCAATGTTGATGATAAAGCTTGACATTTATGCATGTATGGTTCTGGTTTTTTTTGTTCTATATCTAACAGAATACATCAAAATGCAACGATTTACATGAACGACCAATCGAGAACAGTCAACAGCTTTTTTTAATATTCATCCTATTGCTTATTGGTTTAGTATTTATATGGAAAGCTGGTTCACAGTTGTTGCATGAAGCATGAAATTCATTATAGTTCTTGTCTATATTATCGTATCTTTTTTTTCAGACACACCTTGAGATCAACCTATGAAATGATCATCTATTCATAATTAGTCTCATCGACATGAGCTATGGAAATAGACCATACAGAAATTAATAAATTTAATAGGAATCGTTTCGTGAAAGCAAACAATTAATGCAACAAAAAAAAGAGTGATAACTAATATAGACTTGAGAAAATAATGTTATGTATCTATTCTCATAGGAATAAGTTTGATTTAGATTACTTCTATTTTATATTTAAATATTTTAGTTTATGGTTGAAAACAAACGTGTTTTCGTCATGTTTCTATTCTATAGATATTTCAAGTTTTCTTCTATTAAAACAAAATTTCATAATATTATTTTTGCTACTAATAAAGTAAATATCACCGAGAGATAATGATGCCTGCATACGATTTCTTCCTATCATATAAATATCGAATGTAATTTTTAAATTATCATATTGGAATCGATCACAGCAATAGCATCGTATTGCATGAAATTGACATATCGATATATATAAATATTTGCAATGAATCGATCTAATTATGATATGAATTTTATTCTCATTTTAATTGATTTTACTTCTCAGAAGTATGCATATGAAGCATGAAAGCAAATGATTCTCCTGACTAATTAACTTTTGACTATTCAAATTTTTTTGGAAAATTGAAATTTTCTTCATATTGACATGGAAAGTTTTTCATATCATGACTTTTTTCCACGCCATGTTGCAATTGAAAAGTTCTATTTCGTAGTTAAAAAATGTAGAATTTTGTTCTCGACAAGATCGCCTGTTTAGTGAATTACCATGCGACAATTTTCGATTGAAATTCACGAGAATCCATACTGAATCCAAAGTAACGTTTTGTTTCTTTTTCATTAATTTTGTCCGGAATATTTGAATGACACTTCAACTTAAGCTTTTGCACGAACGTCGAATCGATAAAAGTTTTCATCGATCTTCGTTTTTTTTCTACTTCAAAATTTAAAAAAAAATCCTTATAAGACGAAGGACACTACTATATAGAGAATGTAAAATTCTCTATCTTCAGATTTTTACGTAGAGAAGAAAATATTTCATTTAAATAGTAAATGTTTGAAAAGTTACATACACAAGAAATATAATCTATTATAGTTCATTTCTAATTTTGTGTAAGAACGTTTCTCATGACTTAATCCGTTTTTTCCTCTCTTCTGAATTCTATTGAAGAACAGTTTTCAACGACATTTAAGTAAAATGATACTCTACACATACACGAACGAATTGATTCAATTTTGAACGACATCTCTTTCTATTCAGTACATATACGTACGTATATGCACTCTTCTATCTTCACCAATAAACTTCTGTATAATGAATCACACGAGTGTCATCTTCTTTTTTATTTTTTATTTTAGTAACGAAACGAAAACAATATATCTGATCAGATCTGCTACAGTCATAGTTACTGATTGTTGTGCTTCTTATGCTTTTGCTTTTAAAACATTGGATTTTTTTCCTTCTATCTTCATAGAAGCACAGATTTTGTTTTTAATACACTTGTGCACGCTTCTACTTGAGAACGAATGTTTATTCAATTTCTTATGTAAGATAAAATACGCCTTTCATTTAACCAACCAATTCGATTGTTAAAATAATGTCCATATGTTTGTTTGTGAGAAAAATATTATTCATATCTAGGACCAAGAACGAAATATTTTATTATTATTTTTTTCAGAAGTTTTAAGCAATGACCACAGAACGAAATTATCGCACTGTCGGTGATATAACAATTAAAAATAAAGAATCAGCAAATCAAATAAATAAAAAGAAAGTTGACATTTCATACGGCAGAGCCGAAACAAATTTCAATGATATTGCGATCGTTCAATTACAAAAACCACTCACATGTGATGCACCTTATTTTGTTGTCGATGTACATAGATGTGGTAAGTAGATTATATATTAGAATTTGTACATATGATTAAAAAAGACTCATTTTTAGATCCAAATACAATAATATCCATTGGTATTGCACCATTAGATATTGATGCACATGCAGGTTAATGCTAGTATTATTTATTGTTTATGAAACTTTTTCTTTTTTTTTAATTAAATTTAGGTCAATTCAGTAACTCTCTTGGTTATCAAAATAACTCAGGCCGAATATATACATCATGGAAAATTCATGCGAATACACTTGCACTACGATATGGCAAAGGTAGTACAGTGTCCATATATGTGACTTATTTTGGAGAACACCTTTCAACGGTACTTATTTTCTATAACAATTTCCCAATAGCTACAAGGTTTGTTGAACAAATAACGATATCTAAATGTCATTGTCTGTTCATAACTTATTTAGATATCATTTTGAAGGAAATAAAACTAGGTATCTTCCGACAATAACATTTTCTGGTGGACCTGCTTATGTATCTGTTCTCTGGCCTGATGCTGTCGAATACTTACCATCGATTACTGATGTATGAAATTTATCCTAATAATTTAAATTCAATTTTATACTTACGTAGATATCCGTTTCTCAATGGATTCGAGGACCTTTGGGTAGTTATAATCCAGACACAAATCTTTTTGAAAATCGTTCAAAAGTAGAAGATCTACCTATACAATCACCAATACCATTGAGTAAATCGTTTCGTTATTTTATTATTACACAAGAAGAGGTCTCATCAACTGATGGAAAAGGTGCTAGTGTTGGTTTAGCTACTTGTTCTGTAAGATAAAATAAAATTAATTCGAATAAAAATTAATTATTTAATTATTCATTTTAGCCATTAAAACCAACACCAACATGTTCGTTATTGAAAGATTATTATACATGGTTTTCTAAAACGAAAAGTAACAACATTTATGAATTTTCTTTATTCATTTCTTATAATTTAGCAAATACGCTGAAAATATTGTACAAATTCGATATCAGTGTTTCGAAAATCTGAAATCTAAATCTTGAAGAATAATTCTCATACAATCCGTATGATTAACCGACATGTAAACGAAAGAGTATCATAATCAACTATTCAGAACCCTTCCTTAATGAGATAATAGTTTAGAAATTATCATTTTAGGTTTGTAATTATTAATCATTGAATCTATATTACCTTTAGTTATTAAAATCTTTTCGAAACTATTGATTCTACTAGTCAATCATTAGAACATTCTCAAGATTGTACAAACGAAAAACTTGATCTTTTCATTAAATGATTGATATAAATCTATTTATGTTTTTGTTTTTTAGTGAAAGTTGGAAATACGATTGGTTGGGGAGTGTTTTATGATGAAAATTGTAAAAATGATAAAGCTGAACAATTGTGTCTTGTCTTCGTTATGTTTAATAAATCAATAGTTGATGCTCTTTTTGTTCTACAGCCTGAAGGTGGTTTTTTTCCAATTGTATTACTTCAACCATATGGTAAATTTAAGACAAAAAAAAAAGACATTAAAAAGGAACTAATAAAAATAAATTTTTTATCTCATATTTCAGCATCGAAAGTATCAATCGAAAGACATGATATATTAACAACAGAGGAGTTAAATAAACTTCAAGGACTTTATGCACAAATGGTGAGACCGGCTATGGAAATTTATCGAAAAGATACCGAGGAACGATGTAAATAAAGATTTTGCTTTTCATGAATATAAACCAAAAGTTTCTTATTTTAATTTAGATTTATCGGAAAAATTATTTCGAAAAAGTGAACAGATTCTACTCTCCATTGATAATTACAAATGTCGAGTATCACTGCCAAAAACTGAAAACAGCATTCATTATATTCAATTTTGTAAACCATTAACTTATGAACGACGTTTCTTTTTTGTTGAATTAGAAAATATTAGTAAATTATTATTTTATTTTTACATTTCAATAGAAATTTCGTTGATTATTATCTTACTTAACTTTAGCTAAAAATTGTCAAGTCACAGTTGGAATTGCTTCAGCTAAACATAAATTCAATGAAGCACCTGGAACTGTTCAGAATACAGTCGGCTATAATTCGTATAGCGGTAAATTATATGCAAATCGTAAAGATACTGGAAATATGCGTGGACATAAATGTTACAAAGGTGATACAATGGGTGTTCAAATAGAGGCATTTGGCAAAGAAATGAGTGTTGCATTGTTCAGTAGAAATTTTCAACCACTTGGTACACGCTATTTAACATTGAATGATCATTCACAATATTTTCCAACTATACTTATTGAAAATAATGGAGATCCTGTTGATTTATTAGTTCATTGGCAAACACGAGTTTCTGTACCACCACAGTTTAGTATGGCAAGTGATAATTTTATTTATTTAATCGAATGAAAAATGTTATTGTTCTAGACGAACCCTGAAGATTGGTGTTTACCGGAAGCAGCAAGCATCGATTTAAAACAGAAAATGTTTATTCTACCAGAACATTTTGATAAATCATTATGCATCCAAGCTCCTTGTAGTTTGAATAAAAGTAAAAAGAGCAGATATCTTTTTCTATGTATTTTATTGATCTAGAGTTGCGTACACTAGTATTCATTCTTTAGAATGATTAATGAATTGATATCTGTGGGCATTGCAATGTAGAGAACATTGTATCGCTTGTTTAACTCATAGATTGCGAATATACTAGAAGTGATTCGATTTCACATGTGACAACAAGTCATGTTTCTTTCATCTGAACTGAGAGAATATTTCTTCGCTTTTTGATACTATCGAATAACAGGTGGTCCAACAAACCTGACAACTTCAAATCAGATAGAACTGAACGAATTGAGAGAATTTTTTCTTAGATTCAACATTTTCTGTTGAGTAGGGGCTTTTGCTTTTTATGATCTTCCAAAATTCAGTGATACAATTTTTTTTAGAAAAGCAACAAGCAAGTAGGCACTGAAACCTAGCTAGAAACTCGGGAAAAAAAAACTTTCATCGTGGTCAAGAATATGACTTCTAACAAACAGGCCATATTCTATATGCTTTTTAATAGTTGCCAGGCTTACAATAGTTTCGTTTTCTTTTCAAACTGCGAAATAGTAATTCAGGCTAGCATAAGAAGAAGATATCTAGATTTTTCATTGTATCAGTTGCTTCTCGAATGGACATTTAGTTTTGGTTTATATCTATGAATCGTAAAGTTTGTTTTGGTTTTAGAGAATCGTCATTTTGAAATGGTTCTTTTGGAAAAATTCACGGACAATGAACCGCCACCTGGTATGTTCAACTATGAATGTTTTTCTTAACTAGTTTTATTTGAATAGCGATTGCATTATGTACGGCATCACCGGCTGATCCACCATCAAAATCTCAATTCAGACAAGATTATTTACGTTTTTGGCCAACAGGCGATGGTAAATTATTCATATAACTATTAAAAAACAATAACTGTCAGTAGATTTTTTTCTTCAGCTGCAAGATATTTAAAACAAGGCGATAAAATTGGCTGGGGTATTATATTTCCGCAAGAAGAAGATAGTTTAATAGGAGAAAATAAAGAACAATTAATAATTTGTTATTTAAGTGTTAACCGTGCGGTTGGTTATGTTCGAGTACTTTATCAACCAGTAGGTGGCTTTTATCCGGTTGTTATAGCTCCACCAAATAGTATTTAGATAATTTATTTATTATTATTAAATGTAAAATATTTTCTTTCAAGTTAATCTTATACAAATGGATTTTTCTGCTACACAAATATTAACAGAAGAATTTACTACTGAACAAATAAATGCAATTCTTGCTGATGCAAGACTACAAATCGAAGCAGAAGAGCAGTTCTTAAACAGTAAGATTTCATTTTTCAGAACATAAAACAAAAGTAAAACAAAACATCCGCCAACTTATTTAAATCATTTAGATTAAATTCTATTTTTTCTTTGTAAGTAAACTCACATTATCGTTTATATCTTGTATCGTTGCATTCTCTGATAGAATTATTGCATGTTTATATCATCGTTTAATACTAAAGCCTTCCATTGCATTTTATACTCGTCGTTTCTTCTTTTTTTTCTATAGATCCAGAATCAGCAGATCCAGATAGTAGTAATGATGCACAAACAATGCCTCAATATCCATATGATATGAACTCAACAGTACCTTATAATTATCAATATCCATACGATATGACTACAGCAGTGTCTAGTAACTATCAATATCCATATCCATATCCATATGATGCGAGTTCAGCTGCATACAGTAACTATCAATATCCATCTAATACGAGCGCAACAGTACCTACTAATAATTATACAGCACCACCACAGAATCAATCAGTAAAATCAAGCACTTGTATTATTGCCTGAATATGAATTAGATTCTATTCTTTTCATGTCAGATTTTACATATTAAATTTCATTTTCCTTTTTTTTTCTTTCTTCATTACTTAGAACGAGTTACTCCTGTATATTTATTCTGCTCTTTGTTTTCTGAACGAATGGATTTCTTCTTTTGTATACGTCATTGTTGTGTGTTCGTTCTTTGAATGAATTCAATACTAAATAGTTAATTTTTTTTTGCATTTTTTTGAGAAAATAAAGCTGATTATCTGATGGAAAAAATGCCAAGTAATAGATACCTACATTATGTGAAGTGATAGACCTGTAATATATACTATTCGGAATGTCACCAATCATTTACGCATTGTAATAATGACAATCCAAATATTCAAACCACAATTGCAATCGAATCGATTCGACTTGATAGATTTTACCTGTGATAATTTTCTCTAACCGAAATTTAGAAATTCTATACTCAATACACTATTACCCCAGAAGCTAGCTTTTGTTTTAATAAAATTGTTGATAAAAACTTACGACACAATTCCTGTAGATCGTCAAAACGTATTGTCTTATATTTTATTCATTTAATATTCGACTTAGAACGTATTACTTATCATTGGCATTATTTTCGAATTCGGGGGATGTCTTCATTGCGTTCTATCATATACTGATTTAATAATATAACAACTTGTTACTGTGTGATTCGTTTTCTGTGAAAGAATCAGGTATGATTTTATAGTTATCTTATTAACAACATATAGATAAACCTCATTTCGTGAATTAAGTTATTATTGATGAATAATATGATCGTCGTTGATTCGTTAATATGCAAACCGATTCCATAGATATTCGTAACAGATTCTTAAATGTAAATTTTCCGCTTCATTCGCAAGAGTTTTTTGGTGAAAGAATCTTTATTTTTCATTAGAATGAGGGACGACGGGTGCACACATTGATTTGTGTAAGACTTTGATATTTTTCCAGAAAATTTGGACTGTTTATCCAAAAGAAAAATAGGACAATCATCAACGAAGAAAAGCTTGAAACTTTTATCACTCATGAAAAATTGCCTTTTCAACGTTTTAAAAACCAAAAAGAACTTTCCTGGCATTCAATCATTTTCATTTCTTCGTAACACCCACACCCTCTTGGCTCAAATTATCAAAATAGATTCAAAGTCTACACAACAAGGCCATTTTCTATTCATGCTAAACGATACATAATTTCTACAGGCATTATATTGTTTCTGTACAAAGTGAAATATAGATTCGAAGTTTTTCATTGTATATAACGATGCTATTTTTCTTTTATTAATGATCGAAAAATAAAGAATCACCAAAATAATTGCAAATGATTAAATGGCTCGTCAAATAATAAAAGAATACAAGATCAATAGAATCGTAAATAGAAATTGAGCATCTCTCTTTCTATTTTTACTCTATCAGTTTGAAGGGAAAAAATAGAGAATGACTCTATTGCTGCCAAACAATAATAATAAGTGGGATAGCCAAAGCGATAGAGACAAGGAAATGCAGCAAAAACAAAACTAATGTTATGTAATGCCAAGGTGTCATAACACTAAGATCGTTATTTTCAGTATTTGTGTTTCTATTAATAAACGGTGGTTCCCTGAGAGCGTATAGCTCAGGCTTGTTTTTCATTTTAATCTGTTTTAATGATCTTTGAAGAAAACATTGAACGACTTCTAAAACAATTACAATAAAAACCACCCATGCAGACCAGATTGAAAGAATAATAATCATGCCTGTTCGATTTGTACTGAAATCTGCGATAATAACAAAAATAGTCGGCACCGAAAGAAAAAAAGCTAATAGGCCAGTCAATCGATGAAGCCAATTGTAAATGAAACGGAATTTGCCATCTGGGTGGCAACGAAACAGCGCCATCCATGCTTGCACAAGTGCACAACACACAATAATACCACCAAGAACAGAATGAACAAATCTATAGTATTCATCAGACTCTACCCATTCGCCATGAGTTTGCACCAAAATAAAGAAAAAGCCAAGCAGAGTTAGTACTGTGGCCAATAAAGCAACTGTACGATGTACTTGAAACCAAATTTTTTCACCCAAAAAAGTGTCTTTCGAGCCAATTCGTATTGTTCGACCATAACGTGCAAACAGAACTGCAGTTGATGCGAAAACAATCCATGCAAGAATCATCACAGTCCCATGAGCAAATTCATATGTGTCATCTTCTACCTCTGTAACGTGTTCATCGGTTGGTGTAATCGTTGATGTCATTTTTAGTATGAACAGCAACGTTTTCTGGTTTGAATTTTAGCTTGGTAGCCAATCAATTTATAGGACACAAATTGACTGGAACGAGCAGAACGAACGCTTAGCGTAGTGAGAGAAAAATGTACTTTTTCCTTTCTATTTCATGCGTCGAACGGGGCTCTGTTATTTTTTTTTGAGGTAAACAGGAAGATTTTACTGAAGCTAATTACAAAATCCAGAGAAAAAAATGTACTTTTTCCTTTTTATTTCATGCGTCGAACGGGACTCTGTTGTTTGTTTTTGAGGTAAAAAGGAAGATTTTACTGAAGCTAATTACAAAACCCAGAGAAAAAAATGAAATAACGTTACTTCTCAAAAGCTTCTATTACGCATTTGACAGAAAATGGATTCGGTCGGACAATAATTTATGTAGAAGAAAGAAACTCTCTCTCATAAGTAAGAATGCTTGTCAGTTTGGCTGTGGATAGCATATTTAGATAATTGAATTTCTATACATTGAAAACTTAAAAGACAAGAGAAACTAACTATTTGTTTAGCATAAGTAGCAATCCAAAAATTCGACCTTTCTTGAGAACATAATCCGGAATTGCTGAACAATGTTGTTTAAAAAATGCAAAATAAATCATATTTCTATGAAAAATAGGCTTCTGATTGACATTTTCCACTGATATTTGCTGTTCTTCTACTTCAAACGTATGTCTTCCATTAATTAAACAATGACAAGACATCTGAATAAATGAAACCTGCGTTTTATAAAAATTGATTGTATTTATTTTTAGTGATATTTAGAATAAATTCAAAAATCATTGTATTTTATCAAGTTGTATTAGTAAGATTGTTATTATTTGTAGTTCATATCAATGAGCAAAAGCGATGGATAATTGAGTTGTTTGTCAGATGTTTTCTCATTTTAAAATGTTTATTTAACATTATATGCTTATCAATTTTGTCGGTAACGTGATATTTTTCTGTGTTTCATAGCTGTGATATATTATGAAATGTAAAGAAAGAGGAAAAAAAAAGTAACATACACAGCAAAGAAACATTACAAAAAAACATTTATATGCGCCTGAAGTACTATTTTTCATTTCTTCGTATGACGTACGAAAAAATATGCATCTGGTCATGGACTATTACCTGATAGATTGCACCATAATAATAAATATCGTTGTAGAAATGTTATCATGCACTTAAATGTGTATATATTAATTTTGTAAATAAAACGTCTCAATAAGTGCTATGAATAATCGACTGTCGTACGCGACATTGCAAACTCTTCGTTTTCAGACAATTTTCGTTATACTTTTCAGCCGAATTCGTACTAAATACAAATAACCAATTTCATAATGGAAAACAAATCAACACCTTCATCTTTTGTAAAATGATAGATGTACTAGTTAAAAATTTGAAAAGAAATCCTTAATACCTTCTCACAATGTTCCTTTTATCACACCTAATTTTTTTTGTCGTAGCTGTTCGTCCAATCATTGTTTCAACTTAATCTGACAGTATAAAAAGTATAAGACAAGTTTGATCTATATTGGATTAATTTAAGTTTCCGATATCGAGCTCACCTTGCCCTTGATCTTGGAGGTTGATGACTATCTCTATGATGAAATAAAGTGTTATTCTATACAGAACACTCTTCTATCCTAGATTTCTAGTTGACAATTATTGTAATTTCAAATTTATTCCTCACAATCATAGAAGTATTCTACCTTTTCATTTACTAACGCCCCCTATCGTACGGCGATTTCTCAGTTTGTCCACTACGAAGTCTTTGTCTTTAGTGCATTGTCTTGGTCGTTTACTTTTATCGTAATAAAATTTATTTGAAAATCTCTCGTCATGGCTGAAACATCAATTCGTGATGTTTTTCTTTCAATGCAATTACCACCTGTTGATGAAATAGTTGCGAATTCAAAAACAGGTAACTTTTAATGAACGTTCTTCTTTTGTAAAAAAAAATCATTTTCTTATCTAATTTAGACTTTCGAACTATTCGTAAATCTCGTCGATCATGTTATCGTGCTTGTATGGACCGTTAAATTTCTTTTCAAATTCATCATTATTTTCTTTCTTAGATCATGTTCAAAAAGCGGAAGAAGCAACAGATACCTCTAATGCTATTCTCGATGAATTAATTCAAACAATGCGAACAAAAAATCAGCATTTGAAAGAGCATTTAACTCAAGAAAATCAAGCTATCGAAGATTTAATATGTAAAAAGTATGTTTAAGCTTCAATCACTAGTGTATTAGGTAACATTCGTTTTTCATAGACGTGAAATCGATTTATGGCGCCAATTGACCAATTTAGTTATATTACCATCGAATCGCAAAAAGTCAATTAGTGATCAACTAATTGCTTGTAAATTAGTTTCATTGTATAATTATTCATTGTCATTAATTTTGAAAAATTTCAGATGATCTAAATGAAAAGAAGACAGTTGAATTTCACAAAGATTCAAATGAAAATGCTCCATTAAAAACTTGGAATTATATAAGTCGTCATATAACAGACGACTTAATTGAAAGTATTCTTCACGAATCGGGTAATCATAACAATAATAATGCATCTAGTGGACAACATGCGGTCAAAAAAGCTCGACGAACAAATGATGTTGCACAAAAAATTCTTTCCAGCGTAGGAAAATCGAGAACAAGCAATACGAATACTCAATTTAAAGCTAAACGAACAACACGTCGTAGTCGAATGTAAACGACACATGTATTTTATGTACACAATAAATAATTCTTCGTTCATATAAAATTAAACGAATAAACAATTTATATAACTATATATATATATATATATTCTTATTTGTATTTCAGATTCGATTTTTTAGAAAAAGCAATATGGCAAAAGCACCGCTTAAACAATTATCTGTAAATACATTTGAAAGTTCTCGAATTTTGTCACCTAAATCTTCGACAAAAAAGGTATAGTTACTACTTATGTGAATATTTATTAAGTGAAAACAGTATTGAGCAAAGATTTGGAAACGAACTCCTATAGAGTAACTAAGTGTTCTCTTTAGCAGGCCCATAACTCCTTATAGCATTTTCATTCATCTTCGACATCCTTTATGATCATTGTTCAAAATTAAAGCCGATGAATTTTGAACTTCAAAATACTCTCCATGTCTGTTTGCATTGTGATTATGGTAATGTTTCTTGTTGATTGTTAATGAGAAGGAAGTTAGTGATGGGACACCACTTTTTGACAGAGCACGAAACTACAATCTACTCAAATACATATTACTAGTTGAACTTTCAAATGTTTGAGGCTGGCTTACTCTCGACTCGTAATAATTTGGTGACTTGAATTTTTAGATATTTGAAAACAGTCCTCAATAAAAATGAATCCTTAGACAGCGCAATGACAATATCAGTGTGAAGCCAACATAGATGCTTTGTGAAGGTCAAAATAAAAAACTTTAAATATTAGTCGAAGGAGAACTTATTGTTAACTACTTGTGTAGTTGGCTATCCGCAGACTTCATCTTTAGCAACTAGGCGACTAGCTTTCAACTTTTGACAAAAATATCTCCAAGACTAATGCAACATGTTTATCGTCGTGATAAATAGCTTTTCTTTAAATATTCTATGTTCTGTACAATATTATGTTTACGTAAAGAACTATAAACGACACACGTACGTTTCATTTTGTCAGGTCGTATTGATAGGATTGTCGAAGCAAGTAGTCAGCAAATTAATTGTTTCATTTTATAACTTCTCTTCTTTTTGTTGTTTTTATCTCTTAGATAATCTCTTTATTTAAGAAAATAAGTATCTAAAAAGCTAATTTTGCACTATTGTATTTTCTCCTTAAACAATCCATATTTTGCTCGTGTTATCGTTAAATTGCCATGTCTTATTAAAGCTATTATTCTTTTAGAATGCACCTGTTATACTTGATGCACAAATAATAAAGAAGAAGAATGCGGTTTGTAAACAATTAATACCTATTGAAGAAAAAAGTCATGATATTCCATCACTTGTTCAAGTTGGTGTACGAATGCCAACCAACGAATTTGAACAATTTATTCGAAGTAATTTCCTTATCGAATGAGTTAAATAATACGATAATCCTGATCTTTTTAAAGAGGCAGCACCTGATTCTTATTGGCACATTATGGCTGAACATTATCGAATTAAACTGGAAGAAGTAACACGTGAAAATCAACAAGTAATTAATAGAATACTGCATATTTTTACTTGTAACATCGCTAACTTTTCTTTTTAGCTTCATGATATTGTTGATGGTTTAAATAAAGATAATGAGAATTTACGTGCAGTTGCCGATCATTGTGAATATTTAACTGATATTATTGAAGTAAATTGAACGATAATGCCTCTGTAGTCTTCTTACTAAAATGTTTTGTATTTTATTTTAGAGATTAACCAGTGACAATGAGTATGAAAGAGAAAACAAATCATTAGCTAGTGTACGTTTGTTTTGATATGGAAGAAAAATAAATATATGAACTATAGATAGATAGATAGATAGATAGATAGATACATATATATGATTATATAAATATTTTGTTGTGTTTATTTTGTGTTTCTCTTTTGTAAATAAAATGAAGAACTAATCAATGTTGTTCAATAAACACAAAGATTACAAATAAAGGAAAAAAATGATTTTGAACAATAAATAATTTCTTCTAGTTCATTTTTGAATCGAAAATGAAAGCTTCTACATATATTCTTGTTAATAACAAGTCAGATTCATTTTAAAATCAAATGATTATTGCTGAAAAAGAAATGCTCTTATTTTCGTAGTTTATCAATGTTGACAAAAATTTATATGGAATAGTGATAGATTTTTGTTAACAAGTAAAGATCAATAATAGAGAACACGGAACCATACATGTGTTATTTCACTCTTCACGTAGGTTTATACGTAAAAGAATTATAAAATAAATTCTCCATTGCTGCTATATTTTTCATAGATAAGATTGATCGGTTAAAAGATATATTTTTGCCATATACTACTCCAGTATAACCAGACCATATGGATCTGTCAGGACTTACAAGTAGACGAAAGTTCACGATATTTTCACATAAGGTAGAAACAAATGCATCTAAAGATATTTTTAACCTTCTCTTGACGGTTCTGTCTAAAGCAAGCCAAACAAAATATTTGATCAAATACAATGATTTTCTGCCATAATAGATAACTGTCGACTTATCATGAACGAATTCATTTTGAAGATTTCAGGAAATTAAAAACCAGTTTTTTAAATTTGATCAAACACACTTTGTAAACAAATTTATGTACGTAGTGAAGAAATGATTTCTGGAAAACAAAGAAATATATAATTCAGTTTCAAAATCTTCTCTGTATCTTTGACTTGGTCATCGAAATTTTTCTGATTGAACCAAAAAAACTTGTCTTGGGATCTTCATTAACTTGAGACCTTCCAGTGAAATCGGTTGCAAAGTATTAAACACATACATATCATGATAGTGAATATTGTTAGCTTCAGAGAAAAATGTGTATCTTCTAGAATTTTATTCAAAAATATCCTTTGAATTTTAAACGTAATATAACATAGCTTGACACATAAAAACTCATTTTCTTTTGAATCTTATACATATGCATTAAGAAAAATATATACACACACATATCAAAATTCGTATCTTGTCTTCTCATATCAGTTTGTAGTACTATCATCAAGAAGACTGTCATGTTCAGTGATAAATGACTAAAAGATAAACAGAAAAAGAAATTATAATAATGTTCTGAAAAATATTTATTACATTGAGAACATTTTGTAAATAATCACAATGACCAGATAATACACGAAGATGTTCATTTTCTTTACTTAAATCATCAATCAGATTATGCAACTAGAAAAAATGAATATATTAGAAGAATAGTGATCGATTCAGTCTACTTGTTGATTTTCCGTAACTGTTTCTTCAATAGCTCGTTTTCGTCTTTCGGTCATTAATTGCCAATAGGATTCTGAAGTTTCATCTAAAATTAAAAGAACGCCGATTCATTTCTATTTTTTAAAAATCTATAGTGTTCTTTACCTTGCATAAGCATTTGAACGATTTCATCGGCTGTATTACCCGTATCTAATGCTGTAGCCATTTGTTCAGCATAATTAGGTGTATTTGTCGACATATCATGATTTATTTGATTTTGTTCAGTAGTAGTACTCACATTTTGCGTCAAATTTAATGTTGCATTTTTACTTTTTTGATTTGCCGTTCGGTGATTTTCAATCGGATGAAGTAAAAGAAATTTCGATGGGGATTGTTGAGCCATAATCTATCTGGAAAATCAATATGACATCTTTAGAACATTAGGATAGGATGAGTATGAATTAATGTTCATGCTGATAATAGGCAATTTTTTCTAGCTTCAATCGCTGAAGCATGCAAATACTATATGAAATTTGAATACAACCATCCATTCAATTTAATTGATTCTCTTTTCGTTTTCTTTTTCAATTAAAAGGCGTATACCTGAAAGTAAAACGTATGGTATTTATTCAAAATTACCGTAAGTGATTGTAGATTCTAATAGAGATCTAGAACTATGCGAATTCATAAATGAAGAACTAATCAACATAAACAAAGACTTTGTATCTTATAAGGAAAAATCTATTTCAGCATCAAATGTGACAATGAAAACAAAACTCACGTTCATAGTTACAAAAAAAAAATTAGAACTACGATTCCAGTTTATTAATTTTAATACATTTATTGCAAGATGTTAAAGTTAATTCAATTGAAATACGTATGTGCCTTGCAAACTTACCTTTTGTTGGAGGTATAGAATGTCTTCAAAAATTATTTTATCTTGAAACAAAGTGACATGGATATATCAATCGCGGATTTTTACAATAGAGGTCAGCAAATGAGAAAAGTTTTCATTGGATATGTCTATTATTTTGATCGTGTTGAAATATGTTTTCCTTTTATACAATATATATTTTCTGTTTTCTTTTGCTCATGTTATAAATATGTTATCATCACCAAGTTTACTCGAATCTCGTTTAAAATTTTATTCAAGTCGATCTGATCCGGATGTAGAAGCTAAAGTACGTTCGTCTGTACGTGCTATAAATGATACAGTACAAGCAAATGCAAATGAACCATCATTGGCTTTCTATCGAATACAAGTAAAGTCTAAATAAAATCTTCAATTTATTTGATTCTTTTTTGGTTGTTTTTGTAGGAGCATGTTCGAAAATCTTTACCTACAATGATACAAAAAAGAATTGAACTTGGAAATTTGCATGACCGTATGACTGGTCTTATTTTTGACATTGAATATAGTGTTGATGCTGTTAAATCTATTGAAAAAAGTGATGAACATGTCAATGTAAAATCAATGCTTATTATTAATTGTACAGTTTTAAATTGATTCTTTTCTATTTAGAATATTGCAACTTGTTTAGAAAAATCTATTTATATTAGTAAACAAATACATTTAATAAAACAGCAGCAGATCCAGCAACAAATATTAGAAAAAAAGCATGGATCATAAATATTAGTATTAAAGAACAAATCAATTCTCTTCAAACCTAGTCATGAATTACTAAAGTTTTCGCTTTACTTTATTTTTCTCGTTTTATTCTAAAAATTATAAATAAAGAATAATTATATGAAACGATTCAATATCGAAATCAATAATTAAAAATTATTTTCTGCTGAATTTGAAAATATATACTTTCTCAATCGGGTTCATTGACTAATTTCTGAATCAAATGATTCATTAAGTAACTCAGTCATTTAAAAGAATGATTGTTTTCTCTCCTATGGTGTATACAGTTAGATATCCTATCTAATTTCTGAATTCTTATTATTGCGATAAAACTACTAAGATTACCAGAAACTGATTGAATATTAGCAATAATACCGAAAGCAGTGCTAGATGAACACATAGGACAAGATAGCTGTTTTGTGATATTCGTTTTGACATTTTCAGGCTCGAATTTCTTTGAACCAAGTGCACATTATAGAACTGTTTCTCATCTGAATATGAACGGTATCTCTGAATTCAATGAGCCAGTAAGTCTTTAAATCACTACAAAGATTCGAGTTTAATAATAAAAAGTCTAATTGCAACCTACAGTGTTTTTGTGTGCAGAAATTAGAATTTTTACAAGAAGTCAATGCTAGAAGTATGCCTATTGACCTTTGATGAAGGGATTATTGCTTAGCTAACCAACCTTAAGGTACTCAATTTAGATTAAAACTATTGTATTATGCATGCAATTATGATTTCGAATAGAATATCTAGAACACTTTATTAGTTCATGTTTCCGACTATGACAATCGAACATAATTACTACGGAAAAGGTTTTTAAATAATTAAGAAAGCTAAGAGAAAGAGTAATATTACAATATTACTTTTTTTTATTTTATTTCATTCAACAAGTGATAACATTCAAATGTATTTACATTTCCTTATCGTTACTTTACCCATTTGAACTTTACTGATGACTTTATTCATATGACGATGATCTACTTTTTTCGAGAGCAGTACTTTTGACAACAAATTTTTTGAATATTGGAGAAAAATAAGTACAAAAAAGTGTTTGACTCTTTCAATTCCTATCATTAAACCTTCACTACAATGAACAAATAGCTCACATTTCTTGAAGCTGATAAAATATGCAATGCATTTATAATTAAAACATGTCTAATCTCCATAGTATTATTTACAAGGGAAATTTTTTTATGACAGATAGTTTTGGTAAATGTTCAAAAAAATTCAGAAAAGCTAAAAGCTTGACTCAATATAGCACATAGAATAGATTGGATATTATTGAAAAGTGAACCATACTACTAGAACATCTTTGATCAACATCAGTAATAGTAGAAGTCCAGTAAGTAGAAAAGTATATTTCAAACCAATTTTATGGTCTCTCGAAAAATTCAAGTGATCTGGATACATTCCTCTTAAACAAGTGGAATTTATCTTTTGATTAAGATCTAGTTGATATTTTAGTGTCTGTGGTACTTTTATCAACTAATACATTTTTATTTTATTTTACATTGAACAAATCAAGAGAAAAAAAATCAGCATAACATTCAAGATAATTAGTAAACGATATATCCAATACACAGTGTCGTAAAAAAAAAACGCAGTAATTAAATACTATAAATTCTTCCAAAGGAAGAACGGAAATATACATTCGTCATATATGAAAACACATCCATAAGGCGACAACGACATCATCATCACATTAAAAACAACATAAATCTGATATCAACTTGAATCGTAAAATTCGCTTTCAACTAGTTTTTCTCGAAATAATATATACCAAGCCATAGTATGTTGATTTAACGTTAAATTATCTAATTGAATAAATACTTCACCTATACATTGATTTTTTTCGAATTTACCACCACGTTGCCATACTGTTACTTGAAGACGGCGACCTGAAAGTAGTCGTTTTCAATAGTTTAATGAATATTAGAAATATTTTCAAAAGATATTTACCCATAACATTGCAAGCGTTATATTTTAATTTTGAATGATATTCTGGATTATAGTTGCCTTTTATAGTTGCTGTTTTACGCTTTTGCACACGTCTTGTACCCGTTCGAAGATATCTATTAACAAAATAAAATATTTTCTAAAATTCTAAGACAGCAGTTAACTCTGTATTTGTTTCCGGGAAATGTTTTTATTCTTCAGTACATGTTTTCATTTTATCTTAATTTGATCAATGAAAATCAAGTACGAGCTCGAGGGAACAAAAACATGTCTAATCAAAAGCATGTATCTACCGAGAATATTAATGATATAGTATAAAAGCATTATTCTATCTTACGGTATCTATTTAAAAATATAGCTTAGTAAAAAATTTGTGTTCTCTAGTGGCAGAATTACGAGATCATGTGTAGTATGACAATGCCTTGTGATCCAGGCAAAAAGCACGAACAACAGTGTAGGTTTTGATAATTATTAGATGTTCTTGTTTTTTTTTTGTTCAGTGAGAGGTCAACATCCAGACTAGCTATTTAGCCATGGCGACATTACTATTTTTGCTCGATTTTAATGTCTCATTGTTTCTCAGCATCTATGTAACAAAATTCATTCATTCTTCTGAAATCAACTTGATCTTGATGAAACTATAATGAATAAAAGAGGAAATAGTCTATAATGTATATTTTGATAATCTAAATTATTTATTAATGGCCTATATGTATTTTAATAGAATTGTTGATGATATCTTTTCTCTTTTGAGAATTTCTATCAGCATCGATTTTATGGTGTCGATATAGTAATATATGAATTTTGACCGATTATGTAGTCACTTCAACAAATGTTCTTAAAGCTTAAAGAAGAAAACACCATTTTTCAAGTATTAATGACACGAGGTCATCGTCATAAAATATGGTAAAAATGATTGCTCTATCTGTGCATTTTTGATAGTTCTCATACTAGGATTTTCTAAAGAACCTAGACTCGACCAATGTGCTATTGCTAGTGTTCTTAAAAAAGGGCACGTTGATTTAAAGGTCATGACCGAGTTCGTTTTTTGTATCGAGATTTATTTTATTACAGAAACCAACATCTCTATAATTAGAGTCATAATGATGTCTTTCTTTTAGACATCGATGTTTTCCTCACTTTCTTGCACATCCTTCACAAAACAACGTCTTTTATCATGTCGTATATTTTGAAATGTTTCTTCAAATAACAACAACAAAATTGATTATAATCAATCAGAGCCAACAACATAGTACGCTGAACTATCTAACTATCTATTTACTCGATAAATAATTTTCTCATCCGATATACTATAGGGATTTATTTCTTATTTTTCATTTATCTCCATGCGCTCTCATATCGCTTGTATGAGTCATATAGTAATTAATGTATCTTGTTGAATTGATACTTTAATATTAGAAGGAAATAAAATACTTCGTTGATTGTGATATTTATGTTACATCATCATATAAATATTTATTTATCCTAGTTTTACATTTCCAAATTTAGTAGAAACTATTAAAATCTAATTCTTTTGTTATCATTTGTTTATTCATTTGAGTTTTAATAATCGATCTTCGTCACTATGAAACAGACAATGACTAGACATAAATTATGAAGTTTCTTTTATATTAACTTATTCATTTTTTTTTAATGAAGAACGATTGTAGATAATAACACATCAAATGGACTACTCATATAAGAAGCTTCTTTATTAATTTCATGAAAAATTAAAAAACATTTACTTTCCTTCCATATCATTCGAATTAAAAACTCGTTCCATTCCCATCACAGCTGCTCGAGACCCGTGCTTCGAAATAACGATAGCGAAAATCTTTATTTTCTTCGAGTATCGGCTCAGTGTCTTTTGAAAAATAAACACGCTCTTTATTGCATGATCAACTATGTTGGGCTTATATTTACTTAAATTATACAAAAAAAAACACCGAGAAATTTTTCATAGGAAAAAATTGTGATCCAATAGATTTGATGGATAGATTTTTTCTCGTCAGTAAAAATAATTTCTTCCTTGTTTCTTTGTATTATCCTATTTACTTCAACATTCATTTTTAGATTGTGTCTCTTTAAATCTAATCTGAATAAATAAAAGTAACGATTGTTTATAATGACTTACGTTTTAACATATGTATCTGGTGGAATATCTTCATTTCTAACTTCAGTATGATTATGATTATCGTGACTGTCATCAATAACTCGTTCTAATCCTTTTGCAGATATAATATCAATTTCTAGTAGACCTTTGGTAACAATAAGACCTAGTTGAATTTGTCCCATATGCATATAATCATAAATAAGATTTTCATAATTTCTAGGTGGAACTTGACCTGGACCAACAGTGCGCTGTTGAACACTGCTATTATCAATTAATTCATCTTGTTGTTGATCAGATAATGTAAAATATCTATCAATATCATCATCACTGTCAAAATTAGATGCAGCTGAAGATTTTCTTGAACCTGATATAGATGAATGTCGAGATGATGGAATATAGGGTAACATTAATTGTCCAATAGGCATTTGTTGTGATAAAATCGGACGTATTATTGTTTGTTGCTGTTGATCATCTTGATTTATTGTTGATATTACACTATGGCGTGGTGATTTGCACGTTACAGGAGCTGTATTTTCTGATGTAATAATAGCCGAAGTTGTATCAATATCATGTTCTCTAGTCATATTTGTATTAACTTGTGATGATAGCTTTCGTGATGGTGAACAGTTTGCAGAATTCGATGTTGACTCACTATAACGTCTTTGACGACCATCGAATAACTTTGAGATGTTTTTTGATATTCGACGTTTTAATTTTTCTGATTGTGCTCTTATTGTAGATGTACGTCTAGAACTTGATTCATCACTTTTGTCATCATCGATACTAGTCGTTATAATAGTTGGAATTGTTGCATTAGTAATACTTGGATGTTTATGAGTAGTTTGTGACGAAGAAGAACCTCTTCGACTTGTATTGCTGTTATTTATTGGCAACGGAGTTAATGTATGCATTGATAAATCTATTGATACTTTTGTACGTCCTTCCTTTTTACTTGACGCAAGTAGTGGTGGCATTTTACCACTACTATCAGCGCTTTCTACTGATGATGATTTAAATGTAACACTTGATGTTGATGGCTTACGTGTTTGGCGATCACGTAATTCATACCAGCGTGGTTCATCTTCAAGATTAGCTTCATTCAATGGTAATTGTATCATACCAAGAAATTCATCGGATTCATTTGTCGTATCAGTATGGGATTGATATTGTTTCTTATCCCAAAGAAAAATTTCTAGAAGAAGAACATCAACAGTTTCAACTTCATGAAAAACAAATGTTTCATTATAAACTGGATTGGCTGAATGAATTATTTTAGTTTCAAACATATCAAAACCACGATCTTCGAATAACATTTTACCAGTAATAAATGAATATGGTTGATCACCATTTGATCGTAAAGGAAGATTACTTGCTTGAATTATTGTCAAAGCTAATTTCATATCTTCAATATCATGCCAAATTTGAGCTAGAAAAGTAAAAATGGTATCCAACTGATTTTAAGGGAACTATTTTAGAATTATTTTTTTCAAGAAAATCAGAATATAAATCGAAGTCAATACCCATAAAGATTAATAGAATTGATTTAGAAATCGATTTTTTTCTTATAAAATGTTCTATGAATATAAAGTGTATTCTTACTTAATTCGATAGATTCATAGGTCTCGAGAGAGAATTTTTGTTTATATAATATATAATAGGTTGATTTTTAATTACATAAAATACTTCTATTACCAATGGTATATAAAACAAGACAAGCAGTCAATATGAATATTTATCTTAAAATTTGCATTAGCCACATCTTTGGGACTATGATCTTTTGCTGATCTTTTTTAAGTGTAATTCTTTTCATCTTCGAAAAATATTCTTATGTAAAAAAACGCATGAAAAAATGATAATGATGTAATCCTACTTTCAAATAGACTTATATATCGTATTCTAACCATGACGAGCTTGGATGTGAATTAGAAACTTTTGGGATCATCAGGCTTAACTAGATGTAGTAAAGATGATTGTCTACTCCAACGGATGGACTTTGTTTTAATGAGAAGGCAAAAACAGAAATTATCTAAAATCTTACGACGACACCACAAGGACATTTTGAAGTGTATACGTGAGAATAAAAATGATAAGTCGCTTGGAAAAGATCTAACCACAGTTTTTTTCTCGTTAATTAAAATATTTTACCTAGAAGTCGACCACGATTAATTAAAATTGGTTTGAGCTCTTTAACGTTTGGTACTTCAAGTGTTTCAACTGTTTCAAATAAATCTTTTTTTTGTTGTTTCGGTATTGTTGATGATAATGATGGTGGTGGCAACGGTGGTAAGTTCCGTCGTTTTCGTGTTAATGATGATGATAAACGTGGCACAGTTTCAAAATGTCTAGAAATTTCCATCGACGATAGTACTAGACCATTGCTGATTTGTAATCTAATATTATTATGTTGAACAACTAATTGTACAATATCACCACAATGATCTTGTAAAATACGAACTTCTTCATATGTAGATTCAATTAATGAATGTCCATTGAATTCCAGTATTTGATCACCTACTTCAATATAACCTTGAACATCGGCTGGACCTCCATATAAAACATTTGTTACAAAGCATCCTTAGAAAAATAAATAAATAGTTGTAGTTGCCTTTTTTTGAATAACAAACAATATAAATATTCATATTCTACAAACCGAGACTGCTATCTTCACATTCTTGTCCGCCAACAATACGCATTCCGAGACCATTTGTTCGTATTGAAGTATCATTTTTATCTCGATGAAGTAAAATTCGATGTGGATTTGATGGTGGTGTCCGTGCACGTAGTTTTGAATTTTCTTCAGCATGTAAAAAAATATTTTCACATGTTTCAATTGTTTTCCTTCGATCGCCGGCTATTAAACCTGAACCATACGATGGATTGGGTATGCCAAGTGTTGATGAACCACCTGCAGTTGGTGATATTGTAGTAAATTCTACTTCAGGATTACATCCATAATAATAATCTTCTGATAAAGTCTGGCGACGGAGTTTAGGTGGTTTACTATTAAAAGAAAATTTTTGATTTGATAAGAATCAATTTTTTTAAAAATCAATTGTTTCTTTAGCGTATTCATTTCGCATATATAAAACAATTGGACACAAAAAAAACAAACATGTTAGATAGGATAGGTAGGGTCAAAAATCATGATTCATGTTTGCATAATTTACACATGATATGAACAGCTAGTGGGTACATTTCCGACACCGTTTTCATAAAGCGCTTAGGATTTTATGATTACAAAGAGAAAATTAATTCGAATTGAATGATTTATTCTTGTTTTGCCGAAGATAGGTTGTTTTTAGAATTCTTTTGATCTATTATTAAATATAAAGGTCGAAATGGAATAATGATTTCTTATGGAATAAGATATAAGTAAATACTTAATTTTAAGATCTTTGATAAATCTTTTGAATATGCAACTGTTAATTGAAAATTCTCTGTAATCATATCTCACAAGATATTCTAGTCGTCAAGAAACATTGATTAAAAGTCTTCAAAAACAAAATTGAAATACTAATGCCACGCATATTTTCACCTCCTACTTCTAAAACTGAAAATTAGAACTCCTCTTCAAAACTCATTTTGACATATTATTTGAATCCAGAAAAACAACAACATGTTCACTATATTATCAATCAATGTAATCAAATTATACAACTAATTTTACCATTTAATATTAAAAATAAATTGTTCAAAAATTCATTTTGAAGCGTGAAAGTTTGCTTGCAATATTCAACGATGAGACAATAAATAAACTTTTATGAGGCATCAATCAAGTTAACTAATATTGTTGCATGAATAAGACAACTGAAATTAGCATTAGCCTTGCCAAGATGTTCAAGAGTACTAGAAATCAAATTCTTGTCCCGCAAGAGTCAAAAAGCTGAACGGATAATGTTAGTTTTCTACTTTTTTTTCTGTCTCTTGAAAGTAATTATATCTTGAAAAAGTAATTACATCTTGAAAAAGTAATAGACATTTACATTTGGCTAACATTTCTGTATCATAAAAAGTAGTGAAAATACTCATTATTTCTAAACTAATACTTTTCATATGTGTACTCATCTGCATATTCATGTTTTAGTTCTACAACTGTTTTAACTCTTATCTACTATATCGATCTACTTTCGCGTATCCATTTTATTTAGTATGCTTTAGTTTGAATTTTGTTCACGATAATATCTGCCTAACTGTTGTTAAGTATTCATTGATTAGGCCTTGAAATCAACACTGTCCTATCGAGTTAGTCGTTGTAAACACTTTCATTATTTGACTTAGCACATATACATTTTTGAAATTTTTTCATAGTAATCCACTCATCTCGAATCACTTGCAAAGCAGTGCTTCTTGCAATAAGACTATATACTTATAACAGAATCAAAATAATGCATGAAAGAAGATCATAAAATTAATTACTAAGATTCCCCTTTGAATTGAATAAAATTACCTTAATGCAATTTCAATACTATTGTCTTGTCTAATAATAATTTTCTTGGGAACTTTTGGGACATGTTCACGTTCAAGGCTTCGAGAAAAATTTTCTTCTTGCTGTTGTTTGGATATTTTTGAATATAACATACGTTGTCGAACAATATCAGATAAATCAGGTGTTTTACGTACAATACTTGGATAATCAAGTGAACGTTGTGGTAATAATGTGTTATTAACAATAAGACATGATTTTCGCCGTGTTAAATTCGATAAATCAACTGATTTTGTATTTTGCGATTGAAGTTTATGTAATAGTTTCTTGTGTGGTAACCGAGCCGCTGATGATGAGTCGACATCAACACGTTTTGAACAATTTGAAGAATTAGACAAAGAACTTTCATGTGTAAATTGACATTGAAGTTCATCGGATGTACATAATGGCGATGGAATTTCCATTTCATCTGTTTGAGTTGTTTCGCTATTATTTGATATTTTACTAGTTAAAGGTATTTCTGGTAAACGACGAGAAGAACGTCGTCGACGTAGAACAACATTTGGAATATTATTTGATGAATCAGTTTTAGAAATCATTTTTGACGAGGATGAAGATGATATTCTTTCACTTTTATATGATAGTGCATTCGCTGCTAAATCGGATGAAGCTCGTGATTCTTTTATACTATTAACTTGATTATTGTTATTTGTTATTGATTCTACATCATCCAATGTTGTTGTCCATTGATAATCACGATGCATCAATGCTCGTTTGCGTGCTAATGTTTCAGCATAACGAACGCCTGCTCGATTTGTCTTTTTGGGATTATTATGCGTTGTTAACGGATTTTCCGTTATTATTGATGTAGTATTATTCTTTATTGCTTGTATCTTTATTATTGGAGTAGAAAAATAATCCATAGCCTGAGGTAAAGTAAAAGGATCTATATATATATATTATTTTTTCGTGCAATATTATTCAAAAAAATAGAATCTGTGAATGCATGATTTATGTCACTTGAGATTATTTCTCATTTTTATTATGTGAAATGACTAACTGTGTTTTGATGTTCTTAGACAGCTACAACATGTTTTATGTCACTTTCTTGATTATCTTTAGATGACTTTCAGTCATATATAGAACGGAAAGAACGAATAATAATCTTTCAGTGATCATCCAGAACGATATACAAGCTTGTTATCTCTCATTATCATTATTATTATTATTATTGTTGTTTTTCCTTGTTTTTTTTATTATTCTCTCACACCCTCATCGCTTCATATATATATATATATATATATATATACATGAATATTCTATAGACAGCATCTTCAAAATTGTTCAGCTTATTTTCTCTCTTTATTTAGTGGTAGTAGTAGTGAGCTCTTTTCTTCTATATGAAAAGCATGACAAGGACACTAACTACCACAGATAAGTGCTTGCTATTCTCAATAATTAAATGAATATGTTTAACAAAAGAAAAATATTCATATAGATATTTTAAATAATCTTTTTATTAAAAGATATTTAGAACTTACCATACTGGCATCAATACTGGCTTCAGGTGAAGTGAAACTATCACTATGCAGTTGTTCAACCATTTGCAAAGGCGATGCAATGCTACTTTTTATTGATGGCAACATAGATTTTTTTGATGGATTCAAATTACGATGTCGTTCATTGGATGTTAAGTCTTGTTGTTGTTCTTTAGAAATTTCTTCGTTAACTTGTTCATCGACTATTTTTGTATCACTACCATCGATGTTTGTTTCAAAACTTTGAGAATAAAATTCACTTGCTGTATCACATGGTTGTTCAGATGCTGTATCTTCGAATGAAGGATCTGTTATTGTACTTAATGTTGTTGGTTGTGATTGAAGTGATGGTATTGTTGGTGATGAAATTGGACATGATTGTGATGAACGCTTTGGTGATACGTCACGTATAAATGATATGCGACGACTTGATATAGGTGATGGTAACAATATAGGCGGCGTGTCAACGAATATTGGAGTTGATTCAGGTATCTGGTCAAATGATGATGAATTTTTTTCATGTGAAGCTACTAAAATTTGTGATGGTGTTGCGCGATTAGTATTGGAACGCCAAAGACGTGTGAAAAAATTCGTTGATTCACTTAGAATTGTTGATTTATGTTCATTTTGTGGCGATGGTGAAGGCGATGGTAATGAAGATACCAGCGTTGAACCACTTGATGCACGATAAGCATTTAGTTTTTGTAATAAACCAACAGGTGAATGAATAGGAATTACGTCTTCGGTAGGATTCCAAGAACCTCGAAAAAGATTCATTTAAAGTTGAATGAAAGGAAATAAAGAAAAAGAAACTAATGAATACGATGAATGATGAAACATTTTTCTTATCATTAAAAAAAGAAGAAAAAGCAGAAGAGAAAAGGAAAATTGAATCAACTGTAATTCAGTCGGTCATTCCTTTTATTCCTGTTCTTGTTCTTTTAAACAAGATTTACACATTAACTAGATGCTTTTATTCGTCGAATAATTTTAATTAATTCTTTTTTTAATTTTATTTAAGAACATACCAGATTTTCTGATCACTTCACGTCGTACAATACACGTGCGACAACGCCATTTGGATGCGTGAGTTTTACTTTCAACATTATTTCTATCTGATAGACAAATTAATTCTGGCGATGTGTAATTACCACAGCGTCGGCAAACAGGTCGATGACAGTCATTGCATAATGTCGATGATGAAATACTGAAGTCATCCGTTGAATCTTCAATAATTGAACAACAAATATAACATTGAACAATATCAGATGATGATAGTGATTTTTGATTTGGTTGTATAGATGATGCATTATTATGTAACTTAGCTAGTGAAAATTTTCGTTGTTCCTGTTGAGCACGATCATGTTCAATTGTTCGTTGAAGGTGTAGCATTGTACGACGTAAACCAGATAAACATTGATTTTGTTCATGTTCAATAAGAACTTGTTTTCGAAGAACAATTTCTAAGTGGTTGAGTTCATCAGGTGAAAGTGAAGAAAAATCAGGAGATGGAGCCCTGGCGCTGGCTCCTATTAAGATTGGTGCCTGCAGGTCCATGTTGATGCGATTCAATAGCAACGTCACACTCACTTGATAACATCAGCATCAATATGCTTCAACTATTGAAAACGCATTCAGATGAACGAGCTCAACTAGTCTTTCCCTTATTTTTCTATGTGTCTCTCGCTGTCGTTCACACACACACACACACACACACACTCTCTCTCTCTCTCTCAATCTGCCTTTCCTCTCTCGTTCTTGAAGCTTGGTTTGAAAAAATTATAGCGCATTATGGTTGAAGCACGGCATCGTTCTTAAAAGAACTGAAAAGATTCTATTTTCTCCTTGCTTTATACTTATAGTGTTGATGGTAGTATATATCTATAATGAACACGCATACACACGGTATAAACACAAAAGCTTGGGCGTTAGCTATCTCTATCATTTTTTCTTTTCTTCTTCTTAAATATGAGACTAATGCCAGCAGTGAAACTAATGACAACCATTGGAAACCGAACAGAGAAGCTTTCTTTTCCGTTCATGTCTATCGCTATATCTGCCTTCATTGTTGCTAGTAAAAGAAATGCAAATTAGAAAAATTTCGCCTATTAGTCAGACAATATTATCCAATCATAGTAAGATAAAATGAGTTTTCCACTTGACTAAAATTGAATAAGAATACATTTTATTAGAATATGAATATAATTAGCAGAGAAAATTCTTTTTATTTCAATTTACAAATAAAATGCCAAAAAGTAGGAGTGTATGCATCACACCATAGGGTCAAAAAATAAAATACTAATAAAATATATTAATTTAGAAATATCATGAACTCAAAAATTTCCATGTTTTCCTCTAATCAAAAGATTTTGTTTTTTTGAACAACAAACATAAAAAATTTTTAATAGTTCCTAGGTACGACAAAGTCTACATAAATGATTATAAATAAATAATTATTTTGATTGATAATATATGCAAACTAATAAAGACATAAATAGGAGCCGACAAAGCAAAAGAGAACTGTATGTGTGCATATACTAAAATTTTCAGTCACGCTCTCAGATCAGTCGTTGTATTTGTAAACAAAGAAAAAAATATTACTTTCAAGGATTTTCCAAACTGTAAAGACTTTTTCGTAGCGGAAGTAACGATCAATGATTCACATCTGTTCCTTTTCATGTAGCTTGCCTACACTTATTTTTGATGACTGTCACCTTCCGTTCTGATCTAAATACTCCATATAAACTTTGAAGTATTATTTATATGTAAAGAATAGATTTTGAGACTTGATTTCTTAATGGATATGACAGAAATATGCATACTCTAGAAGGATCAATGCTAATGGAATGATTTACAAACAAAATTTAATCTCTTGACGATGACAGAATTTTTATTTGAAAACAAATAGAAGAAAATAAATCGACTTCTTCATCAAAAGATATTACTCAAAAGTAACTATCTATAATTTAGTAGAAAAGCTAAAACTTTGCCTATGCTCTAAAAATAATATATATATACTGATCCACCGGTAATTATGTCAATATCTTTTTCTACAAGCCAAAAATGGAATTATGCATTATCATAAATCTATTATGATCTGTTTTCAAACTAATATGATCAGCGATAGATAGATTTAGCTGCTGTCCAGAAATTGAAAATGCAATAGAACTCAGTTGGGAGCTTAAGGAGTTGTAGAAATCGTAACACGCCATAGAATTCTATAATGCTAGTAGAATTTGAATCAATGATAACTTTTCTCCACAACATCGAATTCACTTTGCATGCTTTATGCACCGTAAGGAATCGAATAACAAAAAGAATTCTCTTGAATCTAAATTTTCTAGATTATTACGTCTTAGTGGCAGTAAATTTATGTAGTAAAATAATACTCAAAAAAGTTGATTTTTTCTTATGATTATGTAATCCTTTTAAAATTATAATTACGTCATCACTGATATAATGATGCAATAATTTAATAGCAGGTAATGCTTCTGTGATAAAAAAAATTATCGATGAAAAGTTAATAACTAATACCGATTCAATTGATAGAGCGGCTTAGTTTTAGCTATCTTTTGTCTACATGTTAAAGATGTTGAGAAAAAAGCGCCACTCATGTCATATTAATGAATCTTCAATTTGACGATCGTTATGTCGGTTATACTATTCTAGATAGAAAATTATATTGAACATTAGCACACTGGGTATTTAATGAGTGTCGATAATTTGAGAAAAAAAATGAGCTAACATTCATTAAAACTTTACTACTCGTCTATAACAGTTCATGATAAAAGATTGTATTAAGAACTAAAAGACTATTTAAACATAACCACGACTATATTTAATATTACGGCAAAATATTTCATTATTTTTCTTTGAAAAAGTATACAATAAATAATTCTTAGCATTAGTCTTAATGATATATATATATTAGTCGTATCGGTACCTAGAATCTTCACATTGTAATCTACTCGTGTCGTCTACATTGCCTATATTTCGATGATAAATAGTGATCTTAAAGAATTGAACAATTATTAATTGGATTTCGATAAAAACACGCATAGACGAATCTCAAATTTTTGCCACAAACAGTAAATTTTTATGAATAGTGAAAAATCCAAAATTTTCATTAGATGAAACTTGACTAGTGTTAGATTAACAGTAGTATTCTTATTATGAATCTTCATACTTTCATATTATTTGCATTAGAACTGATTAATAGCAAGGGGGTAGCATTAAATTAGTATCATGTTTTATTGTCTTTTTAAATATATTATTTGCGGATAGACTTCTGAGGATACACATTCAATAGTTTGCAATACAAGATAAATATTTTCTCAAGTATGATCATCCGTTACCGAAAACCCAGCAAATAGGTCTTTTTTTGGTATTGGAACTTTCGTTCAAAAAAAACTAGAACGATGAATTCTTCACTTATATTCTCACTCACTTCCGAAAAAAATATCGATTCTGTTATTCGAGAACTTCTTTTTATTTAAAAAAATGGAACAAAACTACGATTTTGAGTACTTCTGAGCTTAAATTATCCGAAAACCTAGTCGTTGTTAGTTATTTACTAGCGTTAGTACTAAAATAAGGGATAAATATAAGCCAATACCTAAAAATATAGCAATCTGTATCTGATTTAAAAAAAAGATTTATATCTAATATACGATGAATTTATATCTAATTAAGAAAATAATATATCTAATTTTAAAATTTATTTATATCTAATTTATTAAATAACACTACTTAATAACACAAAGCTATATACAATTAATTATTAAAGTAATAGAAAAAAGTCTTAAGGGTGCGGAGTGTGGGTGTGGGTATGGGTGTTCTTATTTCTCTTTACATCTATACCCCACCCAAGACATTTTTTACACTAACTTTTTTCTTATCACTTATCGTCATTCCCAGCTCATATATACTCTTTTAATTAATTTATAAGTACTTATCAATTATGGATTACGTTCAAATTAATTAGATAAGCCGATAAATTCATTGATAGTCATTTTTTAAAAGTGATAATATATTGAATTAAAAGACAGAACATTTTTTAATGCAGATATTTAATTGATTTAAAAGATGTTGAATTACAAAATTAGATTAAACTATTTTTTTAAAGGCATCCTTTCGCCAGAATAGATACTAATGTATTATGCTAGGAAATATTGATATATTTTAGATATGGATTGCTATAGTTTTAGATATTACATTAAATGCATGCCCTAAAATAATGTTCATCGAATGTTAACAACTTGTTATTTGTTTTTTCTAATACAAATAATACCAAGCCATTAGGGTTAATTTCGATACAAATGCCTGAAGCATTACCATTAGTATTAATAAATACTAAAACCAATGATTATATGGCACCTTTATTTCATGTAATATTTACGCCTTTTCGCTCTCCGTCACCTTACGTTATTACTCTTCCGTAGTCTCACTACTTTTTTTTACATATATTCTTACAGTTGTGTAAGATAGATAAAATGTTTTTAAAGATACTAACAGTACACAACAGGAAAGATATATGATAATTCGTAATGGATCGATTAAATTAATATTTTTTGTAACAAAACTTGTCCCGAAGGCAATAACTCTTTAAATCATTCATTATATTTCTTTTTATTGCCGCGGCAATAGAATTATTGTTGTTTCCAAGTAAAATGCCAACAAAACAAGCCAACATCTTTCCTTTAAAGGTGAATGATTTATGTCACTTGACAATGTTTATTTGTTTTATGAAGCAGCAGTAGTGGTTTGATTTGAAAGGTTTATAGGAGTTTTACGTAGTTTATTTTAATAAGATGCGATCTACAAGAATAAAAATTCATTTTAATCATATGCTTCTTACTGAATTGTTTCTTCTGAATTCGAAAAAAAGACCGTTTATATGATTTTTGTATTATAAAATTGATAAAAACAAGGGTCTTATTTTTGTGAGTAAGATATATTATGCGTTCTTTTTTTATTAGTTTTTTGTTAGAAAAATTCATGTATCCTATTCTTAAAGATGGCAACAAATCGAGACAGAAAATAATCAAATACATATGTATCCATCTTGAGAGAATTTGCAGTTTGAATTAAACAGAAATCCATATGATATTCGTTTTATTTATTAGCCATATGAGATATTGCTTAATTGTATTGAATAAATGACAATATTAATGTTGTTGATGAACAATTTGACATTTTATTACAACATAATGCTATCAACAACACCATTTCTTGCATGAACAGAAAATCATCAGCTTATAATTATATTTGTTTATCTGATAATTCAATATTTGATCACTTTTGTATTGATATCTTGACAAGAATTTATCGTAATCTAAAATATATTATTCTCGAAAGAATATCTATGAAATATAATGTACCAAATTAGCATTGAATCATTTAATATTGATTATTCACCTTTGTCAATATGTGCTTTAGGATCAAAAGCTTTTTGTTTTTAGATTCTCACAAAAATGATGCATCAATATATAGAGGTTTTGCTGATTGACAGAAACAAATACTTGTATAGATTCAATGTGTTAATGACGAATTGCTGATTGTTCATAATAGTCAAAGTGTACGCTTTTGTTGTATAATGGCTAAGTATTTTTTTCAATTTAACGACTGATATCTCGTCAAAACATTAAATTAGCCAGTAATTTGATGCATCGTTTGTTTCTTTGAGAAATGAATAGACAATATTTCAAGTTGAATAGTTCGACAAACAATGTCTATTGGAAATAATTTGCTAATTGAATTGTTTAGAAAATATAAGAAAAAACAGATTTTGTATCTGTTATTTCTCATGTAACGTTCAACTTAACGTATAGTAAAGCAAGAAGTATAAATTTGATTAATATTCTATGTAAAACAAATTCCTTTAAGAAAAATATTATGATCTTTATCAAATTATTCTTTTCGCATGGATTATCGATTCTATATTGCGACAAAGTGGAGAAGCCTTTTTTTGTTAACGCTTTCATATCGTACACGTCCCACTGAGTTCATTGAAATATTCTCTCCACATACAAAAGAGATTACCACCCATGTCGTTCAAACTGCTTCAAAACCGTTGGTTAACCACGGTTATTTCTTCCTGTCGTACTGGCGTATTTGGCTCGAATCTAGGTTGTAGCAAGAATTTATTTTAATTTCGTGAGGATTTATTATAAAACGTTTGAACAAAAGAAGTTACTTCTAATCCAATGCAGAAAATAATTTTCTATTATTTATAGCGTACATGTTCGACAAAAATAATATCTTGTAAAAAAAAGACAACGATATCAGACGTAACTAAGATCTTTTTGTGAGCAAAAAGACATAAAAAAGATTTCAGATACCTTATCACATACAAGTGTTATTTAAAGAATAAAAGAGATTGAAAAACGAGGAATAATCAAAGTTTACAAAGCTATTTAGGATAAATGCTAATTCAAAACGTGTCTGTTTCAATTAACATATTCTTCTACTGTTGCTTGCAATGGCGATTCAATTGTCTTGATGTTGTTAATATTTGTTCTACTTTTTTTAATTTCATTTCGTCGCTTCTGAAGAATACTCTCGTGAAAGCTCAGTCATTCCAAGTTTAACATTTCAATATTCAACTGAAATTTCGATCGCACAGCTTCTAAATAAAATGATATTTAGAGAATTTTCTGAAAATCATAAATTTAGTTATCATTGAACCTTTAATAATTTGATAAAATTTGTCTTTTATCAATTCATCCTTGCTACTGAATGTTAACTCTTCTTTTGTAAATTTCGTAAATAAATGATCCATCACAAGCGTTCCAAAACTACTCAATTGAGTTCGAATACCGTATAATTGAATTAAATCAACAAGTAACGTGACGTAAGCTTCGCTAATACTCTACTGAAATGGGTGACCATGTTTAATAAATAATAAACAATCATACGAGTTTTGGCGTAAGAATTCAACAATGCTATTTTCCATGTCTCAATATGTAGTGATAAGTGTATCCAACGTATTAGCTATTGTGTATAGCTAGATGTGGATCGTTGGATGACCTTTTATTTAGTCCAAAAGAGTTTTTAATATTTAATTTGATTCTTTTAATAAACCAAAGGTTCGTGCGAAGTCTATTCTGTCGTTTTGAAACATTTGGATTGAAACCTATAAATAAGAATACCCAGGAGAATCAGGGTACGTCGGAATCGATCGGTTCCGTTGAATTCCGACGAATTCTGGGTCGAAATTTTGCTGAATTTAACGGAATTTTTCCGACGGAAACCGGACCGGGATCCGTCAGTTAAAAAATCGTCGGAATTCAACGGAGCCGGCCGAAAAGCAACGGAATCCATAGGATCCGATGCCGGAAACGATCGGATCCACTGGTCGGGTTGAATCTCCTGGGAAGCAAGTATACTTTTGTATATATATATTACGTCCTACGGAGGCCTTCCATACATCGGCGTGAAACTGGTCAAGCCTACCTTGGTGCTCATAGCGCATACAGGCCGCATATAGATCGCCCTGTTGTATTGTCTATCCACGTTAGATCTATGCCTGTACATGAAGAGCCTTGACTCTCTATGGCACCACCAAGGTAGTTCTTGGTCGCGCGAGCGACTATTAGCTGGTAAGAAGAAAAAAAATTTTCATTCCAAGCAATTCATTTCTTTTCATTTAACAAATAAATAAAAGAAGTAGAAAAGAAACATATGACGTAATTTTATATTTTTGCTTTTTTCTTTTCTTTGACGCGAAAGAGTAACAGAAAATTTCTTTTTTTTTGTTCATTTATTTCAAAGTATAGAAAAAGAAACGAACAAAGAAAAAACAATTCACAAGTCTTTTTCGATAGAAAATCGTTGAACACGATGATTATCGCGATCGGCGACATAGAGATTACCGTGTCGATCGAAAGAAAAACCATACGGGACGTTGAACTGATTAGCTTCTGCTCCTTCACCATTTCCACCCACAATTACAGTGCCATGTTTCTTGTCTCCTTGAGTCCAACGCATTACGCGATGATTCCTCTCGTCTGCTACATAGAGTGTACCCAACGTATCAGCGAAGATTCCATTAGGATGAGACAATTGTATCAGAGCATCCCCTACGTCTTGTCCTCCAGCGACCACAATACCTTTTTTCGTACCTTCCACCCATTTCACCACACGATGATTGTTGTAGTCTGATACGTACACTGAATGATCTCGATCGACAAAGAGATATGTCGGAAAGTTGAGTTGATTGAGTCCATTACCTTTACCATTTCCACCAACTACGAGAGTGCCCTTCTTCTCACCTAATTTATATCGTCTTACTTCATGTTTTCCATCGCCAGAAACGTAGAGATATCTCTGCTGATCCATTACTAATCCCCAACAGTCGATCTTGTCAATGAGTATTTCACCTTGTGTTGTATCACTACGACGAGGCCATCGTACAACTCGTCGATTCACTGGATCACAAATAATGAGACTATCCGTTTCTTTGCCAATTAATACATCACTTGTCCAATACAATTGGTGCAATCCCTTTCCTGAGTCGTTACCACCAGCAACGACTTGTCCATTCGCTGTATCACCGTTTTTCCATTGCATGATACGATGATTCCAGCAGTCAGCAATAATCTCTTTTTGATCATCATCAACGAAGAGACCATTAGGGCGGTAGAGTTCATTAGTGGTATCGCCTTCCCCGTGACCTCCAGCAATAGTCATTCCTTTATGTGCCCATTTAGCATTAGGAGGAATATTACCTAGAAGAGAAAACGTATAAGAATAAAAAGGGATCTTTCTCTTTCTCTCTCTCGAGTATAGCTAGTATATAAAATAATTTCGAAAGTATCAAGCAAAATTCTTTGAATGGATCATTCTTTTTTTCTAGAAATTCCTCAGAATAAGTATTTTCTATACTGGAAGATTGTTCTATAGAATGAATATAGCATATTGTTCTCTCTAATGCTCTTTTTTTGCAATTATATTATAGTGTCTTGTTATGTTTAAAATGAGATTTTTTGCTTTGTTTTTGAGATGTTATATACATGAGAGTCTATATTTTCTATGAACAGACAAACATATACAGTAAAACCTCTCTATAATGAACAGTAACGGGACCGTTCAAAAAGTGTTCATTAACTGAACTCTTGCATGTATACAGTTCATGTTTAGTAATACCGATTGGTGTCTACTACGCATCTTGCGTATCAGAATTCACCACAATAACTTAAAGCAAAAACAAAGAGTATTTCTTTCATCTATCAGCTATACATAACATTCAATATTTACGAAACAACGTTTAAAAAAAATATTTCTTTCATTTCTTACACATATCTATTTAATTTCTATGATGCTGTTGACTGAATTCATCTCGTAGATTGCGCTTCTTAGTTGAACTTTCATTTTGTTCATAACTTTCAATATACTCGACCTTGCGCTTGATAATGTTAGATACACTGCCGATTGAGGTCTTATATTTTTGTCAGCAAGTGTACGGTACGAAAACTTCTCTTCATTTTCACGAATTAACTGTATCTTTTCAGAGAGGATTAATGTGTGTTTTGTTGTCATCACACAATCGTAAATAGAAAAGTGCTTTGTTATTTCACATGTAAGTGATCATCTTTACACGCGGACTATTCATTTTCATTGCTCCTTTTGTTCTATACATTCAGAGTTGGGAGGTGTTCATTATATAGAGGTTCATTTACAGCAAAAATTGATCGGAGGGACCGAGATACGCGTTCAAATAGGAGGTGTTCACTTTAGAGAGGTATTCACTTATAGAGGTTTTACTGTAATATATAACGATTTATTTCTTATATGCGACTCATGCACATGAATATTAGAAATTTTTTAATGCAATTTCAGCTTATTATACGCGTTGTATTATTTTCCTATGATCAAAATATTTTACTAGAATATTTTTCGTTCTCTTACGCACGCCCCCCCCCCAACCCTAATTTCTATTTTGGCTTCTGATCATCCGGTCTAGCTGAAAGTTTTAGAGAAGGTGTATCTACTGATAGTAAGGTTACGAAAAACATTTCACTTCGAAATATTGAGTTGGTCAAGATTTATCTCACAATCATGAGTCAAAATGGGAGTGTCGGCGTTTCCAAAATTTCTCAGTCATTTTCAATGCTAGACAGCTTGGGTTACTTTTAAAATATGTCAAAAACATCGCGCTAGAACTTAACAGAGCCCAATTTGTGTTTTCATTTGCAGTTTTTTTGTTTTGTTGAAGCTTATCTCATACGATGTAGCAAAAATCCGGTATACATTGTAAAAGATTTGAGTCTCATGAGACATTAAACACAAAAATCTAAGATTCTGGCTTTGTTAAGTTCTGAAGCCGACTATTTGCTTCATTTTGGCACCAACCGGAACTCTGTAGTGTTTAAAATGACGGAGAAATTTGGGAAATAGAAAAGTTTTAAAACAAAAACGCTGTTTTGAGAAAAACGCAAAAGAAGTTTTAGAAGTGAATTTCAAGACTTTTTCTACAATAGCATGTTGTGAAATAAACTTTTTAGTGATTTCCTATCGATCATGGATTAGAACGAATTGAATAGACGGATGTAGAGGCGTATGGGAAAACATTTTTTTTACTGCATATGATTATATCGAAATTCGGGTACGATTGGGTGTGTTCCATATTTTCGCAATATCTTCGGAACAGTTTTCGTGTGGGAGCTCGGAGACATCTCAAAAGATAGAGCTCTATTTCGGCAACAAAACCATACATCCTGATCGGTTCAGACACTTTCAACAGAAACGGCACAGACAAACTTCCACGAGAAATATGAAAAAGTACTGTTCAATCATGTGAGCATTTTACTTGTGCCGTTTCTGTTGAAGGTGTCTGAACCGATCAGGATGTATGGTTTTGTAGTCGAGACAGAGCTCTATCTTTTGAGATGTCCCCGAGCTCCCGCACGAAAACTGTTCCGAAGATATTGCCAAAATATGGAACACACCCAATCGTACCCGTATTTTACAAGCAAAAATGCGTCGAAAGCAGTGTTTCAGCTCGGATTTCTCTTAGACAAATCCAAACGGCTTAATATTTTGGATTTGAGTATAAGTTGACTGGACTTTCTGTTTGAGATATAAAAATAGAAAATCAAAATATTTTTCCCAGCCAAAGACGGATGGCCCTAGTATGGACCTCTTCGCAAGGATCAACAAAACACGACGTATCACTCTTCAAAGAAGAGAAATCCAGGAAAATAGTTCATAACAAAGTTGTAGAGTTTAAAATTCTCTATCGAACTAGTGATGAAACCTCTATTTAAATTCTACTAAAATTATAATAACACGACTGAAATCCGTCAGAAGACAAACAATGGCGGTCCTAAACAAGCTATTCAGTGTCAAATGACATCGCAGGCACCTCTTTTGATATTCGCAATAAAAGTATTAGATAGAGAATGTTTTTTTCTATCTTTTGATGTAAAAAAAGCTATGTTTATTTCTTACTTTACTTCCAAAATCGGTCACACACGAGGTGCACCCATGGGCAAAATTTTAGTCAAAAAATTGGTCTGGTGGTGGCTGTAGCTCAGGCCAGGTAATTATATACAAACGAAGTAAAAATTGGAAGATATACGTAAAAAATATTCTCTATTGAGTGCGTACATTGAATAAAAAAAAGTAGCAACTGCGATTCCCCTCTCATATTTCTAGAATAGAGGTTTCGGTAAAACTGATGTAAGATCTTGAAAACTCATCCTAAAATACGTAAATTATAGTGTGTTCGATAGCGGACACTTTGCTCTATCAAGCGCACTATAAATTGATAGATTGAAAAGTTTGATGAAAATTGACTTTTTAGGGTAGGGGAGGGGAGCCTTAAAAACTAAATAATAAAAGAGTAAGAAATGAGACGTTTTTAGCTTTTTCTTTCAAGGAAATACAAGTTATTAATATGTGGTGGGTTCAAAAACAAAATAGAAAAACAAAAAATTTTGTGATGCATCTTGGGTTAAGATCTGGATATGCACTTTCGGAGGAGATCCTAGAATCGAATCGAACTGAAAAGGTGTCTATTCGATAGAGCTCGTCAAGCTCTATCGATTGGTACCATTTTCACGTATTGGTACCACGGATTTACGAAATCTCTACATGTTTTACAAAAGAAACCCGGTTTTCTGGCTTGATTAGCAACTTTGGGCAGGTTTTTGGCATGCAACTGAGTTGAAACTTATACCAATCGATAGAGCTTGTCAAGTTCTATCCTGGTCCACCTCGTTGATTTCTTGGTCCCACGTATTAACGAACCCCTAAAAGAAATACTAGAATCCAGCTTCACCCAGAAGGATCATCCTGCCGTCTGAAAGGCCATCGGAAGCGGCCTGAAACGGTTATAAAACGACATAAAACGGCATTAATTTTCACCCTATTTCGCCGTAATCCGTCAGCTCGTTTTACGGGCCGTTTTTTTGCTAGAAAACGGGCATCGCTTTTAACACTATTCTCTTCGTTTTCCGAGCTGACGGAAAACGGCGCCATTTTTTAACGTTTTACATCGTTTTTATGCCGTTTCAGGCCGTTTACGGGCCGTTTTCTTTCACCTGGGCAAGATATCCTACGTATATTATTCGCTTTAGAGAAGAAAACGGAAGTACGTCTTCCTACCATGACGGTGAAAGAATGAATACATTAGTATAGACATAGAAGCTGTGGACAGGTATAACTACTCTCTACTCTGAACCATCAGACACACGCGCAAAGTCGTCAACACAGTTATAGTTTTTGTATGCTTTTCTTTTTCCTTTTCGTTTCCTTAATGGAGCCACAAGTAACCACGCTTCTTTTCATAATAGTTTCGTGCAAAACACAGAAAGAAAGGAAAACGTCGACCAAAGTAAAATTAGTAATTAGAGACTTCCATTGTTACCAAAGAAAAGTAAAGTTTTTCATAATGTATCTTTTCCTAAGAAGCCGAAAAGAACAACTACAATCAAACAGTTTGTTCAGAAATTTTCTACTCTTCAAAACGTCAGTTAAAACTTGGAGTTACAACATCCATAGCAGAGGTAATTAATGTTCATTAGTCGTGACCAGCCGTCACCAGAGTTGATCACGGCCGATGAAAAAATCCTATCTCTGCTGAGGATTAATCCTACTTCATGTTTCAACCGACACTTTGAAGAGTAGAATATTCTGAACAAACTGTTTGCTTCTAATTGGTCTTTTCGGCTTCTTAGGAATATATATTATGAAAAACTGTTGTTTTCTTTGGTAAACAGTCTAAATGGGGAACGAGGAACATAAAAATACAATTATCGATATCTCAAGCATGCATCTCCTCATCAAATGCTTCGACTTGAATCACTTTTTCCTGACATAATATTCGTTAATCAAAATTACTAATTGCGTAAACAATTACCTGAAATGAGAAAATGGCTCTTTTTTTCGCTTCATATTACTTACGCGTCTTTGCATTGTTGCTGCATGAATAGTGTTATCAGCATATATTACATGAATGCCCAATCTCATATTGCCCGCAATATATAGTCATCATTAACAACGATTATTCGAGATGACCAAAGCACAGCGTGGACCACGGTCCACATCCAGTTGGCGACGTAAAGTACTGTCAATTCTTAAAAATGAAGTTACATGGGGTATCATCGCTATTCTCGACTGTGCCATTGCTCTTGCCATTATCTGGGCGACAAATAGTCCAATAGCATGGCAGAAGTACAAAGACCCTGCCCACGAGCAAGGTTTCATTGCTATTATTGGTGGCATTTTTGCAATTGTCTCGTCGTTCATGAGTCTTATTCAGATCATTCAACATTTTATTCACAAGTCATATCAACCATCTCAAAAAAGAATCATTCGAATACTGGCCATAGTTCCTATATATACCATGACCTCATGGCTGTCATTACTTTTCTTCGAAGCAGCCATCTATATGGAATTCGTGCAAGCATGTTATGAAGCCTATGCTATCTACTGTTTCCTTATATTACTGACTAAATATCTAGGGGGCCACCGAGGAGTGGAAGAAGCGATTATGTTGAAAGAAAGAGTTCGACTAACATTTCCATTAGGGTTTTGTAGACTAACACCTAATAAAGCATGGGTGTGGTATTTTAAAGTTGGCATTCTACAATATTCATGGATTACTCCATTGTGCGCCTGTATCGTCGTTGTGCTTAATTTGACCGGTCTATACGGTAACGGCCAATGGTCGTTTAATCGAGGTTATTCCTACATTACAATAATTATCAATATCAGTCAAATACTTGCTCTCTACACTTTAGTAACATTCTATATTAATGTCAAGAAGGAATTACGACCATTTAAACCTCTACCAAAATTTATCGCTATAAAACTCATTGTGTTTTTCATATTTTGGCAATCCGTTCCAATGAGTGGCCTTGCAGCAGTTGGAGTACTTCGAAATACTCAATGTGACTCGACGACAGATACTAGCTGTCATGGATCAATAACAGGGCTCACTGTCGAACAGGAGAAAATTTTACTGTCAAATGTATTGATCTGTGTGGAAATGTTCTTTTTCTCAACTGCTCACCACTGGATTTATAGTTGGAAGTCGTATGCGGACGGATCACTCAGAGAATTGATGCAATATCGCTATCACCATATGAATAACAACCAAAACGATGAAGACGCAAATATTATCATAACAAATTCTTGATTTAATTGCTTGTTCTCTGTTATTATCTAACTGTATGATACTTGAGAGAGAGAAGGAATATATGTTATTCTAATTTTGACCCAAAAATAAAAAGCTGCTAGCGCAATCCCTTTGGGGTTTAAAATGAGAAACACGATGAAACTTCTTTTATGGAATTCGACTGTCACGGTCACTGATGGTCTGTGGAGCTTCTCTGTTACAGTCTGTATTGTGATGTATGAAGTCTCTAGAAACCACCACAGACCGTTACAGAGACTTCAGAAACTATCACAGACCGCTACAGAGAAATTTAATAATTAATTAATTAACCAATTAACTGATTAATTAATTTCTCTGTAACGGTCTGTGGAGGGCGGGTCCAAATTTCTACCCTGTATACTTCAACACTCCTTTCAGATCGTGTTTCAAAAAATGTCGAGAAAACCGTTCGTAAAAATTCCGATCATTCAAATGCCGAAGATTAAAACTGTTGCAGACGAAAATTTAAAGTGAGAGTAGGAGTAGATAGTCATGCATTTTTTGATAACATTTTTTTCGGATTCTGTTAGCTTTCTACATTTGTAATTTCATTATTTTTATTTTCGATACTATGAGCTTCGGCATTAGTTAGATGAATTGTTATATAATTTCCCAAGAAAATTTTAGCGCGTGGGTATGCGTGAATATGAAAGACGATCAAAGTTCATATTCAATCACAATCACATCCAAATCTTCAAAATATTAATCAAAATATTAGGTAGAAAAAAAGTGAACATATCTTGCCAAATTTACGTACAATATAATTATATTTTCTTGTGCCAATAAGTAACGTTCATCGTATACCGATTCTTGAGGGTGTGTCAAGCATACCATGATCTAGATTTCGACCTTGCTTAAGGGTCTCGTCAGATGGTAGTAACTATCTTGAGGGTGTGGGTGTGGGTGTGAATAGCTACCATGATCTATAGATTTCATTGGAACAACCGAAATCATCAGATGGTAAATAATTCTAATGATTTAAGATTAAAAAATCAAAAATCAATAGATTAATTTATAAACTGTCATATACAAGAAAAATTCTTAAATATATGATGATAAAAACATTTCCTTTAATTTGCTTAGTAAATTTATTTTTTATTTGCTAATATTTCAACGTGACAATTTTCGAAACGTTAATTTTTTAAAGTTTTTCAAAGTCTTTTTGTTATGTTCTGATTTGATCGACATGTTACAGATGTTTGTTAGCTTTCATGTTAATCTTTGTTGGTTATAAATCGAAGTTGTATCTTGTTCAGTTTGTTGTGATCTTTTGTTTCTTTGGTTCTAGTTAATTAGAGAAAAAAGGTAACTGGTTAATTTTTTGTGAAAAGTTTCGTTGAAATTTTTTTGAAACTTACTCTTTGTTATTTTATTTTGTAATATTCCTTCTGTTGGACACTTTCGTATCAGTTCTTTTTGAGACTCGCGACGATTCCGATTACCAACGATCAATCGTGTATACATGGCTGCTGTTTGTTGAAAGACGTCTGTGTATATTTGGTGCATATCTGCCCGATATGATTGGAAACGTTTTTCGTGTGTAAAATGTATAAATAATTTTTCATCAAAATTTGAAGTTGCTTTTTCTGTTTGTTTTGTAGATGCATTTGGTTGATTCAATGGATCATTTGCTTCATCATTGTCAATGTTTGCTTGAGCCACACTCATTGCTACTTGTGATTGACGAAATGCTGGTTGATCTAATCATTTTTGTCGTCTATGGATGTATTTGTTTTCGTCATCAATGAAATGTAAAAATGGTGATATTGATATATATTCGGGAAATTTTTTCTTGAATTCATTTTCAATAAATGTCAATCGATGTCTATAAAATATAGAATTAAATAAAATTCTTTTCGTAATATATTTTATATAAACTTGCTCGTTATAGAGTAACATTAATTTTATAATACGTCGTTCATTATTAAATTCTTGAAATGTGGATGAATATCTGGTAGCACGCTCAAGAGAAGTTTTAATAATATTTGCAAAAACATGTCGTGGATGATCAGATGTAAATGGTGTAACATATAGTTCAGCTGCAGGCTTATGATAAACAGATGTTGCCAATGTACCATTATTATTTGTAAGTAAAACATCAAGAAATGGAAGACTTTTCTTGATTTTATAATCTAATTTAATATTTAGATGCCATGTATTTGCATCATCTAATAATATTCATAATTCTTCTTCAGATTTATTCCAAGTCATAAAACATCATCAATGTATCTAAAGAGAAATTTTTTTTCTGAAAAATAGTCATTGATTAATTTATTTCTGGTCATTTACCGACCATATAATTCGCCGTTTCGACATTTTTCCAGCACACCGTGGTGAACTGATGCTTGCATCTTTTTATAAAATTCCACTTGTTTTAAACGTTGATCATTGATTTGGACAAGGTTAACAATTAGCTCACGATAGTAAACAAGTTGTCCATTATTCAGATCAATTTGATTAACATCAGTTGATGATGAAACCTCAAATATTTTATTTTTTACTATATTTTCCATGTCGTACCAATATGCATGCTGGATAATCTGCTGCCGTTATAAAGTGGTGACGATCGACCGAGAAAATCATCTTGAATATCATTAGGCTTTTTTGTATTTTCATCTCTATCGTCACGATATGCTTCATAATCACACGCATCTTCATCAAGTGTTAAAGGACTATTGTTAGTTGTTGATCTAGAATATTGTGTATCTTATGTAGGATGATCATTTTCGTCTTCACTACTACTTGAAATATCTAAATGATTAACAAAAGTTTTCTAATCTTCGTAAGCGCCGTGTGCACTTTTTCATGATGCGACGAGAACAAAAATACTTGCGATGTATATAAAAAGAAATGAATATCTAAAATTTAAATAAAATTCAAGACATATCTGTTCTGAATAAATAAGACAATGCAAATGAAGCCAGTATAATGTATTCATTAAAAATTGAGTCGTTACTTCAAGAAAATTCTAATTACTATTAGTATGATGCATATGAATAACGAGTTTGGAATAGTTTCCAAATAATTCAGTAATCCAATAGAAAACAGAGAAATGACCTCGCTTAATCAGGTTTAAGATACATATATTTTTTTTTTATGAGAAATGTCATGAAGCATCTAAGAAAAAATGATTAAAATTATTTTCATCATTATTTATTCTTTTTTCCTACATGAACACGTTATCTGTTACTTTACTTTGTGTTGCTAGTATTAAAATCAACCGCAGTTAATCGGCGGTTTTTCAAAAAATAAGACGACCTGGGAAGCGATTATGTTATGAACGATTCAGAGCTTTCTGATCGTAAGTACAGAGACACTTTGCTCATCATAAGAACACAATATTAAGTTTTCCATTTTCAAAATCCAGAGCATTCAATGGAAAGGCCAACCATATAATCATTTTTGGAAATAGGTTACTACTTAAGTCAACAACTCATCAATTGATCTTATCTATCTATTATTATGCCCTAGCCGATTTATTTTGTAACCCAACTGTATAATAATTAAAAGAAACAATGCTTGATGTATGAGTGTTGCGTCAAAAATAGCCACACAATGCGCCCAAAATTTATAGCGCAATAGTAAAGATACCATCATGATCCCATCGAAGCAATGCATTGACAAACAACAGCTTCTAATGTAGCAGTTAGTTCACTTTATTTGTCTTCTGATTCTGAGTAATCTTTGAAAAGATACCCATTAACATCTATTTATAGATAATCAAATTTTAGCATAGATACAGTCACAACTTCAAGAGCATTTTTTTTCAGGTTTTTATTTCCATACACACCGCTCCTCGATTAAATGAAGAGGGGCGCTTTGGAGCAACTTCGGCCCGATTGGAAAAATACATCAGTCCAATCTGAAAGTTTCTTGAATCACAGAGCGCGTTGTTCTATATCGTTTCTACAAGTTTCAGTTTAATCCACTGTGTATAAGGTCAGTTGTGATCTCGCCCATATGAGTATCATTTGGGTACACTGATTGAATTTTGAGTCGGTACGTTTTCACCATAAAAGGAAATACTTTGTATACCCTTCGACACAGAATTTAACTCTGAACAAAACTGTGTCTAGAAGTTCTAGGCAGAGTGGAGAATTTCTTGCAAAATGTTGAGAATACTATTTAGCGGGGGTCATCGTCTATCAAGTGTGGTGGCTGTTGTTATCTAATTTTATGGAGATCCGGAGCCATTTTTCTACTATTTATAGAGCATTCAAAAAGCTCACAAATGATGGATAAATCACGACCAAAAACCATGTCGGCTGCCATTCATGGCTGAATCCAATAAAATTGTAATGATAATTCTCGATTCTGTCGATCAAAGCGCAATATAACTGAAAATTAAACTTCTTATGTGGAATCTACGCAAAGATTTATGTCGATTGAGTGCAATAACTATTGAGAAGCCGGAGTTTCGATTTTTTATGAAATCTCACCAGGGCTACCAGCCGTACCCCATTTGGGGGTACAGTACCCCATTTGAGCCTTTTGTAGCTAAAAAAAATTGTACCTCTGAGGTAAGCATTTTGTACCCCATCTGCATTTTTCAATGTTACGGCTACTATCATCCATATTGTGGTTGAAATTCAGAAAATTTCTGTCTCTTTATCCGACATTTACTCGTATTGAGAAATATGTCAAGCCTCAATTTGAAATTCGCAAAATTATTTTTGATGTGTTCTCAATTCCTTGCTCGAATGCATTTGTCGAAGGCGTTTTCAGTCATATGAAAAGCGCATGGACAGCAAGTCGCAATTCGATGGTGAGTGAAACGATAGCTGCTGAATTGAAAATCAGATTGAATAGTACTATGACATGTGAAGGTTTTTTTCTTTACTCAAACACAACCGCAACTAATAAAGTGAGCCAAAAGTCAACAAAAATACAGTTTCGAAAAAAAGCGTGCAACAGTTAGTGTAAATATAAATCGAGAAGGTTCGCTTTGAGTAAGCATTGTTTTATTATGATTGAATTGAATATATGTATGTCAAGATGAAATTTTATTGTGAACATATTTATTAGAAAATAAAGATTTGAATTTGAAAGCTAGTCTTTATAGTAAAAAGAAAAACTGAGAATGCCCTTTCCAGATTGAAAGTAGTTTTCGGAACTGATTTCCGTCGCTGATGAGCAGCGTGAAAGATGTAAATTGCGTACCTCCCGAATGTACCCCATTTACAACGGAGTTGTACCCGACGTGCACCCCATTTCGAAATCAGTGTACCCCATTTGGGACCTGAACACCTGGCAGCCCTGGTCTCTAGTTATAAATATCGACAGAAACATCAACAACAGCTAGAACAAAAACCAAAAATATATTTACTACTGATTAATAGCGTTTATAATTATTGGGTATATTATAAACCCAAATATTTAGGCATGTTTTTCACTGGAAGCAATATGACGGTTTTAGTAAAATAGCGGAGGCGTTTTCTTTTCGCCGATGTCACTTAATCAATATTTAGTGACACCTACAATTTTTTTCATATTAAAGTCATCGCGTCGTTCGCCAAACGAGCTGAAATTAAACAAGTGGCGAACAAAGATTTACAGTAAGTTAATTGTATAATTAGAATCAATGAAAAGACGAAGGAAAATCGATGTTTATAAATGAGACACACTGAAGAATTTAGCTATACAATTCCATTTATTAAAATGACTGATTTTTGAATTCGAAAAAGGATTTCAAATTTTCAAAAACTTTGTTACAATGAAGACTTTTTTCAGTATGAATGACAAATTAATTTCTTAATGCTTTTAGAACATGAATACTTCATCATCAAAACAATCATCGGACTCAGCTTCTACTTCCTCGTCAACAATCAGACAGAGATCAAACACCAATATTATTTCTAATGAAGAAATAATTGGTAAGCCGCTTATTCTTTTATCTTTGTATTACTGTCGACAGCAACACTTATGTTCCTACGTTAACTAACTTATATGATTTACTTTTTAATAAGAGAAGTAGCTCCAACGAATTCGCATAATGCATACGTATGTTTTAGACTATACACATTAAATAAATCAAATCATATCATTCATTTTGAATTTGGTTTCCTTTACTGTTTTCGTGATAATATGACTCCAGATCTAGATAAACACCAAGCGACGTCAATACAAAACTTAATGAGTGAAGGTTGAAATTTACGATCAAAAATTGTCCGAATTAATGAAAATTTCTTGTTTAATTTAGCTATTGAGACTTACAGATACGCTCTAAATTATATCTGATGATGACGCTTGTTTTTATATTTTCGTTATTTGTTTTCTTTTAAGAATCATGTGTGTCACATGTTCACAAAATTGAAGCACCTGAAGTTTTTAAAGAAAAGCTTGAACAACATATACGCAATTTTAAATTGGATGAACCAGACGATGATGATTCAGCAAAATCTGGTATTACTCATTGTTCAATTGAATCTCTCGAAGCTGAATCAACACCAAATCAAGGTTGTCGAGCGTATATCACTAAACATGTCTGTGGTAAGTAAACAATTGAAGTCATTCTATTCCACATAGAGTGTCACGCCAAGCACTACTATCAGATTAAAACTATTTAAACTTCAAGGATTTGGTCTCATATTTTGAAATAACGGAGAACTATCTTTGTAATAAAAATATTTATCAAGCTATTAGTTCTACTCTTCAGCCTGACATTAATAGCTAGATTGAAGATTGGATGATTCTCAGAAAAATTTCAATCATGATTTTTTATGAGCATAGTAGCCAGTAATGACATTTTCCGAATGACTGCTCAAATGAGAATTGAGATATAGTCATTAAAGTAGCTTATTATGGCACTGATTGTCAGTTAAAGGGATCTCGGTATTATGAGATAAGCTTTTGATTGACTAAACTAGACACACGGACCAGCATTTTACACTAGAAATAAAACAAATAAATTATAAAAGCGAGAAGCAAAAATCTTCGGACGTTGTATCTTTTCTTTTACTAGTTGGATTTATTCGAGGATCTGTCAATTAGTTTCAATAGATGAAGGCGCGCCTACTTAATGGTAGTTTCACATCCAAAATGAATTTCTTCGTCTTACAGCAATAGACTCGTGCTAGCATCAGCTGAATGATTTCAATGGTTGAGTCGGTTCAACTCAAAAAGGTGATTTTCTTAGTGTCCAAGCTGTATCGACTCGTGCACGAGAGGTTTTTATGTACACAAGCACTGTTGATAGTTTCTTGAGTGAATGAAACAAAATCCAGCAAAATGTATCGTCTGAAAATTCCTGTGTGTCATTTTTGGATGTTACATCTTTTTTTCTAGTACTAAATGCTCGTGATGCTCTCTGGTTTACTGAATAAAAATCTCACTTTGTAATGTCGAGATCTTACTATTTGAGAATGCGTACTATGAAACACGATCTAAAATGAGTGCTGAAGTCTATATAGGTAGAAATTTGCACCACCTTCCCCAGATCCTGATGGACGATTTAAAATCGTATATCAATAGTGTCATGTTACAATATATAAACTACTTAATGTATTTGCACAGTACGAAATAGAAGCGATGAATTTGGATTGTGCCTCAAGATAGATGAAATAAAACAATATCCGGTAACTAGCAACAGTGAGTACATCGTGTTTCATATTTTTCATTCAGAAGGAATTGCACAAACAGTTTTTTTTAATGAACTCCCTTGATAACTGGAATTTGAGCTATGATCTTGACTATGGAAATTCCACACGAGATAAATGAATGTTCCAATCTGATGATTTAATATTAGCCATCCGTCCTATTCATTAGATCATTCTTATATTCTATTTTGATTGTTGTATTCCATCAATAACTGAGTTTTCGTTCCAACATCAGTCATTAAACCAATTGATGAAAATAATAATTAAAATTTTATTTTGCTCATTTGTAGGTGATATTTTATCTCGAATGTATCAGAACTCTACTATTGTTAGATTTTTGAAGAACTTTTACTGTAAGGAACATGAAAAAATTGATTAAATTACCTTATATTTACTGTATGCTATAATCGACGCTAATTATTTGTTTTGTGCTAATCTCTGTTAGCTTATGCAGCTGTTAGTGCGAAGGAAAATATATGATTTTTTCTCGGTGAAAAGCTTGCTTTTCAGTGGTTTTTATTGTATCTAACAAAGAAAAGGATCTTGTCTAAATAAAACAACAAGTGTCTCTCGAGTCCGTTATTTCCTCTGGGTACATTTTTCTAATTTCAAATCATTTCACAACTTTTACTGAAAACAATGTCGTATGCGACCAAAATTTCATAGCATCAGATCATTTGCTCTTCAATTATTTTAGGCCTGATCTTACAAGAAGATACACATTTCAGTGCATTTATCGACAATAGTATGAAATCCATCATTGCATTAAAAACAGACTTTTTTAACCTACTCATATTTAGAGAAATGATGAAAGATAGCTCCGATTATTTATAAAGGTGAACATTTTAGATAGTGCTTTTAGCAGCTTTCTTGAAAAATAAAGCTGACTTACTGCTTCAACGTACGACTTTAGAAACTCACGTTAATAAGAAGTGAATACAGAAAAAAACAAGTGATCAAGTCAAACGATTACTGTTATATGTTTAATTTTCTCAAGCTTCTGAAAATGAGCGAATTTTTCATGCTGTAGAAACGCATTAATGTTTCCATCTTGTAGTTCAATATTTGGGAATATTAGCAATGCTGCTAAATCTTCTGGATTATTTACAGATTTCAGATACTTTCTATTTCAATGATATTTCACATAGCTTTAAATTCCAGGAAAAATGCAAAGATAACTTAAACTCATACTTTCCTTATTTTATTGGTCAGCTCAAATGATCAATTTCCATGTAAGAGGAAAAGGTTCAAAATCATATAAAAAATCGATGAAAGTGGAGCTATTAGAATCGGTATAGTCAGATTTTTCAATTTTGAAGATAGATTTCATTTGATTGTAATATTTTTCCATCTCTCACAATCGATTTTTAGAACTAAATCACTTACTAGTGATTATTATAAGCATTGATTTCGATTGAGTCAAGTTTATTAGCCGATTAAAATCATACTAAATAAGTGCCTTTCAAATCGAGTTTTAAAATGATTTTCAACTACCGTTTTTGCATTGGTTATTTTCCCTTATTCTGAAGTGTATTTTCTAGCTTTTCTTTTATTTCATGACAGTAAAATGAGTGAGCAATGTGATATGTTTACTACTTAGTACCGTTATTTCTTTGTATAAGTTTTAAAGTCGCTATATTGTAGGTGTTGCAACTTTTGTAATTGGTGGTGTGCTACTATTCGTGCTTACATACTGGCTAACGCGATGGTTCAGCAAATTATAATCATCAACATCAAATTCATCGTCAAATATGTTTTATCCAATGGTTCTATTAAAAAATGATTGGTCTTTTATTATTGTTCTTATTGCTCACTGAAATAAAATAAATCATGATTTAATTATAGATAATACATGACTATCATAAAGAAAGAGAAGAAATATTAGACCTAACTCTGAGTAAACTTTCTTTCAATATCAATAATTGAAAATGTATTGTAGAAGTCAGACCGTTTTTCAAGGTTGGATGTGGGTGTCAGTAATTATAATCAGCTATGTTTTATTCTCATGTTTTTTTAGAAGAACTCTATGATCATTTTTATGCGCTTGATAAGAACTGATTTATTTTATTCTGGTCAAATATTTACATATTTTCAGTAGCTTTGTCAGATAAATGAATTTATTTCACAAATGTATTCTTTTATGAGAATCTTATTCTTTTAGATGCTTATGATTCAATTATTCTAACTTGATTCACACTGTCATAGGAACCGTATAGCTCACGTATGAGATAGTTAGAAGTGTAGACTATGTAAAAGCTACAGGAAATAATTCAAATTTTGGATCACGACGTAAATAAGAAATAATCTTAGATTACATCAAAGGAAAAAATCTTTATTTATATAGATACTATTGTCACCTTGAAATATATTTACAGTCACCAACATAAAAAATGTACGACGTGCTTTTTAATTTCTACTTGCTGATTTAGCATGAATAATAAATCAAAAACGCGCTTAAATAATATTTTGAATGTCACATAGCGACAAACGTATACAAGAAGGTTGCTGATAGGCATGCGCCGATGATAGAAAAATGTAAGACCTTCTCAGCGTAACGCCAAAATTGTGTTCTTATGCTTTTTACTTTTTTGTTCTTTACTCCATATTTGTCTATTCTACTTCAGCGTGTGACGGTAAATATTTATTTTTTTTCTTCTTTTTATTGCGTTACTTTCGTTTAGTAAATCTACATTAAGAAAATCATGACTGATATACCATCGAGTTTTCTTTGTCCAATAACACATGAATTGATGACAGATCCAGTTATTGATCCCGATGGAAATAGTTATGAACGTGCAGCCATTGAAAGTTGGCTCCATCAACAGAAGAATTCGCCTATTGTAAGTTTACTGTAGATAACTAAACTATTTTTGTCTAATAATTTAATTACTAGACTCGCACTCAATTGAATACGAGCGACCTTCGTCCCAACCGTGCATTACGTGAGAGCATAGAAGAATTTCGAAGTAAACAAATCTCATCAAATAACACTTCACAAATAAGTTCTATTGCTACTGCAAGTAGCCAATCATTTGATTTAAAAGTAACAAGTAGTTGGATGAATGATTTTACTCATATATCAATTCAACCACCAGAAAGTGATGGGATACGAGCCCCTTGTGATATATGTTGTGTTGTTGATACATCCGGTTCAATGGCAACTGAAGTTGAAATTCAAGGAACATCAAATGATAAAGAAAGATATGGTTTATCACAATTAGATCTTGTTAAACATGCATTAAAAACAATTATTCATTCATTAACACAAAATGATCGTTTATCTATTGTTTCATTTGCTAACAGTGCATCGACTCTATTTAAATTACGCGAAATGAATGGAGATGGTCGTTCGAGTGCATTAGCTGCTCTTGAACGACTCGAAGATAATGGACAAACAAATTTATGGGATGGTTTACGAACTGGTTTAGAAGTTTTAGCTGAAGGACAACGAAAATCAGGAAGTAATGTTGCATTATTTCTATTGACAGATGGTTGCCCAAATGTTGAACCACCACGTGGACATCTGCAGACATTAGTCACATATAAAAAGAAAAAGAATTTCACATGTTCAATAAATACATTTGGGTTTGGATATAGTTTAGATAGTAAATTATTAGAAGATCTTTCTCAAATTGGCAATTGTGGTACCTACGCATTTATTCCGGATGGATCGTTTGTTGGTACCATATTTGTTAATGCTATTTCGAATTTATTAATAACAGTCGCAACAAATGTACAATTAACGATTGGCGATATTCAACCCATCCTTGATCCATCATCAAAATATATTTGTCATTACTCCACAGATACATCAAATAGCAAGGTAGAAAAAGAAATTATCAATTTTGCATATGAATTATACTAGCATGTCAAACCTATTGAATACAAACATTTCATGTGCGACGTTTGTATTTCAATTTTGTGACTTATTACGATCTATAGCACACATAGAAATAATAATCCAGTTAGTGTTACTTTTAACAAAACAAAAATAGAATTTGTTTTGACTGTAACTAAAATGAGAATGATTTATTTATTGAGAAAACTTCCTATCAAAAATTAGAAAAATAAAACATACTTATGGGTAAAAACTGTAGTTTATTTATTTTTTGATCACAAAAGATAATATTTATCATGTCTGCGAATATTTCGAGATGGTAAACGAAAATTTTCATCAAATAAATGTTGCTTAAAACAATAAGATATATTTATATCAGTTACTCTACAAAAATACTAATCTATTTTATGAATAAAACTCGATGTTAGTAGAACTAAAATATATTATCATCTAATATTTACATAAATAGGAGTCTATTGTAACATTTTTATTTGTTTTTAGAAATTCTTATCTACATTTCTAATATCAGAAGTGAAATTAACTTGTAGAATTTCATTAGATTTTATTGTCTTTCAATTATATTTAAAATTAATTCTTGATCAGAAGATTTTTTCCCCACACTACCACTATTACAGTGCAATATGATATTAAACGGTTCATCGACTATTTTGCTCCATGTTGAATCGCATCAGTGCTTACCTTGCATTATACACTGTATACTAGTAACTTGTCTACTACTACTTACAATGTTTTTCTAAAATTGTTGCCTTGTTTATCTCATCTACGATTTATTATTTTGATTAGGTCTTCGATGGACCTTCTCTATCTGTTAATTTGGGCTCAATTACATTTGGGCAAAGTAAAGATCTTGTTATTCCAATGGCTATGGACCAATTTCAACGGATGAGTATTCAACTTGATTACGAATCTCCACATGGACAGAAAAAGAAACAATTTAAATCAATAAAAAAACTTGATGCAGACATTAAAGTATTCAATAATCAAAAATATCGACTCATATTAGTTCATGTTATTCGTAACGGTTTCGAATTATTACGTGCTTCTGGAGCCAAATTTACTGATATCCAAGGAAGTGTATTAAACGATATTGCAGATTTAGAACAAGCAATAAAAAATCATTCAAGTAATAATAACTATTTAACTGATCTACTTACAGATCTTACTGGTCAAATAATGGCTGCTTTTTCTCGACAAGATTGGTTTAATAAATGGGGTGTTCATTATTTACCAAGTATTACACGTATGTTAACTTATTTTTCATATAAAATAAATAATAATATCTTGGATTTATTTTTGTTAAAGGTGCTCATTTACTGCAAGTGTGTAATAATTTTAAAGATCCAGGTGTTCAACATTATGGTCAAGGCCAATTATTTAATTCAGTTCGAGATGAAATGGATAGTATATTTTGCGGTTTACCAGCACCAAAGCGTCCGCAGTCTGGTGCAACAATTGATATGTCTGTATTTAATAATTCTGACAATCCATGTTTTCATGGTTCATGTACAGTGAAACTGTTTGATGGTTCCATCAAATTAGTTAAAGATATTCGACGAGGCGATCGATTATATCCACATGGTGGTACAGTAAATTATGTTTTAAAAACTGCTTGTAATAATAGACAAGCACAAATGGTTTTGGTATGTATTTTTAATCTTTTCTTTCAATGTTTTAACTCAATTCTATTGTTTTTCTTTTCTTTACAATCTAGCTTGACACTGGTCTTATAATTACACCATGGCATCCAATTTGTTTGAATGGTACTACATGGGTATTCCCTTGTTCACTTGTTCCGTCTCCAACGAATATTGCATGTGAAGCAGTGTATAGTTTTGCTTTGGAGCAAGGACATACAGTATGGATAAATGACATTGAATGTATTACATTAGGCCATGGTTTTAAAGAAGATATTGCACGACATGTTTACTATGGGACAGAGCGTATTATTGAAGATTTAAGAATAATGGATGGACAACAACAATGCACAGGATTCATTGAAATAGAACCTAAATGGGTGATTAGAAATAAACGAATGGGTCTTGTTAATGGTATTCGACAACCTGAGAATATTGATAGCATCGATGACTAAAATACATTTGCTTTTACAATTATATTTATCGTGCAACTTAAGTAGATGAGATAAACTTATTTTATAAATGAATACATTCCTTTTTATGTACTCAAAAAACAAAGAGAACACTATAGAATCGGTTGATGTGTCCGTCCGCCCGTCCGTTTATTCGATAACCCTTCACAATTATATTCGATTGAGCTGAAATTTTCCACACAGTTCAATCTCATGAATATCTCGGTCGAGTTCGAAGATGAGAAGGATCCCTCAAGAAATAGTTGAATTATCGAAAAAATTGTCATTTTTGGCCAGACCATCCCTGAGGAGGGGTACAGGGATTTTTTTCAAGAAAAACATTTTTTCAGAATTATCCACAACTTATATAAATCGACTCAGTTTTTAACGCTGATTCCGAATCTGATATTAGTTTTGAACTAAATCGTAGCCTTCTAACGAAACATCGCCTGAAAAAGGTCTCAAAATGCACAAAAACTGCATCCAGAAATCAAATTGCCTAGTTTCTCATGATAATTTTCGTGTTCAGGCATTCTAAAATGACTCATATGTCCCATGCACTTTTTGCAGTACACATAACTCTCGGATGAAATCCGAAGTTTCCACATTTATTTAGTGTAATTACTGATTTTCAATTGAAGTGATCGATGACTATTGTAATAGCTAATAGTTTGAATTTCAGAATGTTTTTCTTTTCATCAATTGCAAGTACTTTTGGTAAGAAAGTTAAAATGCAATTTATTAGCTACTGTTTTTCTTGTTCAGCGTATTGATTGATAATCATTTACATTCTAGATATGGTTTATTTAGAATGTTAATAAAATTGCATCATAAATGCACATCATCATAATTTCATGGTTCTTCAACAATGTTTTGCATCAACCAATGTTCGTTAATTTATCACAAAGCGAGTAATTTGAATGAAATAAATCATATTTGTCATATGGTTATAGTTTATAATTATTTGTTAATGCATTTTTGTTGGAAGTAGAATGTAGTACTCACATTCACTTTTTCGTCTTACTGAACAAAATTCTTAATAGATTAAGTCATAAATATTCCGTGAAGATCTTTTTAAAGTTTTATGTTTGCAATCACTTGCAGTAAAAGTAAAACATCACGTTAGAACTCAAGGTTACTATTTTCTTCCAATAGATATAGTCATGCCGATTGATGAATCAACTTGCTAATGTGTTTAAGAACGAATAAAATAAATAAGTATCGTTTCTTGTTCGGAAGAAAAACTTGAACAATATATATATATATATATCATGACACACCAATAAAAGTTCATGAATTTAGTAAGTCGATGGTACTAATGTTTTGTCTCCAAGGTCAACAAGTTTTGAAGAAGTTTGTAAGAGATTTTTCTATGTATTATTCTTTGCAATTTATTGAAATTTCACTGACGTTTGTATCTCAAACAAGATACTTTTGAAAATCTGAATTAAGTAATATTTATTTTCTGAAACTTTGAGATGTTCAGATCTCTTGAAGAATTTAGAATACTCGAAGAAATTTTAGGATCAAGCAATATTATCTCATACCAATATTAAACAACATACAAAAATGATCATGCGTCAAAAAGACTAATCATAAAATCAAGTATCTTCAAAATTCGATATCTCCAAAAATAATATTATTTGATTGGACTAAAATTTTTAAGCTGCATTCGAGTTCATTTGTTTCTTTCATAAATACTTCGTCGACAAATGAAAAATCCGATAAAATTATAGACTCAACGAGAGTCAATCTAGGTTTCTACTAATGTTGGCTGGACTTATTTATGAGGAAAATACAAGTTCAATTGACCAGTCACTGTCCGGAATCATTCCTCATGGATGTTGTTTTTTTTTCCATCTGGATTAAAATGAATTTTAATTAGTTTGTTTTTCTGCTTTTCCTGATAAATTAAACTACTTATCATTGTTAAATAAATTATTGATGAATATCTGTAAAACTTAGGGTAGATTCAATATTTGCAATATCTAATTTTGTCAAGAAAGTTTTCGTTAATTAAAACAGGATGAAAACAAAGAAAACAAGATGTATCGATCATAAAATTCCAAAAACAACTAGCTTGCTAATAAAGAAAAGCTGCATCGTCATTTAATCGCTTAAGCATATTAGCTCGTCGCATTGAATCAGATACTTTTGTTCGATTTGCTAAAAATCTCTCGTAGAGATATTGTTGTTGAAAATATTGATTTGTTGGTGTAAAATCAGGTGTTAATGATGGAAGTTCAATGACAGAAATTGTATTCTTTTCAATCAATGGTATTCGATTCATCATAATGTGTTTTAAACTATGTTTCCATTCGGTTTCGTAAATAGGTGCTGCTGATTGGTCGGATAGGGCATTATTGTTTGTTATTGGTATTACTGTTTCATAAATATTTGTACAAGGAGAATGTGTTTGATTATGATTTTCATTTTCAAACGATGACATTCGTGCCATATCTATAGATACAATCGATGGTGAAGTAGAACGATCATAATGTGGAAGTCGACGTAAGATTTTTGTACAATCATTTACATTGTTTATGTAAGCAAATGGTCGAGAACCAACGTCTAATTTAATTAGTCATGTTTAATACGAAGAAAAGTTTTTTTTTCTCGTTGTTTTTACCTTTCGCTGATAGATTGGTCTTCTCTTTATGTGATTGTGATGAATGATCAACATACTTTTTTACAGGTGAAGCTAGTATGAAAATAAATAAATAAATAAATAAATAAATAAATAGTTTTTCAAATTTAGAATAAACCTGGTTGATTTAATGAACGAAATGAACTGCATGGAGAAACAGGATTAACAAGTGTATTAATTGTTGTACAACTTTCATCGAATTTTTTATTGTTAATGTTTGCTGTTGATGCTGTTTTACTATGGATTAAATGTGGATAAGTTTCATATAAATGTGAAAAATCAGTTATATCGCTTGTATGACGTTTTAGAAAAACATGTTTCTTTTTATCTTTCTCTTTTTTTGATCTTTCATTTAATTTATAGGATGAATGTCGAGGATACGGACAAGAACAAAAGCAAGATGATATTGAATAAAAACAACAAAATGATGTTGCCAAAAGTACAATAAAACCAATAAATGCTATGAATATAAGAAAACCAATGATGCCATAGAGGAGATAAGTATCGAGTAAAGATGATTCTGTTAATGAATAAAATAGTCGATCATCGGTCATGGCAACTAGAATAAAATGCTCAAATGGTAATGTTTAATACGCATATAGTTATATGATATGTTTTAGTTCGAGACATCTCATGTACACATACATAGACTACTTCACTATTAAAAGTGAACACTGAAAAAGAAAGAGACGAACATTAAAAAATTGTGATGAGAGAAAGAGAATCAAATACTCGATCAGAGTCACGTCTACATTTATGTATAGAACTGAAGAACACACATACGTATTTAATAAAGGTGCACACGAGGCAATGTTTGCATATGGGCTATTAGATGAGCTCATGTATGTATAAATGTTCATGTCAATATCGTGAAAAATGTTTCCCCTTTTAACAAGTGATTTTATTTTTTTTTGAAGGATGAAATCTAAAATTTGTCGTCACTTTCAAGATCAACGATAAATATGAATAGCTATTGTGTCATACTTCTCTATACTAATTCAAACAAAGGCAAAAAAGAAAACGGATCATCTGTTATGTAATTTAGAATCGAATATGTATATCGTTCAATGTTGAAAAGAATTTTATGATAAGAAAAGCAAACCATAATTAACATTTTATGTGCTTCATAATTATTCTTATTTCAATTCTTTTAACACTCAAAAAGAACTTGATTTGATTCGTTTTCAAGGCAAAAATCAATTCATCATTTGTATGGTATTCAATTCATTTTATTAAAAAGAAAAAAAAATGAGCCTACCAAACTTTTGCATCATCACTATACATGTAGATAGCAGATGACAGTAGTTTTAGATGAATATTTATTTTCACTTATTTTTCTAATATTGCTTGTATCAAGTAATGATAATTTGACGGTTGTAGTGTCATGATAATGATTGACGTGTGAACTTTTCACTTGATCCACAGAAGAGAACAGTACATTGTAAGCTATTAGATCGTCGAAGTAACGAAAACGTTAAGCAATCGTCGTCGGTCACTAATTGTTTTGACACCTCTATTTGCTTGACCTTTTAACTGCATATATAATGAACAACCTATTACCCATAACTTTATGTGTACCTTTAGCACAGCCTAGGTATACCAAATTTTTTCTGTACTAGAGGTAACTCAAACTCGAATAATCGATTAGTGCATATTACCAATACAAAAAAGAATACGAAAAAAACATAGAGTCATGTTTTTTTCCTTCTAAAGACAATTTCATGCCTGAATAGTTTTCTTTTCTCTGGTAAAAAGTTAATTTAGGAAGAAAAACATGAATAAATATGTCTATCATTATTATTGTTTGGATACATTTTAAAAACCTAATGACTATTACATTATCGCATAGGAACTAAAATGGACACTGCTTACGATAGTGAATCAGGTTTTTCCGAAAATGAAGTTCATGGAGCACGAATAGCATTTTTTCGTGATTGCCCAAATGGAAGCTGTTCGAAACAAAAATTTCTTACTTTTATACGTAAATCATGTGTACAAAAAAAACGCAGCCCATCGAATATTCGTATTATAAATTTTTTAAAAGATTATCGCCACTGTAAAAAATTCTTTTCTATGATGTTTGATGTCTACGATCGGAATCATGATGGGCAGTTAGATTTTGATGAATATATTTATGCATTATCAGCAATAACAGGTGCCAATCGTTTACGTACAATTGAAACATTATTTAAATTTTTCGATATTGAAAATCAAGGTTTTATAACTCGAAAAGAATTTGATTCGAGAAAAAAATTAGCAGCACAATTTCTTGGCCAATATAAACCTGGCATCACGGATAATTTATATGAAAAAGCATTTAGTACCATGGATACAAATAAAGATGGATTTATATCAAAAGAAGAATTCATTCAATGGCATTTACAAGACCATTCAATGTCACAGGGTGATAAATCTATAAAAAAGAGACCGCGTTTATTAAGAATTTCAACGACACCCTTAAATATCAATGGTCAAATAAAAACATCATCGTTACAGGGCAAAGATAAACATTCCATTGATCTGTGGTTAGAAGCGACAGCAGATACTACTAATCATGCACAAGAGTAAATTTCTTATTTTTATATAAATTTGATTTGATTGAATTTTTCGAATATTTCTTAGATTGTCCTCGACAAACAATATTGATCGACATTTATTGGAAATATTTTATCGAGCTCGTCGTCGTTTTCAACAAGCAAGAATCCGAATGAATGATAATCAATCAGATTCCGGTGTTTTTACTCATTCATCATCAGCAACAACTTTAACTGACAGTGAATTTGATGCAAACAGTTTCTTTGACATAAATAATCAAGATGATTGCCAATCGAACTTAAATGATGATACTGATGAGGAATTTCTATGTCAATCATTAGAAAATGCTTTGATGGAAACATTACTTGAATTGAGACAAAAGAGATCAAACAATGATACATCGATTGAAAACAATGGAAAAATTGAATTAACTCGATTCTAAATTTTTGTCGATTAATCAATTGTTTCATTTATCTTTCAATCAACATACTATTTAGTCACATAGAGCTCTTTCATTTTCAGTACAATATACGAGTCAAAATTTCCAAGTAATTGTGTTTCTTAATGAGTTTTATTTCTTCTGAGACTGTAGCATGATACATTTTGCTATAATATATTTTTGACTATTTGCTGGAGTAGTATTTCAATATAAATTTCACGGTAAAAGAGAAAATTTTGGATCGCCATTTTCTCTTACACAAAAGTCTATTTACTTTTCTTTACTTCTCCTCGAATAGCATTAATTTAACAATGCTCTTCGAACAAAATTTTTACTCGACTTCGAGAAGAAAAAGTCTTTTTCTCGGATGCTTTGCTAGTCTCTTAATTAGAAGATTTAATTTAATACATGAAATCTCTGATTTTCTTTTAGTTGATAATCAAACACGAGCAATCTTTACGTAGCACTATTTGTTTCTTGTCTATTTCAAATATAATTTAGATACAAAAAAAAACTGTTGCTGTAATCCATACTAGATAAAAATATGAAATAGGATTTAGGTCATGTTGTTTTTTTATCAGATGTAGATCATATTATTCCATCAGTTGTAAGACACATTCCTGTTCCATCTTTTTACTGAATTCTGCTGAAGCGTAATAAGCAATAAGTATAGTTCACAAAATTTTAACGAGACGATAGTATTGATATATGAACAACGTCGGTCACGATCTGTGAAGAAAATCTAAATTTCTAAAACTATACTTCAGCAACGTTTTTCGATCGTGTTTCACAACACAATTGCATCACAAATATAATTTGGATGAAAAAAGAATCTTTTTTTTTTCAATCTCTATTGATTGACTACAAGAAATTTCCAATTCATAATCATTATTGAAATACATTTTATTGTGTAAAATATTCATGTTTTTCATAAATAAATACTTCTTCTGATTTGAGTTCGGTTCGGTTCGTCTTTTTTTTCAAGTCGGTTTGAGTTCGGTTTGGTTTGTCTTTATTTTTTTAAAGTCGGTTCGGGTTCGGTTTGGTTCGACTGACTTTTCAAAAAGTTGGTTCGAGTTCGGTTCGTTTTCGCTCTTTGGTATGTACAATCATTTATTGCTTGTATTCAAAAGAATAGCTAATAAAAAGAAAACAGTGCAAACTTTAGAAGAAAACGAAACAATCACTCGTATCGCAAAAATTATAGATTAACTACTGAGCTAGAGTATTTCTTATGAAGATTGTTTCATAATAATCTAAGGCAGGTTGTCAATCATTTCTTTCGTATACTTTTTCTAGATACAGTAGACTTGAGTTTGTATTAATCCTTTTCTTGTTGTGGCACGTCTTATGTACGTGCCATAAGACAAATATCTTGTATTCATTGTTCATATAGGTACGTTCCTTTATTTTCCGTGCATAGAACCGTTAATTATAACTATTCGTTGTCTTTCATTTTTTCAAGTATTTTCCAACTTTCCTTTTCTTCCTATGATTTTACTTCGGTACAATAACCTGCTTTTTTCTTCAATTTTTCTATTCAATCTAATATAAATACATACAACACGTGTTGTCGCTATACGACCAGTTAAGCTTATATACATTAGAAAGCTCAAACTTTGAAAAATCCAAGAACATGGCTCGATATAAAATGTAGAGGATAAACATTTTACATCAAGAAAAAATTTCATTAACAGTTCACCATAAACTTTGATGAGACAATTTATTTAATGAAATTGCATTTAACATAATATAAACTATAATGCTATTAGCAATGAAAGGCTGCGTTTTTTTCTCATGTAATATTATTTATTTCAAACATCGAAGTCACAAGATATAATACCATTATATTGGATGGCTGCTTACAATTTTCATGGTATTTTTATGATAATTTTAGGCGCATTTGAATACTATATATCAGTACAAAGCAAAATCATTTTTTATTCTTCAACTCTAAATAATCAGGATTTTAAATTCAAATATAAATGGATTTCTTTCATGTAACAATGACAAAAGTAATTACTGAAATGAAAAATGCGATTTATTTTTTGTTAGTAATATTGATTCATTATTGCGCTCAATATGTAAAGAATAAAATTGAAATAATACATGCATAGGTATTGATGACGCATCTTGTCTATCTTGTTCTTACGCCTCTGTTTCGAATACTTCCGTAATCTATTTACACCATTTTTTTATTTCGTCTTTATTCGCATATACTAATCTAAACGCAAGAATACCTTTTCTTATACTTATTGACTTTTGATACATATATATATACATTGATATCAGGCGCTTACTGACGTCTGAAATCTTAATGTTTTGCAAATTTTTTCATATATTTAAATTTGTTCGAAGGAAATTATACGAAAACCCGTTTCGTAATATTCCTTATTGACAGAAAAATATCTGCTGCTTTTTTAGAATCTTCAAAGTATATTTATGTTCAAAATTTGATTTTCAATAGAAGACAAGGCTCTTGGTAACTAATTCAAGCTGTCAAACTAATTATTAATCAAAAACGGATATAATTCATATTAGACAAACGATTGCTTGTATAAAGAAATATTTTTAAAATATATTGTATCCATGATTTAAGAAGGAGAAGTGAATAAATACGAATATACATAGAGAGAGAGAGAGAATTTATACCGTTATAGTGCGCCATCTGTGATATTTTTTTGTTTGTATTTCAGCCATGATACTCGTTTATTGTATTGTACGTGGAAAGAAATATTTGACCCACAGCTTCTAATCATTTGTAATAAATAGACTCAATTAGCTGTTTTGCACATTTTAAATTTAATAAAAAACGACACAGTGATTTACCATATAAAAAATATTTCTTTCCTACTATTACTATTTACCATTGTATTTATAATAATCATGGCAAATATTGCATCTGATGTTGAACACCTTCGAGAACAATACAATGCTGGTAAAAGTAAAAGCAGTGGACTTATAATTCAATACCATAATAAACAATTTTACGATGGTGAAGAATTAAAAAAAGCCGATACACAAAGTGAACCTAAAGTTCAAATTAATATTGATACTGATCCGCACAATCCTTATTTTACATTAGTAAAATTTTCGTCTGTAATCTTCTATTGTATTTTCATCATATTCTCAAATATAGGTCATGGCTGATCCAGATGCGCCTCAACGAGGTAATGAACGTGCTGGTCCGTGGTTACATTGGATAAAAGCTGGTTTTCAAGGAAATGATATAAACAATGGCAAAACTCTTGGTATACTATTATTTTTATAAATATGAAAAACAAAACTATAAACAATTGAATTTTTCGTTTTTGTTCCATAGCTGATTATCAAGGCCCAGCACCGCCATCAGGCACAGGCCCACATCAATATATATTCTTACTATATAAATCTGCAACTTCTGATGCGTCTCAACATTCTCATTCGATTGCTGTTAGTGATTCAGGAAAAAGAAAACAATATCATTTGAAAAAATTCGAACACGATCATCAATTACAATTAGTTGCTACAATATCGTATACGGTTATCGGCTAATTTCAAATGAAAAAATAATCATATAAACATAGATTCTAGTTGTTTGAAAAACAAAATATCGATGTCACTTTCGACTTCTTATATTAGCATTTCATGAACATTATTTCCTCTAAATGTGTCCTTTCGTTCGTTTTCTTGTCGCAATCAATAGAAAACTAAAGATATCATACATGGATCAATGCGTGCGTATAATTGACTCACAGAAAGTAGAGCAAAAGCAATAAAAACTAAATATAGCTACATCTTACACATGTGAAGAAAGCAGTCAAGTAGTAGTAGTAGAATCGTCAATTTTGGATCAAATTCATTTTTTCAAATATCAATATGCGTACAAGTGTGTGAGTCCAGATGTAGTCTATACGTTTCACTGACATGGAACATGACCAGCGTAAACAACAACATGATCTTCATGTTCAATATCACGAAAGTGAAAGTTTTGATGATCTCAATTTTTCGAGTAAAAGAAGAAATTCAATCGTAATAAGTCGTAATGATTCTATCAAAGGTACTGTCCTACAATGGCTGGTTGTTAATTTTCAAAGCAAAAATCTTACAGATGATCATACTTTATGTAAATTATTTTAAAATATTCTAATTGAAAAAGAAAAGTTTATACTAATAAAATAGATTATTCATACAGTGAGTCTACACGTCCAGCTGGTTCTGATCCTCATCGATACATTTTCTTTCTTTATCAGTCGATTGATAAAATATCTGAAAACAAATTCGAACGTGAAGAACGTGTACATTTTTCACTTCAAACATATGTCGTCGATAATTGACTTGAACTTTTCGATGCTAACTACTCTACTGCTAATAGTTAAAATCTTTCGATGATAAGTTTCCTTTTTAGCTGAGACCCTTTCCCTATTGGTATTTGAAAATATAAATATAAACTGGTCAAGAATATTCATCTTGTCCTTGTTTCAAAAAACAAAAAACAAAAGCATAATAATTAGAAACAAGAATAACATGCATCATGTACAAATTGATTTTCTCAATGATTTTCATGTGACACAAACACTGGTCGATATCTTGGTGGTGGTTCGTTAGTTACATTTGATGATAAATCAGCTAATTTTCCTTGTTCAACATGAACATGTTGTTCAATGCCATATCGAAATGCACATTTACCTAACATAACTGTTCGAACTGTTTGTGTTGGTTCATGTACTTCAAATTGACCGCCACTGGCTCCACTATTGCCTGAACGTAATGCATCGGAAAATATGGTTGCTAAATCGCCTTCCATATATTTATAATAACCTCCCGTATTATTTCGTGTACTAATCATTGCTGATATTCGACCACTAAAACGCACTTCAACTGAAAAATCAGCTCCATATTCTTCTTCAGTTATGCATAATCTTAAAAACAAAATACATACAACGGAATATTAAAATAAAATTCTAGAAAGCAAAACTATTTTACTCAGCATTTGCTCTTGATTGTGGCGCTACACGAATAGCTGAGTCAGCTGACCATGTCATTTGTGTTTCAAACGTTGAGTCTCTTCCATAGTCAACACGTTGTTCATGTCGAAGACCGCCACCAACTTCTAACACTTCATTTGGCAATTTTAATTTTACACAACCTTCTTTTTCTTTAGTAAAGCCGCGCGTAAATGTGAAATTTAATGTTGTTGTTGTTGAACGCTGAGCATGTAATGAATACTCCTGTTCACGATCAGTATTGTTTGAAAAATGAGTTTTAAATAATATTTGAGATTTGGGCATTCGTAATTGTGTTGGACGTGTGAATACAGCGTCAGATTGCCAAAAATTTACACGTTTCCAATTCAATTTTATATCAAGTTCTTCACGACGATATTTTGAATCTTCACGACTTCGCTTGGATAACTCCCACATTTTCCATACCTAACAAATAATTGACACAATAATATTAAATTAGTTATGTTATAGGAATCTTGTTGATTGAGCATGCGAATAAACTACGAACTAGATCTGTTTTAGTTTGTAACTTAAATTTTTCTTTTGCAATAAATTTTTCAAAACTGATAAATAAATAGTGTTGAACTTCAAATCATGTCGACATGATTGAATTATGAATATCTTGAAAAGAATTTCAGTCTTCAGTTTACTGTAATTGAGAAACTGCATTTGTATGTTTTTTCTCTTCGAAGATCAATATCATTGAATCTTTGATGAATACTATTTATATTCTGTGTTGAATCTCGACTCAAAACTACAATAGTACATGAGAAAACGGTTTGATTTACTTTGCCGTAGCGATAAAAATCATGTAACATGAAAACTTTTATTACACCTGCATCTAACAAAATGCACAGTTAAAACATTTGAAAGTTTCATAAAAAAAATCTGTCTAAGATTAGTATGTATAAAAAATTTCCATTCAAAATTTTTCCAAAACAGACTACGGTATCAACCCTAGTAAAAAATTTGTCAACATGAATAAACTAAAGTTTTGAATTCTTATCAACGTATCCATAGATTATTAAAACATATAATCTTGACAGGGAACTGCAACAAAATTCAATGAAAGTAAAGATTTGGTTTATCTGTGATAGGCAAATTTGAAATCATTTTCCTGTTAGATTTCCTATTTTCATTAAAATTTATTTTTCAAAATATTTCGATGTAACAAATTTATGTAATCATTTTCTTTTCTTTTTACTTTTTAGAATCTTATATGTCTATTCTTATGATGCAATGGTCTTCGTTCGATTATGTACAGTCTATTGAATAATGAATAAAATAACGTTTTCTATATACGTATGTACACCTGCTGCGTGTCAGTCTCTTCCCATATGTAAATTATCATTATTATATATATATATATATACACAACAGGACGTCAATCAACTTACCCATTTTTCTATGATCTCATCTAAATCGACGATTGTCTTATTTTGTGATCCAGAATCTAAACGTTCCTTGATTTCTTGCCGTTGAAGAGGCATAGGCTATGATGAAGAAAAAAAAACAGCATAAAATAAGTTCAAATTGTTAAGAATAGGTCAACTGCCGTATCCATATATCACTTATATATTTACACTAGACAAATTAAGCATAAATGATTTACAATCGATATGTTATTTCAATTATCATCACACATACATCAATGTGATGACGGCGTTCATAAAATATTGACAACGAAAAACAAACATATAATATTCTTCTGGTCAAGAATCGAATAAAAAAATTTCACATGAGCCTGTGATTCTTTCTGCTCGTTACTCTTTTACTCGATTCGTTTGTTTAGATAGTGAAATTAGATCGATTCAATTTCGTACAGGTATATATATATACTACTCTGAAGGACACACTTGAGACTACCAGTAGCATCACGATCTACCACTTGATTTAATGATTATGATCTCATTGAAGAAGAAACTAACTATAATGATTGATTCATGGGTCTGTTTTTCTTTTAAGCTGACACAGTCATAATTCATAGGTGAAGTATTAACCTTGTCTTGTCTTATCAGGATAATAATTCAAATTTTCGAAAGAATGAATCTATTCATAGACTTACACTTCTGCTTTGATTCATCAATAATGGTATGTTTCGTACAAGTCGTTCGGTTGTTTTATTTGAAATAGTCGTAAAATTAGTATTACTAATATCGGCAGTTGCCGACATAACAAATCAAATAAGTTGCTATTCTGCGATGTTGATCTAATCTTTATTCTGGTTGAGTTTTTTGTTTTGTACAATGATTGTCGTTTCTGGCACTTACTCACTTTTTTCTTTTTCTCTTCTTGAGGAAGACGATGAAATAGAGAAAGCGTATGAAGAGAAAAACGAATAGCTTGAAATACATATATCCAATCAGTGGCAAGCACCAATTGTGAATAACGACGAAGCTTTTCGTTCTACTGCATCATAGCAAAATACAAGATGAGAGAAAAAGAATTGCTCTTATTATCCGTTTTTATCCCTGTCGCTCTTTTGCATTGTGTAAATTTCAGCTTCTCTTTTTATTCGTATCAATACGAAATGAATAAGACTTCATATTATATTAACCTTCATATGTGTCCTGTGTGTAATAGCGATTATATTATATGTCCATTATTGTCGTCATCATTAAAACAGGAGCTAGCAAGAGCAGGTGTAGCAAAAAAAAAGAAATCAATTAGTTCTTGATTTTCATGCGCGTATGATGAAAGATGTATTGAAGTGATCGATAAACTAGATAGAAAATCAATAAATGCCATCAATAAGATTATTGACTAGATATTGACACTCTGATGTGTAAAAACTTAGTTTTTACAACTATATGATTTTTTCCCCTCTAATACTCTTAAGATTCTTATGTGATTTACTTGCTCGTTTCAAAAAAAATTCTGTTTAACCACTTTTCGTTATTATCAACAAGGACTTTGCATACTAAATGATATAAATTTATTCACTGCAGAAACTTGTAGTTTAATTAATATTCAATCTTAGCCGCTTTTTTTTTAAAATAAAACACAAGTGAGCAAATGCTTTTTTCTAACACCTCACTGTATATCATAATAGAAGCTGATTCGATTGATTTTCCCAACTATACCTATAGGCTATTATGAATATGAAACTTGATAAAATAAACAACAAGTAGTTTCGAATTGATTTACAATTTTCTTTGATCTTCACCTGATCAGTGATCCTTATGATAATATTTCTTCCTATTTATTTTATCTTTATTGGGTGTGTATTATTTGCATAAATGATAGTAAAAGACTTACCGAACGGGCAACCATATTGAAATGAGAATAAAAATGAAGATCTAATGTAAAATAAAGATATGTTAGCAACAAAAAAGTGTGTATTTAAAATGATGATATCCAGATTTAGTTGATAGCTGCTGCATTAATCTCTCTATTTACTGATTGTACAAACAAATCATAACGTGCGGAAACGTTTGTTTTCATTAGCATGTCAGGAATCTATCACGTGTTTGCAATTGATAACGGGAATATTGATGTGATTTTGAAAAACAAAAAAAAAGAAGAATTTCTTCCTGTCTTTTGATTAACAATGATGATGATGATGATGAGAGAATTTTCGTTAGATAAATATACAATACGATGATGAGTCTCAAGCCAGATGGCGGATGAATGATTTGAACCTATGTATATACGTATGTGATGAAAGTAGAGAAGGGAAAAGCAAGTGTATATGAGAAAATGCCCGGGCCATTCTGCCATCAGCATATGTATGAATGTGATTTATGAGAATTACTATACATCAAACTAATAAGATAACACGACAACCGAAGACGAGAAAATAAATGAAGACATACTCTTACTATAATATTTATATGAAAATATGAGGCTATTACCACTATGCTCATATATTTTATGTCCTAATTATTTTCTCTTCTTCTTTTTCTCATTTACTTACATGCTAAAACAGGTCAACACAACTCTTTGATGATTTCAATATACAATTATCGATAGAAATATGTAGTTTTTTTTTCAGATAAACATCAATCTATGTTTAGTTAGTTGATCAAATATAATTTTTACACTAACATAATTCTTCTCTTTTATGATATGCACTTGAACTTTTAGAATTAAAAAGAGAAGAAAAAAGTTGTTCTCTTTGTCATTCATTCGTGATTTTGCCTTGATTTGTTTGTAATTGGGATCATGTCTCTTTATGCATACACATAAAGCTATATATATATATGTGTATATGTATATCTGTTCATCCGCCTACAGGGGTGTGTGTTTCGTTTAATTGATAAGAGAAAAGTGAATAACGAAAGGAGATTGACGATTGAATTTGAATTTGAATTGTGTTTGATCAGCTTCTCTTTTCATACAGTTTTCTCTTTGCTCTTTTTTTCTTCTTTTAAACAAAGACAATCGGATACACAAAGATGTTGAATTATCAATTGAATGCAGATGATAGCGATTGAATAGTTTAATAGAAACCATAAATTCGACGGATCATATATCGATAGATGGTCGCTGAAAATAGCAATATTGAATATTACACTTGAGTACAACTAGGAAAAATTTACACTTGTTGCTTCAATGTAAATATTTATTAAGAATTTTCTTTTGGCTAATGAGAAATTTTAATTTGCAAAATAAAGAAAACTTAAGAAATTCATTAACATGAATGTTTTGTATGATTAGTAACCTCTATGTCTATCATAGTTGTAAGTTTGAATGATTTTGTCAGTTGATATACGCGTATGTGATAGTTTCAAGACAATCTGATAAACTTCATCAGGCTAGAGATTGTCATCTGCTCTGTGTTAAGTAAATGTCCAATTCATCGACATTATATTAGTATTGTTTCACAATAAAAGATAAACAGAACATTATCAGAAAGCTTTTTTCTTTATCCTGATTGCATTTATCTTTTTATAAAGAAAACAAAAAAAAAGGAAAATCACTCGATGTTTGATCTTTTATAAATGATATGAACTTTTATTTATTTGTCAACTTCTTTCTTGACCAAGCTTTTCATGATTTCGCACAGAATTTACTTGAAAAATATGCTGTGTTAAAAAAATTAGCATGAAAAACAATTGTTTTTGTTTTTCTTCTATTTATTTATTTTGATCATACATCTCAGAATTTTGAAAGAGAATTGATCCTTGACAGTGGTTCATTTTTCCTGTGAAAGAGCATGTCACGATAAAGGGCATAATGCATCAATTTTTTGGAGCTTAGCTTTGTCACTATTATATAAATGAATAATTTGATAATGGAAGGATCATCTTTGAGAGTTGGTTGACACATTTAGTTTTTCTCTTCTATATAAATAATAATTGATAAGAAAGGCTCCCTCGCGCATTGTATTCTGACATGCTCTTTCAAAAACCATTAAGTAAATATTCAGAATGAAGGCCAACAGAGAATGTGGGTTGCCCGAGCAGTTATTATTAACTGTTATGCGTGTTAAATATCTCTCTCGAAATCAACTTTTAAGGAATTGAATTGGTAGGGAGAAAGACACCTTAGATCACATGACTCTATGGAGTCATAAACTATTTGATTTCTATTCTACGTTTTATTTTGTTGTTTATCAAAAGTATTAATTGAAGTATAAAAGCATAATTTGAATTTCAAGAATGTTCAGTCAATTAGAGATTAAAAATCTTCCAGTATAGTATAAAAAAAAGCTGTCTTTGACATGGAATCTCATTATGTATTATTCCTGATTAGTTTTCTATATTGACAACTTACAAAGGTTAATTTACTGATTTTTTATGTTTACTACCTAGATTTATGATTATATGATAGATCGTGTAGGTAAATGTTGAAAAAAAAATATATATACGTTAGTTTATATCTCATAATTTATATAAAAATTCGATCTATGATAGCGATGACCAAATAACGGTTAATACTAAATTAGAGTATAGATTTAGAGATAATATCAATTACTTTAATTATATTGAATGTCATACACGGAGATTACATACAAATATTATTATTGGATATTTAAGACAATAATAGTGTTATATATATTTCAATTAGAAGAAATCAATATATCAAGGTTCTGCAATATTCTATTATAGGTTTTTCATTGATATCGTAAAACCATTTTATTATTTGAATCAGACAGATGTGTAGTGTCGCTTGACAATATTTTCTAAATCATATTTTTATTTGATTGACTTTAAATTATTCTTTAGGCTCCAAATATAGATATTGTTAAAATAAGTTATATTTATCGCTTGAAAAACTACTGATGACGAACGATATTTTTCAAACATATATTATTTGTTTTTTATTTTTATTATTGCATGCTCTTATTTCGCGTAGTTCTTATGAATCTATAAATAAATCTGAAGGTCATAATGCAATATAATAAACTTAAAAAGTTGTAAGTGTGCTTTAAAAATTAGAATTTTGTTGAAATAATTAATTTATTTTCAATTGAATAATATCGCGATGTTAATTAAGCGAAGATTTTTTCGCTTTTTCACCGATAGTGAATAGATGACCGTTAGCGACTGCAATTTATTTTCTGTTCTTCGTATGATTCAACTGTAGAAGAGGCACATGCAATTGCAAAGAAATATAAAAAAGAAATACTTTCGAAAGCGTATACGTATACTACACACACCATAGAACACCTTTCATATAAGAATATTGATGAAACAGTGCGCATACATTGTTTTTATTTCACGTTTTTTTTTTAATGAACAATCCATTCGAATGGAGATGAATTTTTACCACTCCTACAGACCCAGTATCATAATGAGACTGATTATTGAATAGAAATCGAATACGTAGAGAAATGAATATTCTTATGTGAATGTTGCTGCCTGCTGTCGTTTTTATCTTTTTCTTTTTCTTTTTTTTTGTGCTTCATTTTGCTGTATGACTAATTCATTTTGCATCCATGGTATCGTAACCTTTGTTTTCATTATAGGGTTATGTAAACTTTTCTCTTTCTTTTCTATTAATACAACACAATATTTTAAGTTTTCGTCACATGGGTGGGTAAATTAAAGACATTCATTCCACAAAAAAAAGATAACGAGAGACACAGAGGCGATAATAAGACGTTAAAAAGCAAAAGAGCAAAGGGACGAAGTTCCTCCACTCATCAGTAAGAAAGAAAAGAATAATCGGGAATGACTTTGTGGTACGACGTAGATAGAAAATCGATCCTTCTTATTGAGAAAAGGAATATGACTAGATTTTCTTTTTAATACTTGAACCCTCATTTCTAGATGTCAGGATCAATCGAAGATCAGTCATTGAGTTTTTATCTCAAAAGACTTACTATCGTTCAAATATTTCTCGCTTATGTATTTCTTGTTACCGGTCTTTGTGTTAATCTACTTCAACTTCTCTCAGCATGTTTCATATGGCCATTTAATCGAGGCTTGTATCGAAAAATAAATTATCATTTAGCAACAATTATATGGAGTCGTATGTTTTCTAAAATATTTTATATTTTAAATTACATTTGAACATTATTTATTTATATAGCCATGACATTTGTCTATCAATGGTGGTAAGTTGTTTTGTTTTTATGAATATTTTAAATGAGTACATAAAACAACAAGTTTCTTAATAGTTTGCATGATAAGATTTGCGTTTTTGTTGATTAAACAACCATAGTTGACTAATATTCTATGTTCTCATGTTAGTCGTTTATTATTGTGGGAATAGAAGTTATTTACTTCTTATTAAATTGTCTAGGTCGAATTCAGACTTGATAGTTTATATTAAACCGGAAGATTTAGAAAAAATGCGTCAAGAAAATTCCATATGGTTAGGTAATCATCGATATGAAGTTGACTGGTTACTTGGTTGGGTTGTTACACAACGGCTTGGATTAGCTGGAGTTAGTTTTTGTTAAAAAAATAAAATTTTACTAATTAAAATAAAAAATAATAGGGTTCGAAAATTCTTGGCAAACAATCTCTTCGTCTATTACCAATAATTGGTTGGTGTTGGTATTTTACAGAATCAATATTTCTACGACGTGTTTGGAGTTCCGATAAAGCTGTACTTGAACGTGATCTAAAACGACTTGTTGATGATTATCCAAAAGATTACAATTTTACTGTAAGATTTCCTTTTCATATTAAATAATTTTTGTTTCTTAAAAATATTCTTCATGCGTCAAAAATAGCTATTTCTATCATGTGAAGGAACTCGCTATTCAAATGAAAAACGTCTTGATAGTATGAAAATCGCACGTGAAAAGGGTTTACCTGAATTAAAACATCATATTTTACCAAGAACGAAAGGTTTTGTCCTTATTATGAAAGGCATTCATCAACATGGTGAATTTATTGTTGAAATTGTTTTATTTCAAGACTCGTTTTTTTGGGTTTTTCAGTTACAGCAGTTTATGACATAACAATTGCATTTCAAACTCCAAAAAATCCTGAATTATCAAATCTTTTAATTGGTCAACGATGTCAAGCTGAAGGTTTTATTCGACGTATTCCAATTTCAGAAGTTCCATATGATGATGAAGAAAAATCTGCTCAATTTGTTCATAAACTTTTTCAAGAGAAAGTAATCTTTTTTTTATATTTCTGTTGTCTATTCAGAATTATTTATTGTTTTGATAGGATCAAATATTTGAATATTTTTTACAACATGGAACATTTGAGGGTGCTGGAAATCCGAAAGCAATAGATTTAAAGCGTAAAAAACAAGACTTAATCATTGAAATTAGTTGTTTAATTATAATTGGTTTACCATCGATTTATTTATTGATAAAATTTTTATTGTTTGGATCTATTCTTTCACAAATTATTTTTCTTTTTATTGTGATGGCAGGTAATTAAAAACTAGCAAAAAAGAAGATATCGATTTGAAAATTAGTTAGTGTCTAAACAGACATCTACGTGATAAACAGCATGAAAACATGTTTTTTTTATGACTTAGGATGACGAAGCTTATTGTAATCATCAAGTATATTTATTTTCTCAAGGGAAATAAGAAATTACTTTTGTTTATAGATTGTCATGTGCATTGAAACTAATATTAATTTGTGGTTACTTTAATGTCAAACAGAAGAACAGACTTTTATTTTGTTTGGATTTTTCATGTAATGATAATCCAAAGTTTGATCTATAGGCATAAATTTATTTTGAGTTGTTTTTGACTTGCTATCTAAATTATATTTCATTAGTTAATATGCAATCAAAAATTCCAGTCAGTGTTTCATAAATCAATTGGAAGTTTTAGAAAGATAACATTGTTTTTTATATCATACAAATATTTCAAAATAACTCTAAAACGTAATTAATTCATAGAAACCTGAGTGCATTTATTTATCAGTCTTATTGCTTTTGAAACTATCAACGAAATAGCAAATCTAAAATTTCAATACATCTTACTATTCAACGATTTCGTATTAAAATATGCTGTTATGAGTTAAGTAATTTTTATTTGATAAGAAGTCTTATGTTACGTCATTGCATAATGAATGTATAACAAATTTTCTTAATTATACATTGTGATTCAATTATAATTATCTTTTTCTAGGTTTTGTTGGTGTTCGTCTAATGGTTCAAACATCAGCTCGACCTAAACTTGCTAACAAGTCCGCGAAGCAAGAATAACATATTTGAAACTTATTATTGTGATTGGTTTTTTTTTCATTGTGTCTAACATTAGGATCTTTTTTTTAAATAAAAAATTGCAAGTGTATTTATTTAACAAATAAGCAATTGGTCAATAACATCTGATCAGTCGTAAACATAAAAGCAAAACAAAGAGAATATTTTTGAACAAGAAGAAAAAATAAAGAAAAACGGAGTCAGATGTTTACAAGGTGAACGAAAATTGAATCACAGAAATAGGAAATAAATAAAAATTGAAACACACTAGCATTTATTTTATTTTAATTATTCGTCAAAATATAATAATAATATTGATTATTGCCTAAACAAAGTCATATTACTTGTTGACTTTTAAAAATTAAATCAGCGGAATGGAAAATTACGTCCACATGACATTAGGAACAAGACCTGAAATAAGAACATAAAAAAAAAATTAACTATTGCAAGTATTAAATGTTTTGAGAAATTCTATGAATAATTTTTAAATTGACCTCATTGATCTCTGATGAAAACAAGTTTTGTGAGACTATTGCAGTGATTTATTACTAATACATTTTTATGTTTAAGATTGATAGCTTTCAAAATAACAAAAACAATAGATCATATATTAGATGATTATGTTCTATTTCATAGATTTTTTGTTTTTTGAGTAGTCATTTTAATAATAACAATAAGAAATCAATATGTGATAAAGGATGACTCAGTCGTTGATTCTCTTTTAAACGCATAATTAATTCTGCATATAATCAGTTTTACTGTCCCTAGTCTGGTGAGATGTTCTGGTTTTCTGCGGGAGAGGAAAGACAGAGCAAAATAAAATAAAATTTCATTGTGGCGAATCCTCACTACTTGCAAACAGAAGGGCACGAGTACGAGTCAATCTTCGGCACCGCATAGTTTCCTTGATCTTCACATTCAATAAAACAGTCAATAATTAGAAACGCTAACATGCAATATTAACATTTTCCGTTTTACTATATCATTATAAAATTGACTATGAGACTTTATCGATGGAAATAGTTGATAAAATAATCATCTAGTGAAGACTATTTTCTCATAATACATAGTAAGAAACGGATCTGAATCTTTATAGTTATTCAATATTAATTTGATGTAATAAACTATTCAAGTTTCAAGAAAATTTAATCTAACTATAATAGTAAATGATATTTATGAATTTTTTAAAATTATTTCAGAACTTCTCTACAGCATAATTTTCAATTTACCTTCACGAGTGTTGATGCTTGGTAAATAATTTTCTTCATCAAGAAAATAAAGTGGATATTCAACAAGTACACCTTGAATACGTTTTAATTTTTCTTGTGCCTAAAATAAGACACAAAAGAATTTTTAATCAAACAATATCATAATACGTAAATATATACTAGTAACGGATCAGTTTCTTTTAATTTTGGTGCATCAGTATATAGTGCAACTTGATCAAATCTTCTAACACGATCACTTGGTAATGTTGCAAATACTTCTTCATAAATTAATGTATTCTTTTTTGCAACATCGCGAAAGTAATTATAAAATTCATCTGATACTGGATCATTTACATTAATATTATTTGGATTGTCAAATTGAATGCCTAACATCATCCTAGAAGAAATAATCAGTACTAGCCAAAAGAGGTAGAAAAAAAGGGAATTCAACATACTCAAAGAGTCGTCTTCTCCAGCTACCACAAAATTTTCCAACACGAACTTTTTTTCTATTAAATACACCATCTTCTTCTTCACGATCATTAATAACAACACAAAATTCACTGTCACGTTGACCAAGCAATGACCGATCATTTATATTAGCACTACCACAGATTGCCATACGATCATCAATTATCATTAATTTCGAATGTACATAAATTATCTCAGTTACCTACAAGTAAATTTATTTGATACGTCGTTAATAATTGATGATCATGACTTACTAAAAGACCCATAAGTACATCATGAGCGCGCATACCAAAAAAACTAACATAATTATCGGGTGGAACACCTAAAAAAAGATAAAGAGTTGATAATTTTCTTTGAAATCCGATTATTATAATAATCTATTTTAGTTTTATCATTTGTTAATTAATATGCATATGCGGAGCCTTTGCTGTATAGAAATTAAAAATCTCATAATTATTCAATTCGATAGTAGATAGAACTTTTACAGTATAAGTTGGATAAATATAAATATAAATTTAAAATTCTTTCACAACTTTTATTTTTTTACTAAATTTTCAAGCTAAATAAAACTTTCTTTTGTATATCTTTACACGATAGTTTATTTATTAAACTATTCCATTTATGATTAATACATCTAAAGTGTAATTTGACTAAACTAAAATATAAAACACAGTTAAGTAAATGGATCTAGGCCACTGAAAGAACAATTGTTTTTATCATACATTGCAAACGTTCAAGTCATAATTCTATCAAATAACATTTATTTCATAGTTGTATGTCAGTACTCATTTATATTTATGCTGATTTTAGATGAAGATCTGTCTGATTCGATTAGTTACTAAATAATTAATATAAAGACTCGAGCAAAACTTTGATTAATATATGAAAACAGTCGATAGTTGCTATTTAAATGGGTAGAATCCTAGAAAAAAAAGATGACTTCATTCATAAATGCCTAGATTATATGTTAATTATTTATTCCAACAAGTAAAATGACTCAAGAACTAATTTATTTCCTTTATTTCCCCATACGTTGAATGCGTGTTGGTGTGTCGCAAAAAAATGGAATCTTCTCACGCAAAAAGAGCATATGAATATGATTAACAATTCATGCCAGTTTGCATGAAAGGAGATTTTTCATCAAAACTTCGCAGCTGAGATTAATTAATTTATTGAAGAAAATGGCAAAGATATGCCGATATTGTAATACTAAAATTTTGTGGTATACCACTGGATGTACTAGTTTTATGAAGATCTAGAAAACGACACATCTTGTGTAGTTAGTCATTGCATCATTCGATGTTAGTTTTTAAAATATATGAAAAAAGAGTAAGCAATGGTCAACCCATATCAAGATTTAATTACAATAGCCATTCGTTGATATGCCAATATTTTCTATAACCCGTTACTATAACTCTATTGTGTCACGTGTTAAACTAGTAGAATGTAAATCTATATGATACGTCATGTTAAATAGTTTTTTTATAATCAAAGAAGTCAACCATTTTTTAGGTATACCTTACTGAAGAATGATTCTTCAGAAGACTACTAAACCGTATATTTTCTTAACTTTGGCACCTATCTTATACTTGTAGGTGCCAACGGAAACTTCAACATCATGGAAATAATGTTCTTTTTAATTTCTGAAAGTGAGCAGATTTCTTTTTTAAAATATATACAGAACTAATGAGAGTTTTTTCAACGAATATAAAATGAGCTCTAATTGTAATTTTAATTAGATAAGAATAGAATTTGCCCTCTATGTTACTTCTACGTTTCATATTAATTTTGATTTCAATTGAAATAAACCTTACTTAAATCGTCCACATAGTAATAAAAAAGAGAAATGAAATTGTGTTTATCGATGAATATAATCAAGGTTTTTGTTAAAATAGCCACCACGCTTTGAGTTTAAAATATATATACATCATTTTTTAGTGTCTTTTACAATGGATCTACAATTAGGTATACCAGAAAAATTTCTTCATGTATGAAGCAGTATGACATAGTTCCAACATTTTGGCGCAGCTATGTGCTGATATCATGGTTGCCACTGATTAGCGTTGACTCATCGACTACTTACATGCTCATAAATCAGACATGGATTGATAGGATCAACGGTAGTAGTAGCCTTTGTGAATGACCCTAAAACTACTAAACTCAACAGATGACTAACAAATATCGTACTAAAGAGTGTGGATGTGAATGTCCATTTGACTAATTCTTTTAAAATATATCGATTTTTAGTTGTAGTTGACCTGTTATTGATATTTAATTTCTTAAAAAGTTCTATCATCTATTTTATTCGATTCTATTTACCTGCTTTTATAAGTCGTTTAAACAATGATCCATCACCTTTGGTAATCGAACGCATAATAAAATATAATACTGCTTGAACTGCATTAACATTATCGAAACCAGGCAGTAGAGGAAGAACAACATAAATACGAAATTTTTCATTTGAACTAAGAAACATAACAAAACTGAAATATTAATATCGTTTTTAATCAATGAAAAAAATCACACACGTATGTGCTCGTAATACTCTTCGATAAAGTGCGTCAGCCAAATGATTTTTCACCGTACTATCATCACTAATAGTAATAAAAAATTGATTCTAATACAATATAGACGACAATATAATAATAATAGTAATCATAAGAAAAAAATTCTCTTCTATTTTATTATCATACTTCGATATAAATATAATGTTTTGCTGCATCAATCATTTGTATATACGCATTTTGAATTGAATTTTCTATTATTTTTGTTCCAATAGACCATGGTCCTGCAGAACGAACACACTAAATAAAAGTGAACAAAAAGTAACTAAGTTATTAGTTTTCATTTAATAATATTAATTATTTACTTGAGCATCAACTTCAAAAGGTCTAGCTTCAAGAAATTCTGCCCAATTTTTAACTCGTAATTCATCTGGATCATCATATGTTTTTGGTAATAGAAATGGATAAGAATCTTCATATAGAAATTTTTCACACTTAAAAAGACAAATGAAAGAAATTCAATTTAATAAAATGATATTAAAGTAAAATATACCTTATGAATATTCCATCGTTGAATAAAATGTCTGGCAACATCACGAGCTGCTTTACCAAAGACAACAAGAGCTTCGTCATGCCATGGCATACGAGGTACTACTTTTCGATCAATACAATCTATTTCGATCAATAATATATTTCATGAAACAAATAAATAAAATTTATAAATAAATAACCTTCGTTGAATCTTTCAAGTTCCATAAAATCTTTTTCATAAGGATTCGAATAATCTTTTCCAACAAAATATCGATGTTTTGTATCAACAACTATTGGTGATCCAGCATATGATTGTGGTTCTTCAGGTTTCTCTTCTTCTTCAGAATCTTCTTCTTCATTATCTTTTTTCATCATCTTGAATAATAATAAACTTCTTATTTATCCAAACTTAGTTTGTTTTGTCAAATTTACTTTAACTAGCTTTCTCCATTTACGAGCGTATTTTTCTGGTCGTCGAATAGCATCTTCTTCATCTTCAAGTATTTTTTGTTCAGCATTCATTGGGTCGCCTGTAGAGGGGAAAAAATTCAATTTTTGGTGTTTTGAAAGAAAAAGAAAATTAAACTTCCTAGTAATATTATTACAAAACTTGTTAGCTATCATATAAATTTAAAAAAATCACCTACGCCGTGCAAAATCTATTGGCTGACGTACAAATTTATTAAAAGCATTGTGCGAGCGATATCGATGAGAAGAAATAGCATTAGTATGAGCAGCGTGATCACCCTGGCCAGTCTCGGCTAGATCTAGAGATCGCAAACGATTCAAATTAGTTTTTGGATGTCGCCAATTAGACAATGCGTGCAATTCTAAATCTTGTTCATTTTGTTTGTTAGTAGTTTGACGATCAGCATTAGTTAGTAAACGCGTTAGTGGTGGGCGTGCAACACGACGATTACCCTTTTCTGAGTCACTCTCGGTTCCATCTCGATCGTTTCCTATTGTTAGCAAAAAACAAAAAGGTGCAATACGAAAACAATGAAAAAAACAAGGGTACAAAACAAGAATTATGTTTGGATACAATAACGAACAGAGCGTAGTTTGGTGACTTTTTCGAATAATTTTTTATGCGAGCAATAGATCGTTCGAATTACGGAATTGTAATAAATCATATCCCAACTTACGAGAATATTTCTTTGGATGTATTTTATTTGTATTGCTATCAGCTAAAGACAGTTATCTTCATTTTAACAAGTTACTTTCTTGTCGATTTTTATTCTTTCTCTTATTGAGTTTGAAAGCGCAAATTTTTGTTGATGTCTATACTTTTACGAGATAAATAATGCTTTTTTTTCTTACCTGAAAACTTGGATTCAAGCCCTTGCAAGAAAAAACGAATACATAAAAATTCAAATTAGTGAAAAAAATCAATCGCTTACATTTTTTTGCTGCAGTCTTTACATGAAGCCCAGGTTCACCAGCAAGAGTTTGATCTATTTGTTTACTATCAGCAGCATCTCTGCTAGAAGCAATAGCACCGGCTGCTCTCATATGATCAGTTCTCTAGAATATATGACATATATTTTTGTTTCTATTTTGCAAGAGCTCAACATTTCAATTTGTATTAACGTTATTATACTAATTAATTATTAAAATTATTCTTTCTACATGTTTACAGTAGTTGGATTTTTTTATATGATGTAGAAGAGAACTTCTTTGTTTTTAATGTCTACATACATTTTTAGTTTTGTATTTACCTTAACTGGTCTTGCACCCGCTCGCGCAGCCATTTGTGTCATAGCCATTGGTATTTCTTCATCTGGTTCTTCACTGGCTGATGCTTGTCTTTCAGCTTGTATTTCGATTGGCATCTTTAGCTTTGTTATGTTATCTTCACCCAAATCGGCAAGACTAAAACGATAAACAGAATACTAGTTCATTGTAATTATATAATTACATCAATCTAAAAGAAAGTGAAATTCTTCGATGAAGAAAACATCGATCTATTTTTACTTTTACTGTTCAAGTTATTTTTACATAATAATTAATGAATAACTGAAAATTAATCAGAACAAATGATTGTTCATTTCTTAACATTTTCAAGAAGCCTTTAGATATTTAAACGTAGCATATTAGAAGTGAAATTCATGTTCTCTTTCACTTTCAATCGAACTTTTATTTTCGTGAATGTCTAGTTTGGTAATGGTGAACTGGATCTTTTGTAGAATGAAACTTAAATTCAAATAGAAACAAGCAGAGTTTATTTTTGTCGTGATTAGTTTGATCTACTGAATATGATCGTATTGACAATTTTTCACTAATAGAATCTAAGTGAAAGGTGTTTTCTAGGGAGTTATACAAGAATCAATAGATCATTCATGAATATAATTGTTGCAGAGACAGTTTTCAAGACTCGTTAAATTTAGTTTTACACATGTGAAAAAAGTGATAGTATACGAGAACAACGATGTTTGACAACGAAACTTAGTGATTAGACGCTAATGCTATCGTATTCTTTCTAAAGATATTGGATCATTCAGATTTCACGATTTTGAAGCAAAAATCAAGTAAAAACCAGTTAGAAATTCAAATCAAAAGAAACTCTTTTCAACTTATCATGAACAATCAAAAAGATTCCTTTGATGGGTCTTCTATTGTAGCCAAAAATCCATTTTAAACAATACTAAATAATATCAACACTCTAACAAGAAAAATGTAATATATTTACCATAGAAAGAAGTGAGAAAATGAAGCATTTAGCAGAGTAACAGTGTTTGTTAAGTCTTAGTGATATCTTTTTAAGAACGCTCTTTATCAAACACATGTGTAATTAATACATAAAAAAAGTTCACTATTTTTTTCGTACCAAAATAGTTCCAATTGACTTCTTTACTTTTGTCATTAGATTTTGGTGACAACTTTCATTGTTTCATAGATAAAACATGTTACCAGTTCATTCAAATCACTTACAAAGATGGTAAATATGTCCTATTGAAAGGTATCGATATTCTCTTATAATTTCCGCCAAGATTTTTAATTTTGACGAAACTCATACATATTCAAGTACTAATCATAAAAGTCTCTTGGGTAATCGTAAAAATAATATGCGAAGCAAAAATATTTAAAAGCATCTTAAATAAATTATTAGTTTCTTGAGAAATCATTTCCGGGATATCGTAGTACTTATTATTATTATTATTATTATTATTATTATTGTAACGCTTTGCTAGGCACTCCTATTTTTCTTCTTCTTTTTTGTAATGAAATAAATGTGGTAGAAAATTACAAGCAAACTTAAAGTCATTTTTTCTTTTCTTTTCAGATTTCTGTTGCTGTTAAAATTTGATGTAATGCCGGAATAATAGAACAGAATAAACTGTGTTTTTATTTATTGTCAATTTAATTTAAAAAAAAAGAGAATAAACATAAAGTCTCAAATGTATTGATCTATTCGGTTATATTTGTTTTAATATAAATAAATCATGAAGAAGAGACCTTACGATACCGATTTATGATCAGGAAAAACGAATCGCAAGAGATTTATCAAGACAATAATAATCAGTCATTAATTCTCTAAACGATACTGAGCCACAAGTGAATCCTCCGTTTTTATTCGATATTTTAAAGAGTATGAATTATAGACGTTGACGCTCGATATTTTTAAATCAATGCCTAGACGTCAAACGAGAATGTAAACATATTTTACTATCAACATAACTATTTGCCAATCGAAAGATTAGTTTTTTCTGATGTTACTCAACTATAATCTTGAACAGTATGCGACGTAATCCATTTATTCAAACTAATTCGGGAACGTTTCCAACTATCAATAATAAATAGTGATGATTATTTAAATGAGACTTTTATCATGAGCAAGTTATTTCAGGACACTAGAAAAAAAGATAGATTTTATTTCAAATTTCGACTAGGTAAACACTGAATTCTGATTCTTTTTAAAAAGCTTATCTGAATCTCACCAATATTTACTTCTAATTATAATAACGAGTTCAACGACTAGTAATGTTTTTTCCTAAGACATCACTATCTTTTCTAATAAATTTTCTTTTTCTATCAATCTATTATCGAGCAAAGTAATTTATATTCGTCTTCTCCATAGCATTTCAATTTAATAACAAATCTTGTCATGCCTTACGAATTTCGAGAGATATTTTTAAACGTTCATCATTTAGAACTAATTGAAGTTGCACTGCTTTCGTCTATAGACACTCTCTATAGTATTTCTGAACAATTTACATTACAAATATCTTTTCCAGTCAATAATAATAATAATAATAATTGAAATTCTCCTTGAGTAATTATACGACGATTCTACGAATCAAACTAACATTATTTTCATCGATTCTCTTAGCATGTGATTCTGGCAATTTACCGCATAAAATCATCATCCCAACGGCCGAAACATAAATCGATGCCACCAACAAATGCAACTTTTTGATCAATAATAACCGTTTTTTCGTGATGAGACCATAGAAAAACTCCACCACTTGGATAATGATCAGGATGACGAATAACCTACAACATACATTTATACAATTAAATAAGAAGAAAAAGAAAAGCACATTTACCTTTATAAATCCGTTTTTACTTTTTCTAATTAAAGCTCTTTTTGTGTGTAAACTATTTAGACCCATAGCAAATGACATTTCTTTAAAAACTAGAACATATACACGAACACCATTATCCTAAAATTTAAATAGAATTCATAAATTATATTGATATAAGAGAAGAAAAAAAAATATTCATTTTTACAGCTATTTCTCCTAATAAATTATCCAATCGAAATGATTGATCATCAGTTGGTCTTATCATCATTATTTCCGGTGAAAGCCACCAATCCGTTATAAAGACTTCTTCTTTGGCTGTTAAAAGTGCTTTTGCAACTGCCTTCATATAGCTTTTACCATTGACAAACCTAGAAATATTGATTTTAATACTTAATGCATAGTACAATTTAATCTAAATTACCAATAAGCTAGTTGTTTCTGACGAACAGGTGCAAATGAATTAAAACGACTTGCTGTGGCACTAACAAAACTGTTAGCTTGCTCTTTTAAATTTAACAAATGTTGTGTCCATTCATCACAATCTCGATTATTTCGACATTTAAGAAGTAATGTACGTTGCAAATTTGTTATTTTTATACCATGTTGTGTCCTCGTTTGGCGAAAACCACTAGCAATTTCAAAACCACGATCAACCAACATTGGAAAACGTATTTCATATGTATCGGGACGTATATAAGTAATATAAGAATCTTTAACAACAAACCATCTTCATAGAAAAATAAAGATTTGTATTTCAATTAAAAATTTAAGAGAAAAGAGAAATATATAACAACATACTTTCGACCATGATGAAATTTACATGCATCACAAAGAAATGGCAAACGTAGAAAGAAACTGTGACCACGATAATCATCATGAGATCGTTTGAGTAAATAGGCTTCTTTGATGCTAACTGATAAACCATAGACGAACGAGACACAGCTAACACCAAAAAATTCACGCTAAAATATAGAAAAACAGATTAAAAACAGGTAATAATTATTGATTTTATTGTAAATAATCAATCTATGCACATAATTATTCTCGAATAAAAACGAATTATATGCTACATTAATCAAACATATCTACTTCAATTAATGTAAATGATGTTTTAACTTGTTGAAATGATAATTTAGATCAGCTGTTCAAAAACAAAAATCTAAAGACAATAAATCTTCTGCTATTTGATCGGACTAACTAAATCTCTAATGTTAAAGTTTTAATTGTGACTTTTATTATGCAAACTACTGATCTTGATATTTTTTCTACAACAGAAATATAATACCAGTTTACGCTTGGTTTTTTCTTTTTCATTATGTGCTGATATTTCACTGTATTTTATGATAAATTTTCAGAGTTTATTTAACAATGACTCACTCTCAAAATGTTCTATAAAAATGAGACAAGTCATCGTGACCTACAGAAACTGCGGATATGACTTAGACTGTCAGATTTTGGATGTCCTCTAAAGTAGGTTAAAATATGATACTGTTATTCTATCAAGAACAATAGAAAAAATTAATTTTAACTTGAACCATAACTGAGAAGCAATTTTTCATGAGCATTGTTTATTTTTAAATTTTCTGACCTTCTATTTAAAGCTATACGCTTATGATTAAAACATATTTTTCAATCACTGGTATACGTATGCATTGAGAGGCATTGAGAGACATCGATATTCTTATTTGAGAGTAAAAGCAACCAAAGGATTTGAAACTTCGTAAATAAACTATTCACATTGAAGGACACTCCTGTACTAAATTTCAAGAGGAAATTTGAAACTACGTTTTGTTATTGTCCTTGATGACTAAGACAGCATTATATATAACGACATCATAAAAATGCAACAGATCGACAGCGCTTATCTATGATTTCGGATTGTTGTCAGAATATTTCTAGACGATGTCAATTTCTATGATACATTTGGTCTTGAATGAAAAGTAATTAGTCAGTTGGGTGCAATCTTTGCTCGCAACAAATTGATGTTACCGATATCAAAATGATTTTCAAGGAAACATTCTTACCATTGCTGAATGATTACGAAATTTCGGATGTCTTAGAATTTTATTGAGATATTCAAGTAGAATTTGCTATATGCAGACAAGAGAGAAAAAAGAAGCAAGTTAATAAATAGAAAAATAAAGTTTTTAAACATACACAACGTTCTTGAACAATATTATTGTTAATAAATGCTAATCGATCATTTCTAGTTGGAAAACACGGATTTTCATTATCTTCGTCTTGTATTCTAAATAAGATCATATTATTGAACAACGTAATCAAATTAAGTTTACAACAATTATAGACAAACAGAGAAACATACATCTGACAAAAAAAACTTACGATCGTTGCGAAATGAATTTTACAGGAACATTTCGCTTCATTGATCTATGATAATTATATTAGGAAAAGCATTGCTTATTCTCACATCTCATATTTTATTGACTTAAATATTATTTAATAAGTTCTTTTTTTCTCAATACTTACTTTTCTGAATCACCGATAGATTGCTGTGTGTCACTTTCAACAAATTGAACTAAAGCTTTATGTAGATCGTTGAAATTTCGATAACGTTTATAAATAGTCCATTCAAATGGACCATGTCTTGTTGTTATGCAATATCTGAGAAGAAGAAGAACAAAAGAATTTTCACATATTTATTCAAAGAAATATTTATATTCATACTTACAAGTAAGGATTTAGAAATTCTGTAAAACCCGCGTACGTGCGTTCAGCAACAATTGCTACAACAATAACTGGAACATTAGGAACAAATGTTCGTCCATTGCGATCAAATATATGGCCAACAGTAAATTTTTCAGCTAATCAAATCAATAAAATGATTAATAAGAAATATGTATTTTATAGAAACCTTTTTGAAAACGATTATCGACAGGATCGTCAAAATCTCTATCAGGATATGGTAAATATTCATTGTGCTTTCGATCTGGATGACCTGCACTAATTGCTAATTCAGCCATACCAGCCGTGTGTCGAACCAAAGCGCTGACACCGCCTGAGTCATCATGGCGTGCCATCTGAAAATAAAAATTCATTTTTAGTCGAAGTTAATCAGAACATTTTTCTTCTCTAGAGCCATTTGTACCGATGGCCTATATAGATAATCAAAAAAAAAAACAATAACAGGCTTTTTTTCCGTTGATTGACTAATCTCAAGGGAACTCAATAAAACTAAAATTAATCGTAGCGTAAAGGTTTACAACGGCAAAATGATGTCTCGCGTATTGGAAAGCCATAGAGAGAAGAAAAGAAGAACTAGTTCATGATCTTTTTTCTTGTTTTCTATTATTAAAGAGACGAGCAGTGTTTCATCACAACGATTGGAAGAAAAAGATTTGAGATAATTTAATCTTTATATTCGACACATAAAATATAAGTGCACAATATATTATGCTAATTTACTTATGAATCACCTGCAATTGTATTCGCAGCTTATTAAAAACATTGTACAAATCATACTTATTATGATGTCAAAAATAACAAAATATACCTCTAAGACACATTTTAATACGTTTACAAAAGTTGACTTTCATAGGTAAAAAAGGGAAAAAATGAAGCTTATCTTGTGTTTTGTGCTTCTCGCGTTGCAAAAAAACAGAACAGAACATTCACAAAATTCTTTTTTTCTTTTTATTACGATTTCTCTATTATGCTGACGAATGAGATCGATCTAATCAGATGTCACTACGATAGATTTTTTCATAATTGATTCAGATAAGTTTATCCCAAGGTTATTACAGATGTTTAGAGCCATTTACTTTTCGAAATTTAAACGAGAGAAGTCTGCTTCGACACACGATTTGATATCAACACATACGATGGTACTATTTATTTTCTTTTTATGACTCATTAAAAGTATCGTTTTATATAACATGTGTCAAATTATTCATCGACAGTTAGTTCATCGAGAATCTTCTTATTGATTGTACGTCATAGAGATGAAGTCTTTTCAATGAGTATATTAAACTTCTTTGTATTTAAATATTATCTATCTCATTTATTTAATATACTTTGTTTGATGAATACTAAGAGTCAAGTCATGAAAAATGAAAATGTTCACCAATGAGTTCATCGCATAAGAATCAACAGTTGATGCAGTTGAGTACTAAAAATCATAATTGATTGTTGATTCATTTTATGCGTAACAAATACTATTGACTTGTAACTTACCATTGAAATTTCTTACTCGAACCAGTTGAAAGAGAACTTAACGAAGGTCAGGGACTGACCTTGAAGTAATCCCATCCTATCTAAAAAAAAATCCGATTTTCTTTTCATTATTGATGCATCCGTTTTACAATATATAAATATCAAATGTATTATACTTCGTGATATAATGTACAATAGATTAGACTACGATGTCAGGGTTTTCATTGTGATACCTTTTTATGTGTATTTCATATCTATGCTTCATCGTGTATATTTTGTGAACTAAGCTGGGAATACAAATAATTACTCTACTCATATCTCAGTTGTAATAAAATTAGTTCACAAATAATCTTGGAATAAAGCCAATGAGATCTGAAGTTCTATGTCTCTTGAATCACTATGGCCGTGAGTCAATGGTTTCTACATTATTTATTCTTCACTTTTCATCAGTTTTGCAATGGACTCTCTGACAGTACTGATTGAGCGATTACCTACACAATTAATAACAATACTCTACAATGGAACCAATAAAAACGCATCATACTTTACTGAATTGATTCGTTCATCTCTAGTTGCAACTGTTAAATACCACGTCCAACGAAAGCTTGTCAATTGAGCCTTTTGGAACGGAACTTTTTTTTCTTCAGAACTTTTGTTTTATTTTGATGAATATATTATACTTCTTTCTGTGTTGCTTACTAATGAGAATGTCTCTCTGATAGACTTTGTTGTTTTGAAACTCGTGCATTTAGTAAGAAGCTTATTGTTATTGACTAATTACCCTGACAAGAATAATTCACTTACAATTGAAGAATGATAATACTTCGTATTTTTCCTATTCATTCAAATGCGACATTGGCATAAAAAATATATTAATGTGGCTTTTTAGAGTAACACATATATTGATAGTTTTATTTATAAATGAAATTGGCTATCATTTAAGTGATCAGTAGAATAAATGAAATGATCAGTACATTATGTGTGGGATCAGTTATTAATATACTTCGATTTATTGATTATTTAAAAATCAGTAAATTAGATTAGAGGATCTATATAAAAATTGAGATGTGTTATGCGGTGATTTACTTTTTTTTCATGCTTGCTCTTTTGGTCTATATATCGTACAGCTGACAAGTACAACATATATAAATGTACTCTTAGCTCCTTTCTGTCACATTCAGCTTAGTACCAACGAGTAAAAAAGATGGAAGTCGTACAAATTGTTCAATATGAAAGTGATATATCAGACAAAGAGGTTCTGGAAGGAAATGATGAAATAAATGGAAATCAAGGAATTCCAAAAAATGGTGTAGGGATAGCGTAGATGAGCAGAAGAATTACGCCCACACCCAAATTTCTATGTTTTACTGATAAATTTTATCTTTTTTTACTGGTAATTATATATAATAAGCTGATCACTTTAACAATAATTACTGATCATTTTAGTACTGATCATTCATATTCTTTTTTACTGATCAAATATAATGTTCCCAATGAAATTTACTAGAAATCAAATTTGAAGTATCTAGCTGTTGTATCGTAAAAGGGTTTCAGATTCCTAAGAATATAATTATGTGTAGGCTACACTAATGATGTTTTGATAGCATCAAGAGAATGATCATAAAAATCGGTCAAAGAATTTAAGTGAAGAGTCTATTTGACTAGTCGTAGAAAACTTCTATTAACTATTTTTTTCCAACAGATATCACCCCTACTGTCCATCGAAGAAGTTTATTTAAAATCTGAGTGTATCTTATCTTATTGAGAAATCATTCATCTTTTCTTCTCGAAAGAAATTCGTATGCATTAAATTTCGTATTGCAGTCAACTCTTGCGTAATACACTTAGAGATTTTCATGGCATGAGACAATAATATTTTCGATATTTTTCCATCTGATTATCCTATCCATTTTTATTTCCAAAATCTTATTAGTCTAGTTAACGTATTAATATATGGCGAATATTGAGAAATATTTCTTGTAATTCATTTTAGTGAATATTATTCGTTGATTTTTCAATTCAGCTTTATCATTTTGCTAGCCGAGCAAAATTCGATCATATTCATATAGATTAAGTCAAAAACAAAAAGAATTTGAATAGATACAAGAAAATGCATAAATTAGTATTCATTCGACATAAAATTCAGGAGATGACACAAAATTTGTCAAGTTCATTAACATTCTTTAGAATAGAAAATATCTTAGCGATTAGTCATTTCGATAAAAATTCTAAAAATATAATCAATCAATAGTATCAAATCAATAAAAATGCTCTGAAAGACAAAAAAACTAAATTGACAGTATATTTCATTCAAGCTGGGAAATTAAGTAGTATTTTTTTGCTCATTCATTTTATTTGATGCATATTTTCATCACGAACTACAATTTGCATTATTTATGTTAATCGATATCCTTATCTAGTACTTTACGATGATTAATTACGAACAATCTGTATATTCATTTGATTAGTTGATGTATTTATCTCAGTACTTAAATGTTAATAATCACAAGTTCTTTTAACTTGGTCGAGAGAGAGAGAGAGAGAGAGAGAGAGTTATCTGGTCTATAGAATGTGTGATAAACTTTAACTTATCCAAAATTTCTTATCACAAAAAGTTCATTGTACTTCATCTGAATATATTATCCATGAAATCTATATGGATAATTTAATTAATCACATAATGGATAAATATATCTGTATATAATCTTGTACAACATTAACAAGATGATCGATTGAGACAGTTTGATTGGCACAACTCCGAATAAAATAGAAAGACGTTGACGTCTGATGATAGAAACAGTAGCTATAAGTTAATATAATTAAAAGAACACACGCTCAGATGCCAAACAAAATATTTATTTTTAATCTGTTTTTAGAAACTAAACAAAATTTCTTATCCAGGGCTCACCTAGAAAATTTATCATCATAAATAAATTGAAAAAAGAAAAATATGTTTGCAATTTTACATAACAGAAATCAATAAGCTAGAATATCTTATTATTCTTTTGTTCAATCTTTTGATCATGTATATATTTTATTCATGATCGATCACATCTTGATAAAATATTTCAAGATAGAGAAAAAAGACTATTGAAGTAGATCATTATTATTAATGGGTGAGTTGGTTCTTTTATTCTCATCGTACATGCAGTGAAATGTCAATGTATCAAAGAATCTTGAACCGATTGTTATAATATTATCGATGTGACGTATGCATTTGTAGGGATAAATCGATATTTAATATGAGACATCAGCTGAAATGAGAAGCCACATTGAATCAAATACTTGAATCGTACATATGTTCCTGAGAAATACTAACGATGGCGGAAACATTTTCTTTACATTATGAACATGTATAAGCAACTCATCTATACATGTAATTATTAACATCAATCACTATACAAGCAAGCAAGCAGACTCATTTTTTACTGATTAGAATGCTGCAGTCAATAGCAAAGACTATTAATAATAATAATCACTGGCCTCAATGTCGTCATTGCTAATTGAATAATATGCTAATTGAACCACAAAATGACGCCATTCTATCATTTTTCTTTCAGAACCTATCGGTCAAGATATGTGACCTTTCTAGAATTTTCTTACTCATCATTTTCTTTTTTCTTTTTCTGATCTCATAATATTTCATATCATATTTTGTCGTTGTTGTTGTTTTAAAATGCTCGGAACTCTTTTTGAAGCATGTTGATTGAAATATGCAGCAGACAACTTTCGTCATAGTGATTTTTATTATAGAATTATTAATCGTATATTTTATTATAGAATTATTAATTGTATATTTTATGATAGAATTTATTATAAATAGGAGCATATTTGTATCATGTTTACTATAGTAAAAAGATAAAAAGAAAGAAAAGGCAACGAGATTTAAAGGATACCATCTGGTGCATCTCTTTTCAACAATCAATCAAATATTATCAAAAAGAGTCTCATCTTTCTTTGCTAGCCTAGTTGCATCATTCTTTCCCATCCGGGACGTTTGTCGACACTTCCGAGGTCTCCCTTTTTTCCAGCTCTTCGTTTATGTAATCTGAGAAGTAGAGGGTGATAGCGGACGATGACAACGACAACGATGATGATTTTATTCGATCTTGAGTTTCTCTCTTCTGCGTCTCTCTTTATCCCCCTCTTTCTTTGTCTCTTTCTCTTGATTTGTGTGGAATCAAGTCAATCACACAAGCTGCTTCTGCCTTCGTTATAAAATACACACATACCATACAAACACATATAAGGAAGAATATACTAAGAAAAAGAATAGGAAGCAAGAAGAAGAAGAAGAAGAAAGAAGCAGATAGTTCCTATTTCTACTGCAAACACGACTGTAATGATGATGACAGTCGTTGTCGAGCTTCTACGATCGGTATCTTTTTTCGTCTCATATTGCTAACTGCGTATCCTTGATCTATTGTCATTATAAGCATTAGTTGTTAGCAATAGGTTTTGTTTTTTGTTTATTGGTATCATATACGAGCTTGTAGATTTCATGAATTTGTATGCGTGTCCATTAATAATGAAGACACGAATTATTCTATTTAACTGCATTATGATATATTGAATGATTTTCATTCGACGACGGCACACATGTCGTCAAACTTGGTTTCATTTGTGATCAATCGTGATCATGGATTCTCTGGTGATAGTTATATTCACTTATTTAATATTAGTTAAATGTTACATTGTATGTCAAGAAGATTCATCATATTTTTCACCAGCAATTGTTGAAACTCAATATCTTACTTTTGATATGACTCAATATGGACCAAATGGTGGTGTTTTTTCAAGTATGTAAATATTGCTGTTTTTTATTCAATTGATTTTCATTATCCTAAATTTATTGTTTAGGTCCTAATTTTCCAAATCATTATCCGCAAGATACAATATTGTTTTATCAATTTATAGCAGCATCAGATTATCGTGTTCTTATTGAAATAGATCATTTTCAAGTACGTGGTGTTATACCACAATGTACACATGATTATTTAGATGTATTCATAAATGTAACAGATTTTAATTTGGTCTATAATATAGTTAATGATCAATTACTTCATCGTTATTGTGGTCGAACTAAACCGCCATTACTTATATCATATACAAATTTACTTTTACTCGGATTTTTTACTGAAGATACACAAACTGAAAAAGGTTTTAATGGTACATTTCGTTTTATATCAGGACAACCATATAAAAATCATCTTGTACGTGAACCATGTGATTATATTTTTAATTCATCAATGTCAAAACGTGGTGAATTTTTATCTTCAACATATCCAGGAACTTATTTACCGGTAAAAGAACATTATAAATTTATAGGAGTAAGAAATAAAATCTTTTTTCATTCTGTAGTGGCAATCTTGTAATTATTCATTTGTTGGTTTACCTGGTGAACGTATTCATATTCGTTTTCGTGACCTAGTTTTATTTAAAAGGCCTAATCAACAACATTGTCCAGTTGATTTAATTAAATTATATGATAATACACTGAATCCAGTAGAACTTCAAAGGTTTCTATCGAATTTTTATCAAACGAATTCTTTTAATTATCAAACATTACCTCAACAAACAGATCAACATCATATAACAGATCTTTGTGGTAAATATACGATGCCGCTTGATGTTTATTCGACAAGTAATCGCTTATTATTGTACTTTATTACTACACATTATGGAGAATTAACGGATGGTGAACAAGAACAATTTAATGATAGATCAATATCATTATGGAGAAAAGGTTTTTATGGTGAATATGAATTTTTCACAACATTAACTAAACTTGATTTTATATCAAGAAATAGATCAAATCAATATTTGCTAGGTACCGAATGCGACCAAACAATTAAATCATTTGGTCAAGGGCATGGTAGGAATAGCCAAAACCAAAAATCAATTAATATTGTTTTTTTTATTCTATATTTATTGAAATTTAGGTGAAATTCAATCGCCCAATTGGCCAAATTTATATAAACCCCAAACATCATGTACAACTTATTTATTAGGTCTTGATGATCGTTATGTATTAGAAAATGTTGAAATTGAATTTGACCATTTTGATATCGATTGTCATTTAGCATCATTTGTTATTTATAATGCAAGTCGAATATATGATTATCATTCACGTACACATTCATCGTCTGTACTACGCAGCGAAGCACTCATAACAGCACAAAAATCTTCATCTTTTAGTAATTATTATCAACAAGAACTTGATTTTAAAGATAATCTTTCATTTTGTGGTCATTTTAAACCCGAGGGACGATTTGTATCACGTAGTGCATTACTTAAATTATCGCTTATTCCAATTGATCGTTTATCAGAGAAAACTTTACCATTATTAAATCAAGGTGGAAAATTTCAAGTAAAATACAAGTTTGTTAAAAGTTATCATCAAGTATTTGCCGACGAATACGATAGAACAAATTCAAGTATTTGTAATCTTCATTATTATCAATCGCGTACAAATGCTGGTAAGATAGGAAATTTCTTTCAGATCAAAATATTTTATTATGATTTTAAATGAGAACAGAACTGATTAGTTTATTTTTTCTTCTTAAGGTAAATTTGAACCACCACGTTCATCAGAAAATGATTACTTTTCCAATTCCAATTGTACATTTAATTTTTATCTTCTAAATGAATATTCTCGACTTCTTATATGGTATGATTACTTTAATATTGCTGATAATAACTATAATCAATGTTCATCGGATAATGTAACGTATTCATATCGTTCCTATATATCATCGACATATTATTCATATCCATATATTTATTGTGGATATCGTAATTTTCCTCCGCCTTATTTAACTAGTCGTTTAACTGAACAATATCGTATACATTTTCGTTCAAACGATGACACAGAAGCCGGTTTAGGTTTTTATGGGCGATATGAATTTTTAAATGAATCAAATATTTTATTTTCGTCAGTATGCCGAAGTCCATTTGATTCAATTATTCATATTAATGAAACTGAACAACCGTCGGGAAATTTATCAAGTAATGGCTATCCAGAAAATGTAATCTGTGAATGGTCATATGCAACAACGAATGGATTTCAATTTAATTTAGAATTGACTATGCTTGATTTAGAAGGTTCAAAAACAAAAGATCCACCACAAGGTTGTCAATCATCTGTTTTAAGAATTTATAGTGAAGGAAAAATTGAAGAATTGTGTGGACAAGAAAAAGATATCTATATTCTAACTAATTCCAATTGGTTTACTTTACAATTTATTTCTTTAAATCGTCAAACACAAGACCCATTACAAGGCTTTTCTCTATCATGGACAATTGTACAAGTTAAAAATACTCTTAATAATAATCAGTGTCTATTATCGAATGATTATTTTGATTGTAAAAAATTTTCGAATAATAGAAATGAAACATTATTTTGTATTCATCGATCATTAATATGTGATGGAAATGTTCATTGTCAACCATTATCAAAGGATGATGAATATCCAAATAATTGTCTTGAAAATTTTTCACCACGCTCTCATTTTATATCCTGGTTAATTAAACATCAGAATTATATTTTTATTTTCATTGTTATTATTCTTTCAATTGTTATGTTATGCATTAGTATTATACTTATCTTTTTATGTATTAGAACAAGACGACGACGACAACGCCAAGAACAACAAGAACAACAACATGAACAAGAGTGTTTATCAGATGAAACAAAAACTAAATCGACTAAAGTATCCTTATACAATAATGATGATAATGACGATGATGATAATAATGATCGAGATTTAAGTCATTTGAGTATTTTAGAAGAAACTGTAACGACTGTTTAAAACTAAATAACCATTAAAATCAAAAAAAAAAGGATTTCTATATGTACGTTATTCCGTCAGATTCATTTTAGTGTCATATGATCTTGTGTAAACAGAAGAAGGAAATAAACAAATAAACATGTCAGGTTAATTTTATGTATCATTACCAGATAATTGCAATAATTAGCTATCTATTTATGAAAAATCATGCTTCTTCTGTCTGTGCTGTATGTCCGTAATCGATGCAACATGATTACTTCAATTAGAGTTATATCATAGCATTATGACAAACTTGTTTCTTTTTTTTTGTTGAGAAGGTTATACTAATTGCATCATAATAGCTACTAGAAAATTCTAATGCCATTACATGTTGTGCTTTTACTGTTGATGCTAAAAGGTCATGATGCCGACAAATTAACTGAAGCATTGCTTGAGTGTACGTCATTCTAAATAGAATTGCCTATCGACGGCCTAGCGTTCGATTAACATAAAGAATTCAATTAACTTTTTTGAAATTTTATTGTCGACTATATTCCATAAGAAAACTAATGTATAAACCAAAAGAGTATGACAACAACTTTTCGCTTGCGATCAACGATTATTTCTAGATAATACAATTGAAGAAATTTGTCGAGTGAATACGTCTCATGACAAAATCATTTATTTTAGATTATCCTTAGGAAATTGTTTTAAACGAAAAAAATGAGCAGTAAGTAAATTGAAGGGAAGAAAGTCGTTCTATGCTCTAGACGTTTTCTTGCTCAATGAAAACCTGAATAAATAGATTGAGTAGAAAAAACTATACGGAATGAATAAAGATTAAATTGATAAATACAGTTAACTGTATATGTATATATGTGTTTATGAATATGTCTATTCATTGTATTGTAGCGATTTTAAAAATGGTCAACATTTTCATTGATGTTGTCAGCAAGTTTCGGATGGACAGCAACGTGATTTGCTTTACCATGTGTATCCTTTTGCCATGAAACATGGTAAACACGAGCTGTTGCATATTTCTTATCTGGTAATTCAACCTATGATCAATTTGAAATTAAGGAATACGTAGTAAAATTAATTTTCAATGCCTATAGTACCTTGAAAAAATAATTGATGCCGGCTACAACTTGTGTAGATACTTGAATGGGTTTTAATGTATAATTTACTGGTATTTTAAATTGATCTTGAATTTTTGATTCCAAATGTTCTTTATACTAATCAAACAACAATTTTATCGATAACTATTACAACAAAAAACAAAGATTTTTACCATATTCCAAATTTTTAAGTCTTCTTCATCTACTGCTCGACTATTGCCAATACCACCGCATACAGCAACTCTATGAAAGAAGTTTTCCATGAAAGAAATAATTAGATTTTTTGAAATTAATTTACTTCACTTCGGTGACTGTGGGTGTTTCTAGTGTAGTAGGCTTTTGCTCAGACGACATATTTTCGAACTCTAAAATTAAACGATATTGATGTTTCTCTGAGTGTATATATATGTACGTTCGAAGGTCAATACTGAATCGTAGAAATGTTATTTGGCGAATAACTGAAAAAATGTGACAACCCATGAGTATCTATACCTATATCTATACCGGCGTGAAAGATACCATAGAATGTTTTTTATTCATTCTTTATCATAATTAATTTCAACATTTACTTTTTGCCCTGTCTATAGCAATAATAGAGAAAAGAAAAAAAACAAATACAATCATTTGTATTTGCTTTGACGTAGCCAATACGATATGTCGCTTTCTATATTTCAGAGATGTGCCGCTATAATACTAGAGTATATTATACAATTTTATTTAATAATAAACGAAAAGCTTATTATAAGTTTGATTTCATTATTCAATGCTTATTTCTAAAACTTGAATGTATGAGATATATTTTAATAAACGATGAATCACGAGATAAAATAATATTCATGGTGTATGTTGTCATTTTTTGTTATTTATAAACTTCAATAACAAAATACAGATTGCTATGATTGAAATTATTTTAGTCTTAATCTTTTTTTTTATCAATTAAAGAATACTGGTCATATATGACTCACAGGTAGAGTACGAACGATCAGTCCTTTAGAAGTGATAAGCTTTTCGTTTTATTGAGCAACGTAATGATAGGCGAGTCAGCTAGGGTTGTGCGTTTCGCTTAACATTAAATTAAATTAAATTAAATTAATAATCACCATCAACTACACTATCTTGAAAATATGTTTTGAAAAATCATACGCTCTTGTCCTACCTGTTTTTCATAACATTTTGATTATACTATTTTATAGTTTGAAGTCTTATCATATAATTATTTCAAGTTTCTCTAATTTTGCATATACTCTACGAGATAGACATTAGAAATTGGTTCAAAAACATTAGAGTTACATATATATATATTCATATTAGAGATAGTATGATAGCGTAAGTGAATGAACAATAATTAATATTCTTTGTTTACAATAATAATGTATTGATAAGTACAATTTTTCTACAATATACAGTGACAATATCGGCTAAAATGTCTATGCCAAATAAAAGGTCGTAGTGGCTACAAAATATAATAGCTCTTTGACTATTGAGTTTTATCACTGAATTCTGCTTAATATCTTTGAAGTAATTCGTACCCATTGAAGGTAATCGATTTTTAGAAACCAATACCAAGTGATTTTTTTAATTAATAGTTTTGATTAAGTTCATAGATGCACTATGAAGCATATAACGATCGTTTGATGTATAAATATAAAAAAGTATCCAACTAGTAAAATAGTAAGACAAATCAAAATTAAGTTTTCTGAAATGCCTGTGTTTTAAATGATGCACTCGATAGAACGATCATCAAGAATATGCCTATGGTTAGAATAGCAGTTGAATTTGTTAAATGAAATAGTTATTATTGACTTGTACGGAGTATATCGCAAGTACTTGCCAATCAACCTTTTCTCCATATTGGTATTGTTCATGTTTGATCGCTGATGTTTCTTTTTTTCTAGAGCCTCTCTACTGCTCCAACAATATTTCGCAGCTGATTCTCGATAAGACAGAACTTTTTTTCAATGATCAATTATACTAAAGCTCAACACCTATGATAGATGTATTTTCGTAGCGAAACTAATGCATAAGTTAGATTAGTAATAAGATGTTATGAATTTACGAAATCATTACATACAAGTAGAGTATTAGATTTCATAGTATCATAAAAATATGTTATCGAAAAAATGCAGCAGAAATTGGTAAAGAAGAAGAAGAATTCCTAACTCTTTCGAATATATTTGATTGAATACAGATCTCATCAACGAACATCATCACTGATCGATATTCTTCGATCAAATACAATTGAGTACGGTCGCCTATTAAGTGATTATTCTTGAACTGCTGAGAACAAATTTCAAAGTTTCGTAAGTCATTCAGTGCTAAAAGTTAGTTCGCACCGCTAAACATATTAGGTGGACTTCGAATGAGTACATATAAATACCAGGACACTAACACAATTCAAAATGCAGATTCAAGCAAAAAATAGATCGAACTCAATTCAGAAGACGGTCAGCAGTGCATTATTGCGATTTTTAGTCTTCTTCATTTCTCTAAGATCGTAGTAGGAATCTTGTGAAAAATGTTACGCTTAACTATATAACTCAGACAACATAATCAGATGTCCATATCATAGACCGATTTCCTATTAAATAAATAGAGATCTTATAATGAAAGTATTGGCCAATCAGGGACGGCGCAAACGGGGGGAGGGGGGCGGTTTCATAACTTTGGAAATTTTTGTTTCAATTTTACTCCGATTTGAAGAAAATAGAAGAAATTTTTATTGATTTCCTCCGATTTTTGGAAAAAACTTCCCGTTTTCAAGTAACCCCCCGATACTTTTATTACTTCGCGCCGTCCCTGTGCTCAATGAAAACCGGAACAAGCTACTATCTGTAAATCAAGTAGCAAAACTTTCCTCAATTGATTCATTTAATGCTTGCACTTAATGTAATTCTTTTAAGAGCACATTGTTATTTGTTGTTTCCTCTGTTAAGACATACTGAGCATAGTTTAGCTTAGTATGAACAAAATTTTCACGCAATTGTTTCTAAGAGATGAAACCAATGATGTGACAAGGTGTTTCTTTAGTTCCCACAAAAGCGATGCTAGTGATCAAAATCATTTGTGTATCAATAATTAGGCAGTAAAATATTGGAAAAAATTTTCGAAGCAGGAAGCATCGTGCCTCATGCCGACCTTTTTGCGCCTCCTGCCTGCTGGAAAAAAAATATTTGAAACTAGTTATTAAAACTTTGTCACAGTTTGGGAAGACTCGAAAACATAAAACATGCCATTAACTCGAACAAATTTTTCTCAATTTATTAATAATATATATCTTCGTTCAATTCTGAACATTGAATACAAGTTTTACTCATTCAGTTTCGATTGCATATTTTTATTTTGACATGATCATTTGTTATTTATTTATGAAAAGAAAAGAAATCAAGTTACTCACTTAAGGTATACGTTTTATCAAAAGAATCTATGGTCATATATTAACGTTGATATTATATCTTATTTTAGATAACCTTGAAGTTAAATACGCCCTTTTTTATTTATATTGATCAAACAAGGTGTGTGTGGTTCTTATCTCAACATTCTATACTTTTTCTCAACAGTTTTTCTTTGAAAAAATAAGTGAAATAAATAACATGAGTGAAACTTATGATTTTTCTTTATGGTCACATTATTATCGTGATTATCTTCTTTCGAATATAATCCCATTTTGGCTTCGTCATTCGATTGATAATGAATATGGTGGTTATTTTTCATGTCTTGATCGTTATGGAAAAGTTTTTGATACAGACAAATTTATCTGGTTACAAGCACGACAAGTTTGGATGTTTGCAAAATTATATCAAGATAATGATTTGAATGTTTCCAATGACGAGCGCAAACAATGGTTAAAAACAGCACAACATGGTGCTGAATTTCTCGAAAAATATGGCCGACATCCAACAAGTAGACAATGGTATTTTTCTTTAACACAACAGGGTGAACCTCTTATTGAACCGTACAATATATTTTCAAGTGTCTTTGCTTCAATGGCATTTGGACAAATGGCTAAAATTGATGAGACTAATGCCGAAAAGTACAAAGAAATTGCATTAAATACATTTAATGATATACAAAACCGTCGTTCGAATCCAAAAGGCGAATGGAATAAAGCAAGTTCTTCATCGCCGAGACAATTGAAAAGTTTTGCATTGCCTATGATGATGTGTAATCTAGCGATGGAACTAGAACATCTTATCGATAAACAACTTATACAAACCTTAATACATGAATGTAGTAAAGAAATAATTGAACAATTTCGTCAGTCCGATTCAGGATTAATTTTAGAATATATTAATGCCAAAGATGGATCAAGAAATGATTCATTTGAAGGACGTCTTCTTAATCCAGGTCATGGTATTGAAGCAATGTGGTTTTTACTTGATATTTCTGAACGACAAAATAATAAAGAATTAGCTTCAATTTGTATTGATACTTTATTAATAATTCTAAATTATAGTTGGGATGAAAAATATGGTGGCATTTTTTATTTTCTTGATATTGAACAACGACCACCGCAACAACTCGAATGGGACCAAAAGCTATGGTGGGTTCATCTAGAAACATTGATTGCACTAGTTAAAGCTATTGATCATCGACCAGAGAAGACGGATGAATTACTTGGTTGGCTAAATAAAGTACAGAAATATACTATTGATCATTTTGTTGACCCAGAAGGCGGCGAGTTATATGGATATTTGAATCGACAGGGTGAAGTTTTATTAAATTTAAAAGGTGGAAAATGGAAAGGATGTTATCATGTGCCCAGAGCTTTTTATTTGTGTTGGAAAACGTTGGATACAATTAGCAAAAAATAATGATAATAAACAAGAGTCTGTCATTTTTAATGGGATAAGTATTAGAAATAAATTATGAAATCATTGTATTTACATTTATCTAGACACGCTAAGTAATTTAATATCAATAAACGTAATTCAGTAAAAATTTCGATGTCTATCGAATACTGTGTTATTATTTTTGTAGACCTGATTGGTATAGACGTGTGTGTTCGAAGAAAATGTTTAGTATCAGTTTAAATTGAACTCTTTATCTTACATCGACAAAATCGTAAATGGATAGACAGGACTATTTTCGAATGTTTTTTAGAGTCTCAAATAAACTACGAGCTCGTTAAAAATATTCTAATTGGTTCTTATCATCGTTTTTTCTTTGCTATAATTCATAAATTAAAGAATTATCAATCTTAATTAGCATCTACATAATCTATTACCGTTGTTGACTTGAAGGCGAATTCTTCTAGATTAGTGTCAGAGAATAAACAATTAACATAAATATAAGGCATTCGTTTCGAAAATAAAAATTGATATTCAATATTATTTGAAGTACTAAAACAAAGATTGTACTAAATAGATAAATTGTTTATGTAAGGTTTTACGAACACCAATGCTAAACTAATGTTTGTTAATAATGATGATATAGATTACAGAAAATTTAATTTCTTGACTTAATTTATTTTCAAAAGAGGATTTTGTGCGTATAAATATTTCAGAAAAAAATACTTACTAGATGTGTCATGAAAATCAATTAAAGAAAAAGTCATTTTTATCTTCAAATGAATTGTAAATCTTTTTTTCTCTTTATTCAATTATTGATCCGATCTCATATTAAAAAGAAAAAAACAACAAACAAAACATAGAAAAGAGCCTATATATTTGTACACAAATAAAACTACGAAGTAACAGTTTTTATTTTCTCAGCATGTCGATGAGAATATGGTAATGCTTCACTTGGTTTTAATTTAATATGAGGTTTTGTTGGATCGCCACCCATCAACGCCAAATGTTCTGTTCCTTTGCTTTCAAAAAATGTATAAGATAAACTAATATCTTGAACACCTTGTAAATTAGGATCACGCAGAAATTCCGGATCAATATAAAAAAATACTGGCATATCAATTTCTTCACCTGGTTCTAGACGTTGCTCTTCAAAACAAAAACATTGAATTTTATTAAAATAAAACGCTGCTTGTGAAGGTTGAACATTATAAGTTGCTATACCAATAATTGGCCGATTTGATTCATTTTTAGCTCGATAAAAAGCTAGAGCCGTTTCACCTGGTTGAATAGTTATGTCGGTTTGTTCTGGCACGAATGTCCACGGCAAAAGTGATGATGGCGTCGAAGAAAAATTTATTCGTATTGATGGATGTGATTTATCTATTCGCTGTGATAATTTTCTTACATTTGCTGATACAACTTCAGCATCTTGATTTTTTCTTAAAACTCCATCAAAACCAGTAGCTTCACAAAACATTTTATACAAAGGTACAGATGCATAAGTTAAACCAAGCATTAGAATAGCCACTGAACTCAGATAAAATGCTACGTTAGCACCACGATTTTTTTCATTACGTTCAAACTCTTTAAAAGATTTTTCAAAATCATTTCTATTTATTGATTTGGGTGTTTCTGTTTCATTATTATTATTATTATTATTATTATTATTTGATGATACGAAACGCTTCAGAATTACAGAAGATGATGATGGTACATTAATATGAAGAAAACTTTTAAATAGAAATGGACGTACAATATGACGCGATATTAAAAGATTCATGAAATCTATAAAGAGAAGAATAAAAAAACAACACTACTGGTCTAATTGAATGAAAGAATTTTTGTTTAGATAATATTTTGTTTTACCGATAGAGATTTTATCGGTTTGATGTTGTTTTCTTTTTATTTCGATTCTTTTTAACCTAAAAATTCGGTTACAACAACAATAGAAAACGCTCATTTCTCTTTTTTCGGTTTTTTCTCATCTTCAGCTGCTTGTTTGGCTTTCTTTTCACGTTGTCCGACTAATTTTGCGTCAGCACGTGCCATACGTAAAGCTTGATAAGCATTGAATTTAGTGTCAGCATCACTGATTGGTCGAGCTTTTTCACGTATTACACGTTGTTTAACTGGCATTACAGCTTGTTTTCTAAGTTGTACGGCCAATTTGATTTCTTCTGGTTTAGCATCGTTCTTCTTTGGTTTATCGGCTTTCAATGGAAATAGAATGAGTTTGCCAAGATACTGTTTTAAACGTTGAACATTGAGCTAGGAAAAAAAGATTTTAGATCAAAATCAATTTCTTAAAATATTAAAATTACTTGAAAAGCTTCAGTTGATTTATTTCGTCGTCGATGGTCAACAGAAATACCGATGGTTCGAGCATATTTTGGATGAAGACCAGCAGTACGAATTTCATCCAATGAAAAACCGCGTCCAGCACGAACTTTCATGTTGTACCGACGTGTTTCACCATGAACAATGGGACGTAGTGCACCTTTAGCTGGCCGAGGAGCAACACGTTGAGCTTTAACTAAACGTTTTTGGTGACGACGTGTTTTACGGCCAGCTTGGTCAAACCAAGTGCGAACATGTAATTGCCACTTTTTATTAAAATGGGCATTTGGTATGACGTTATTATGTTTCATTGTCTGATGTCAATCTGAAATAAAATAAAACAAAACAAAACAAAAATGTGGGATTCATTGATTGAAATTTAAGATAGATATTTTTGATGTCCTCAGATCTCATAATCGATATCACGTGAGCCCACATGCACAAGGCGAATGAACTGCTACTTAAAGAAAAAACATTTTGTTTTCCACTATAGAATATAAGTAGTTGTTCATTCGTCTCACGCTTTTTATGCTCGTCAGTCGTCATTTATCATCATCGGACAATATCATAATTAATCTGCATCAGTCGAAATTTTTTTCTTTCAAAATAAATCAGACTAATCTGTCTTTAATATAAATATACATCATGTGCAGATACTTTTTCGACAAATAAAATTTGAAAATGAATGGATTATGTTTATCGACATAGAAAGTTTAAACAAAGAGGTAAAATATGGATTGATTGTCTATTTGATCGGAGGAAATCACTAAGAAAGATATTATTTAAAAAATAAAGTTTAAATACATTTAAGTTTTACATTAATTAAAATCAGAAAGAGAAATAATTTCTTTTAGTGTTTCTGCTAATTGGATTATTTGTAACTAATCAAAAGAAAAAATGAGTCATCTATGCGTAAGGTTCTATTATTTTCTCTAAAGTTCCTTCTGACACAGATCTGCCTGTTTGGTACATGATAGATGCAATCGAATTGATATTATAATGTCTTCAGACGAGAACAAAAATTTTGAGCCTCTTGTTGTTCTTCAATTTTCATCTAAAACACCACTTGAAACTAAAGAGTGGGTCATCAAGCGGCTAACCGCAAATCATAATGAAGATCAAGGTGCAGGTTTACTTGCTCGATATGAAACTAGTCCGGAGAGTGGTGTAAGTTTATTTTTCGTAGCTCTTCTTCAGAATATATACACCTACTACTATACACATATTGGATAGTATATTACTGCTTGAACACGAAAGAGTGTGTGTACATAATCTGAAGAAATATAATTTTTTACGTTGTTTTCAATATATTTACTTTGCTATTCAATAGGATAATATGATTGTAATTGGTGCTAAATTGAGCCGTTTATTAATCGGAGCAGAAGAATTGAGAATAAAAAAGCGATATAAAAATAAAGGCTTAACAGAATTTCTTATTTCGGATATTGACCATTTTGAGAATTCAGGTAGAAATCATTTGTTATTATTACATGAAATAAGTCTTTCAATTTGTTAGAAAATCCGGAGAATTTTTTACTTCAATCGGAAAAACAAAGAATTATCTGGGAAGAATTACAAACTTTACATCCAATGAGCAATGAACATTCCGTGCCTGGTGTACCAACTAAAATGATTTCGCCTAAGAACGATACTCTTCGTATGTAGAAATAATTTTGAAGGAAAAAACCTGCTTATTTTCAATATTATCTCTGTTAAATAGTTGATATTCTTCATAGTCTCAATTTTATTGCTAACGTATTTCCTTTACACGATAAAGACGATATAAAATTAATGGAACATGATTGGTTTAAATCAATACGTGCAATGTTTGCACCACAAGATATTCGTAAGAGAAAATAATGTGCATAATATTTACTTGTTTTCTCCATAGATCGAATTCGCAATTATTTCGGTGAAAATGTCGCGTTTTATTTTGCATTTTTGGAATATTATACATGGGCACTTGTGCCAACAGCAATTTTGGGTAAGAGAAAATTGCCAACGAACAATGTCCTTTTTCTTCAAAGCGCTCGATGATTAATATTTTGGAAACTTTTAAGAGAAAAACATATCGATTACATGTAGGATAAATATTATAAATATCAATAGTATTTTTGTTTTGTACTTAATTTAATATGTATTGATAATCAAGATTATAGTCAACAGTCTGAAAGTTTTTTTTGAAACAATGTTTACTCTTTTTGTGCCAATTTGAAGATAGCTAGTTAGAATATGAATGAATATTTAACTAGATCCGAGTATACATTTGAGATTTCCCCTATGAATCTATATTGAACATCCATGACTAAGTGGTTTTGAAAGTTACCACAAATATGTTCATGCTAAAGAAAAGAATATATTATTGTAAAAAGTCGTCTAATAAAGATATATTCATAAATAGCACAAAAAAAGAGTATAATTCTAATTCTCTATTTCTGCCACAAGTCAGTTCAGTTGTTGTTAGATGCCCTAAACAGTACGTGAATATTGTTCAGCAGGATCTTATCACCATAGTTCTTATCTTGAGAAATGAGTTCTAAATATTGAAATATTCAATTGTATTTTATTTACAAATCGACAAATAATCGTATCTTAGCATGTATCAAGTTTATTGAAAATGGATCGATGCATTCGAATGATCTATTCATTTTTAAAATACAATTAATGAAAACAATTCTATCTATATCGACTAAATGCAGAGCCTATTTTTTTCTTCTTCATATGAGTATATAAAATTACTTACAATCATACTGCTTACCTTGAATAACAGTGAATTTCTTTCTTACTTTCCGATCAAATCAGTTGATTCGTTCTATCGATAGAAAAACATCATGTTCACTATTTGAAAAAATATGAACGATGAAAATCTGTAACAACAATTTCGACGTATTATCAAACACAAGAAAATATGTTGCACAGTTTCTAAACGTTTAGAAACCATTATGATAGTTCATTATTCTATTATAAAACAAGAATAAAACTTCGAAATTTTATTACAATTATTTGAGTCATATTTTACTACACTGTTTGACATTGATAATATTTGTAGGAACACAAAAGAGTTTAACACGATTGTTTAGTTTTATCTTCTACGTATGGGTGCTATTTTTAAAATACTTCAGCAGTGGCCGGATTCTAAGAGTTCAGAACTCTTCAAGAACTCGGAAATCTAAAGAACGCGACGCCTAGGGAATAATCCACACCACAGTGCTCTCAGAACCCTAGGAACTAGAGGGCGTGGGTGCGGGCGGTGAAGGGTTTATGTGGGGATCTGTGTGAATGCGGTTATTGGTTGTGGATCTGGGTGCATATTTCTGCTTTTATTTTTCAGTGTAGGTTAATGAATATGTGTCCTAGTGTTTTCTATCAGTGCCCATGCGCCATTGTGCTGTGTGTGTGAGTGTTGTGAACAATTGAGTGGATGCTTTTGGAATTCTAGTGATACATTGAAGATGACGTCGTGTAATAAACTGCAAGTTTCGATGAAAGGCAAATATATGGAGAGTGTAAAAGTTTATGTAAGATCTTGACGCTGATCGAAATGTATGAAAGTGAGATAGTTTCTGGTAGCTGATTGCTGTCAGAGGCCAGCAGCAAACTGAACTTATACATAAATCTGTTGAGAAATTGAGTGAGCGCTGGCGTTAGGTTCATCTGCAACTTTCCAGACATATCGTTTTGTATGCTTTCAACACGCATATTCTACCAAACAAAAGGCTCATAGTACCATAGTTTACAACTTTCGTTTCTCCGAACTCAATTTGCTTCGGTAGTTCAAACACTACGTCCACTCAATAGTGTTTAATGGTGCCTCATAATTCAGCAGTTCCCGAAAATACATGGCCCACCCCGAACCATCAAGTATTTGGAAGACTTCCTAGAGTTGCTGAGGTTCTAGAAATTCTAAGAGTTCCAGGAGTTCTAGCAGGTTTAATAGCTTCGAATTCCCTATCAGATAGTGGCTTGAAGAGTTCCGAACTCCTGGAATCCGGCCACGTCTCACAAAAAAATAGATTCACTAATACTAAAATTTGTATACAAGTTTTTTTTAGAGTCTTGATCTATCTCAAACTAAGACTTTGGAAATTTTGAAAATTGATGCTAGTCTAACTAATATTATATTGTATCTTATCAATTGAAAATCATTGACTAAATACAGCATCGTTATATTTTAAATGTGTATATGCATAGGATAGATTACGGGTTAGTAAATTTTTCTGTTGAAATGTATAAGATGTGAAAGCAGCTTTCCCTAGAGTATTCATGGAAGCTTTTCAAAAAATTAGATTGAATGCAGAGAATTCCAATGAGATGAATAAAAATTTTAGTTTTTACTCATTCAACATCAAATGTAGATCATAATTATTCATTCATTAGTTTGTTTTCAATAGCCAATAAATTAATTGAATGAAATCCTGCCATTTATTTTATGCATATTCATTTTAATAAGCATAGCCTTTTTTTTCGTTCTTTTAGGTTTCTTGATCAATTTTTGGCCAGTTTCAGACTTCTTTAAATATTCATTGCTCTGCCTTTTTAATGTTATTTGGTGGACCGTATTTGTGAGTAACTATTTCATAATTGTTTGTTTTCTTCATCAAAACTAAAACATAAAATAGATGGAACTATGGAAAAACTATACAAATAGACTTGCTTCTCAATGGGGTACATTAGATGAAGAAATGTTCGAACGACCTCGGTCACTTTATTATGGTGAACCACAACTTTCGCCGATTACAAAAAAAGAAGAACCATACTATCCACTGTAAGAATCAATGTTCAAAAGTCGATTCTTTTATATTCTCTAATTTAGATGGAAACATCGATTAAAAAAATATTTCATTAGTTATCCATTGATGATGATATGTTTAATTATATCATTAACAATTTATTTTAATTATTGTCGAATACAAAACAGAACAGATGCAAAATATCCATTCGACGGCTCGCTTACGTTTATTCAAGTAAAAGCTATGCGAATGTTTCCATCGATTGGGTATTCACTATTGATCGGTCAAGTAAACTTAAACTATAGAAGATTAGCAACGTTTTTAACAGATAATGGTAGAGAAAGAATTTTAATTTAGGAAAACAAAAGATTTTTTTTATTTTTATGATGTTTTAGAAAATCATCGTCTTCAAACATCCTATGAAAATAATTTAACAGCAAAATTATTTATCTTCTTCTTTGTGAATTGTTTTGCTGGTTTATTTTATCAGGCTTTTTTTATGGCTAATTATGGAAATGTAACACAAGTAAATCATTCATTCATTCAACACAATTTGTTTTGTATATTCATAAATAAAAACAAATATTCATTTTAGTTATTAACATCTATGCTCATTGTAAATGTTGTTATATTGAAATTTACGGAACAAATAGGTCCGTACATATCTAAACGTTTTAAAAAAAAACAATTAGCTGAGAGTGTACCAACTGATGCTCACCTAAGCAATTCTGTTAAACAATTAAAAACATTACTACCATTTCAAGTATGTTTTAAACAAGAATATATTATTATCATATTTGTATTCATTTTTCTGTAGGGAACCTATGGCGATTATTTGACTATATTCGAACAATATGGTTATGTAGCTTTATTTTCAGCAGTAAGTTAATGATAAAATTATATACACAAAAGCAAAATGAAATCTTCATTTATTTCTAAAAAAAGAAAAAACTTTAAATAGATTTCAATAAAAAGAATAGAATTATGTTAAATGTGGCGTTAAAATAGTTTAGCTTCAATTACTTTATTCAAACATGAACACTAAAAGAATAAACGACAGATTCTATTTCATTAATATTAATAATTGAGGGTTCACTTAAATTTGAATATGAGTTTCAAATGAATCATTTATTTACTTTAAGTTATATAATCAAGTAATTGATTGGCATCAAGATCAGAATTTTTAGATCATTTACAAGTTAGAACAAAAAATTCGATAGAATAGAGACGCATTCTAATTGATAGAAACTTTGTTATACTTTGAATGTATGTCAAAGTTATCCTATTGAACTTCTTCATTGTTTCAATCTGCTAACAACTTCTATCACGAGTATATCACTTTTAGTTCGCTTTATACAAATATTTATGACAATAGATTCCAATTCGTAGTAAAGCATGACAAAATATTTAAACTTTATCATCACGTACACGTATATAGAACTAAATCAAACTAAGTAGAAGGAGGTTTTCGATATGCATTTGTAGTAAATTTGAGATAGCAAAACATTTCTAGAGAGTAACTGCGATATAATCTTGTAATTCACTGAAGTAAATAGTTTTCACGTTTTTCTCTGGGGTATAGTGCATATATATTATGCATTAAAAAGTTATTCTCACCACCCTTCGACTTAGTCAGTAGAATGTGATAGTGTATTGTCGTATATATAGATGAAATCTTATAAAAGTTACTTTCATTACAGAAATGAGCAATTCAAATTCTTCTGTTTTATAATAAAAAAAAAGTTAACAAATACGAATAGCATCGACATTGAACATTATATAATCTTATCAGACATGATCTATGTCTGCAGTATCGAACATTATTAATTTATAGATGTTAAATGAGAATAAACGAGTTTGTTTTCTATTGTAAGGAGTGATGCCTTGAATACATGCTCTGAACTCTAGCTATTTTTTAAAATAGGCTTACTTTGAGCAAATGAATCCAATTTATAAATATTGATTAAACATCTAAAAAGTTTTTCTTATTGAAAATAAACATCAGAATGGAATTCTATTACTTTTACTTGTATTAGTTAAATTAAAATAAATACACATATAAACAACAGATAGAATAAAAACTATTGAATCATGTTAAGTGATCCATAAATTCATTCCTATTCATCCAACACGCCGGAATAAAGCATTACTTTTCAAATATCTTACTCTTAGGTATTTCCTTGGATAACAATATGTGCTGTAATAAATAATTTTTATGAACTTCGTGCTGATGCTTTTAAATATTGTTATGTTTATCGACGTCCGTTTGCTCAACCAGCTTGGAATATTGGTAGTTGGCATTCTGCATTCGATATATTAAGTTCAATAGCAATTGTTACTAATACAGCATTAATTGCTATGCAACCATCCGTTCGTCACTATTTCTCATCATATAACGATGTAGAATATATTTTAATTTTTGTTGCAGCAGAAGTAAATTAAATTCAATACAGATCTTCTTTAGTATCATGTATATTCCATTTGATTTAGCACGTACTTTTAGCAATAAAACTTGCGATTGATTTTGCTATTCCTGATGTACCAGCAGAAGTTGAAATTGAACGAGTTAAAAATCTTTATGAATCAAATCAAGCTTTAAGAAGTCAAGTAAGAAAAGCATATTTTGTGTCAATAATATTTTTATATAATTTTCTTAAATAGCGTTCAAACAAAACATTACAAGCTCAAAAATCAATAACCTCAAAACATTAATATTTTATTTATAATTCTTCATATTTACATGACACTTTCATCAATCGTTTTCATCTGGTTTCTTTTAATTTAGGTTTTTCTAAAATTTTCTAATCAATAATCTTGCAATTCTATTTCTCGTAGTACATCTTTTCATGACAGAATCGAATATATTTTCCCTTAATAATTTATGTTTGGCGTGTGAAAATTGTTTAGTATTAGGTGCTTTTTAACAAATGCTCAGTATTTGCTATTTTATCTTTTCTCTAATATATTTTTTAATAAAGATATTCATTACATAATAATTCTTCTAATAAAATATCTATTTTATTTTTATTATTTGCTGTTTAATTTAACACCAAAACAAAATCCCAAATGTGAATAGTTATTTTCAATTGGCTTCATGTCACTTTGTAGAATTTGATCAGTTTATTACAGATAGATAGAGCGTAGTTCCCTATAGACTTCTGTTAAAAAAAGTTAGGCCAATCTCAACTTTAGAAAAATGAACTTTCGCGCTTATTTCAGAAAACTTAACTTTCTATTAGTTTAATTGCCAATATTCAAAAGCGTTACATTGAATAGGTTTTCATGGAAATCTCACTACAATTTTTTCTAAGTTTCTTCACCAAAAAATCCCATTTAAAATTTTGAAATGATGAATAGTCACAATGCATCTATTGCTTTTTTTCAAAGATTCTGTTTTACTTATACAACAACTAGAACCATGTAAACAGAAGAGTTTGTATGTTTCTATCTTGAAAGAAAAACTATAATCTTACTAGTACATGAGAGTCATAATACTACGTGGAAACCATGCCAAAAAAAAGTCCACACTTTGAATGTTTGAGTATTAGTACAAAGTTCAATTCAGTTTTTCGAAATTCAATGACATATTCACCTATTTAGGACATTTATCAAAAATTCATGTTGATCATATTTTCAATCAGCAGCTTTGTCTATTATGATTTTTTTATGCAAACACGCAAACAACCAGCAAAGTAGAATGTAAACTATTCAATGTGATATTTATCATAATGCTTTAGTTATTATACTCGGAAAAAACAACACATTCTTCCATATTCTAAATCTGTTTCAAAACGTCTTCGACTTCTATGTTATCGTAATCAACTTGATAAGCTTTATCAAATTGACATAACGTTGATTTAAAGTAGACGCTAAAATTTGGAAATCTTCACTCGTATCTGAAATCTCAGGTCATTCATACACAATCTTTGAAATGATTCATATTTGTTGTTGAGCATTCTTCACTAAATTTTATTTAGTTATAATTACTTATTTATATGTAAATTCTTTTTCTTTATTTTGGTTTTAGAATTAAATAAAAACTATGAATCGTGAAAAATTACTTGAACAATTACAAATAATGATTACTGAACTGCCACCGTAAGATAATGATTTCATTTGTGTTCTATTGAATTTAATTAAATGAATTTTAATTCATCTAGGAAATTGCAAGAACGTTTTGAAAAAGATAATATAAGCGATCAGCTGGTCACATTATTACTTGATGGAAACATTTTTAATATCGTAAATAATCTTCAAGAAAGCCAAGCGCGTACAGAAAAAAATCTATCTAATGAACGACAAAAATTAATTAAAAAAGTTAAAGGTAATTGATTGATGTTGTTATCGTTATCGATAGAATCTGCTTCTTTTTGCTATACTAATCCAGATCAAGAAGCTGATTTAATTCGAAAACATTCGGAAGATGAAGCTCGTTGTGCTGATAGGCCACAACATTTAAATCTTCTCCAGGCAGCAAATAAACGTGAATTTGAGGTATTCAATTTTGTTTTGCTCTTTGAACATATTTTACATAAAATTTCTATTTATTCATAGGCATTCATTAAAAGAGTAGCCGATGAACAACAACGTTTTGACATGTCCATTGTTTTAGATCTCGATCAGAAAATGTTAGAACAACAGACAAGACTAGAAAAAGCTGGTGTACCCTGCATGCATGCGACAAATAAACCACTAGATGTACGTCTACAAATGTTTATTATCGAATTTATTCAACGCATAGCAAAGCAACAACGTATTTCTCCTGTAACAGAGAATTCCATTTAGATTAGATATATTGTATATTTCATTGACTATATGAATAAATGTTGTCATTCAATTGTCTATAAAATAAAATAAAATAAAACTAGTGAATTTCAATTGATCAATATTATTTTAGAACAAAGAATATACACTTCGTGCTAGAAAATAAAGATTAACCACTAAAAAGAAGACAACAACATAAAAGACAACAGCAAGAAAAGGAACGACAAAAGAAAAAAAAAGACGAAAAAACAGAGAATGTATAAACTCATTGAAATGGACGGATTGATTGACTTTTTTCCCTTTCTTGTTTAAAAGTTAGTCTTATGACGATTGACCAGCAGCAAAGCGTAAACGTTTATTTTTTTGTCGTTGATTACAAAACCAAACTCGTACAACATTCTTTTTTAAATCAAGTTTATCGGCTATTTGTGCAATACGTTCACCACTCGGCCTCTGTTGTTGAATAAAACATGATTCAAGAAAACGTTTTTCTTGCGCTGCAATTGATGTACGTTTTCGTTTTTTATCAATCAAACTTCCATTCGAATTAATATGTCCACTCATACCAATCATTGCTCCATTCATTTCATCTTTTTTTCTTTGTCTCATTTCTGCTTCGGCAAATTCTAACCAAGCTTGAAGAACAGGTTTTAATGCGACCATATTATTATGTGATAACGTCAAAGATTCAAATCGACATATTGTTGATTGTGATAATGAACCAACACCAGGCATTTTTAATTTTGATAATTGTTGTCCGACATCAGCTTGTGTAACACCTAATTTAATCCGACGTTGTTTAAAACGTTCAGCAAATGATTCCAGTTCGCGTGGATCAACATCAAGTTCATGTGGTGGTACAAGACTGCCAATAACACTATGATGATGCATACCAACAACCATACTAGGTAAACCACCGACAGCAGCTACAGCATGATGATGAGCTGCAGCAGCATATTGTCGTTGATAAAATGGATGTAATTCTGAACTTAATTGACTATGATGATTATGTTGATTTTGATCAGATAGTAGATGAGATTCTATGGATGATGTACCAGGATAGATATTTCCTGATGACGATGCACTTGCTGCTGCTGAAGAACAAGCAAATGAAGATGGATAATAAAGTGATGATGATTCCGGTTTTGCAAATGCTTCAGCTTGACGAAGAAAATTATCATCAATCGTTGGACAAAATAAACTCTATTTGAAAACAAAATTATTCTAGCTTTTTTTCTTCTTCTTTCAATACATACATTAGCCTCAAGTTTGAAACTATCGCCAAAACAATTTGGTTTTGACCACTAGAACAAAAAACTTTTCTACATATTTCTTTTCCATAAAGAAAAATAAAATAAAAATATACCGGTGTACTTGGCATATATCGTCGGTTATTAGAATCACTTGTAGCAGCAGCTACAGCTGCAGCTCGATAAAAATTACTAGGTGAATATCGATTATTGTTATTTCCAATTGAATTTGAATTTGTTAAACCTATTGATGCATTTGAAAATGAATTTTTACCGGTTGCTGTTAATTCACCAGATGATGTATTTGTATTCGTAAGCATTTTATTTATAATATTCATTTGAATTAATCAATAATTTACTTGTCGGTTAATTTTTCATTATTATTATCAATGAATCGAAATAATTCTTGGTAAACTTGAATGATTATATATCTTTGTTGATGTTGCTTTATGTATGTACTAAATAATAAATAAATAAATAAATAAATAAATATATAAATATATATATATATATATATATATATATATATACATAGTTAAAAAGTAAAAGAAGAAACGCATTCAATCATAATAATTTATCAATATTCATTCATTCATACATTCACTCACATCAGAGAAAGAAAGAGGAAGATATAATCAATGTGTTGAATATTTATTGTTGTTGGTCTTTGCACTACTGCAAATTTTCTTTTAGTCGTGATAGTGAAGGTATGAGCTTTTTTTTCTTCTTCTCTTATGTGTTACTGCTACTCGTTCCGTGAGTGATTAATGATAAATAAAAAATGAGAAAGAATTCTTTTTCTGTGATTAAATATGAGAGAAAGAAAAAAAAAGAGGAAAATTTACCTGCAACCAGAGAAGAAAAATTCTTCTATTGGTCAATTATATTTTCCATCTACCAATGAACAAAGAATAATATTCATACATCTGTCTGTCATCTTTAACAGTAGTAAGGAGAGAAGATTTCCCCAAGCGCAAGCGACACGCAAGACGACGATCAGCTAGATGTACGTTCTCTATAATAAATGTTATCTTCTCTCTTGCTTTAATTCAATTGAATTCGATTCTTTTCGGTTTTCTTTTTGTTGTCGAGCAATGAGATAGGTAATAGAAGTGGAGAAGAAAAAAAGAATGTTATAAATAAGTTAATACTCGTAAAAGCCCATTTAAACAAATGAACGGTGCACAATAAGCATCATCAACTATTCACGGTATTTTCTATTCTTTTATGTTGCTTCTATCTGCATGTTAAATAAAGAACATGTGAACACAAAAGAAAGAGAAAAAAGAAAAACGATATTTACATCTTTCATCAGGTTATTTTTACATCCAAAATTACCAAACAATAAAGATGACAAAAAAAATAATAATAATTTATTGAGTGGTGCGTATATTGAATTTATTAAAAATTATAAAAATAGAAGAAGACTTCTAATAATTATCTTATAAAAGATTAAAATATTAAGAATATTTTATTTCTACGAATAGTTCATTTCGAATATTATTCTACAAGTTAATCATTTTTCTTTTCAATTACATTTGATATGTACTCATCATTCATCTCTTTGATCTTATTTTCCTAGATACTACTTGTTGAGATGTAAGATTTCCGTTTCTCATTAACTCAAATACGATCCTTGTGTACTTGCCCTTAAGGCAATAACAAAACATAGACAGCCGCATAGGTGAGAAACAGAATCAATTTTTAATACATTGTTACGCATCAGATCGGAAGAGAAAAGGTGTATGTGTGTGTGTATTCTACGACTGATGATGTGTTTGCTTGAAGTAAACTAGTTTTCTACTGTTTTGTGTTTAAATGAGAAAATGAACAGATGGAATTTGTCTTTCTTTCTTTTCATGAAAACTACGGCTGATAATTGTGATCTCATTTCTGTTTTTTGTCTGTCGCAAATGAAAGTGAGGATGACGATGATGATAATGATAATGGCAGTCGTGGAGAGTGAAACACGCCCTACACGTTCATTCATGTTTGTCACGTCACGAATCCATTCAACACTAGTGTTGCTATGTCTATATGACAATGTACGTTTGTGAGAGTATTCTCAGATGACACTTGAGAGTATAACATACGACTATTGCTTATCATAATTGTTCGGCCGTATTGATTACCACGATCTTTTTTTCTCTTTTTCCTTCCCTATGTGCTAGTGTTTCTGGTAACATTGTTCTTGTTATGATGAGACACATAAGGTTTAGTTATAGATCTTGTTGACATTCGGTGTTAGTTAGAAAACGAATCAAAAGATTGTGTCAATCATATTGTCGGCGAATAGCTTCAAGCAATGAAAAAGAAAAAGCAACAAAAAAAACAATTTTCTTTTCTCCGTATATCTTTACACATGTATTTATGACCAGATGGAAAGAGGAAAACAAACGAAAAAGTATTCACATCGATCAATTTACCTGTATTGCAATAGACTACAATGATGAGTCCCTCGATACTTTGTCTTCCTCGTTATTTTTTTTAATTTTGACGTGGTAGAAAAGAAGTAATGTATGCATACATTTCTCAAGAGAACATTAAAAAATATGGAGGGCGGAACTGGGTCACTCAATATTATATGTTGAACTGATCGATTAGACGAGATAACAGATGGTAATCGATGGCGATGACGCACCTTACTTCCGCTTGTTTTTTGATCTGCTAAGTTACTCACGAGAAGAACAACAGTTATTATTTTGAGTAGAGTTGCTCTTTGTTTCTACGTTGGCCATCTGGTAGTTGTGAGACCACTTGTCGTGTCACGACATAGTCTTTTTCTTCTTTATTTTCATACAGAAAAGCTCGATTTATAAATACAATTGACGAGGAAAAGTTTCATTATACAAAGGCAGAAAGGAAAAGTGTTTTTAATAAATAATCAGACATAATTCATCGATCAAATGCTTCTCCTTTAAATATTTGAACATAGAATAAACTAAAATATTCATTGCCTATCGTTTTAAATCTTCTTACGTTAGAAAAGAATTAAACAATTAATTCTACTGTTCATGGATTCGATGTAGTTTTATTTTATTCAAGCAGTACATTTTTTTTTATCGATAGAAAAAGAATCTAAAATATTTCATATCATCTAAGTTAAATAGTTGACTTCTTATGTGGTTTTCATGATGAATTACAATTTGAATTCTTTCTTCAATGAGTTATTTTGCATATGAAAAATAAAATTCACCATCGTAAATGTTCCACAATGATATATCAATAACAAAATAAAATTTAGGAAAAAATTAATTATCTCTTAATATTAAAAATATTTCATTGATTCGTTTACATATCAGTAAACATAATATGAAAGAAGAAAAAACTGTGAATGTACAATGTTTTTAATTTGCATAACTAAGAAGCATTATGAACATAAATTGAACAAAACTTAATCTTACGCTCAATAACATCAGAGTTTCAGTACGCGTCAAGTTTTTGACCATTTTTAATTTTAATTCATATATTGAAAATAGAATAAATTCTTTGAAAATGATAATGTAATTATAAAAAAATAGTTTATGTGTTTGCCCCAGAGAAACAATGCTTGATCATAAAATCACATGATAAAAAAATGACATAATCTAATTCTCTAAAGTTTTAATAGTCTTATTAGATATATCAAGTGTTTATTGCAACAAATTTTGATTCTTCCATCAGTTACCTAAATCATTTATTCTATATGTTTACCATTGAATTAAATTAAAACTCACAATCTATTATATATTATAGAAGAATTTGCTAATGTAAGATGCAGACAGGAATTACTAGATGCAATAGTAATACTTAGTCAAGCAGCAAAAATATACAGATTCATGAAACAATAGACTATTTCATGAATGAAAAATTAGAATGAGATACAGTTCATTGCTCAATGAAAATAATTCAGTTGTAACTATGAATAAAGCAAATGATTAAATGTAAGAGAAACATAACAGCATCAAACACAATTAAGACTGTTATGGTATTAGAAGTGGGCCAGCTATTTACAAAAGTAAATTTATTTATATCTATTCAATCATCATCATCATCATGTATAATAAACTTTTCATAATTGTATCACATTATCTTAATTCATGTCACTTATTTTTGTTAATTTTCAGGGTCAATATATTTTTTTTATTAAGTAAGAAGAATTCAATTTTAGGCTTAGATAGCTTCAAATACGTAAGCATATAATCATATTAAATTTTAATTTTAAAAAGTTTAAATTCATAAATTATAGATAAAAAAAAATATTGTGAAACTATTGTCACATATAGTATACTGAATAATAGATTCGGACTAACCAAATAATCATTTTTGAAAAAATAAATGATCAAATCAAGATTGAAGAAATATGTTTCAAAATAGATACGCATGGTTAATTCAAAAAACAGTCTTGAATCCGACCAATTCATTAATAAATTTATCAGTAATAACAATAAATTTTTCGATCATATAGCGAGAACTCTTGTATTTTTATCGTAGCCAATTTAAATTGTTACAGATCCACGACGAAAATTTTTTGCATAAACCACTGTGCTTATTAATTTAATCTATTCAATATACACTTTTTCTCTACTTTTTTTGTTACACGATTTTACAGTTTGCTTGTTATAAATTTTTAATGCAGAGAACTTTTCAATATCATTCAAATACAATCTGAGAAATATTTGTAATGTGTGATATCATCAGTATTGCTAATGTGATATAAAAGTTTTTGTTTTGCTTCTACCAATACGGCAGGAAAACTTTGTTTCCTAGTAGTTTCTTCCAACATAAGATGGTTAATAAAGCGAATAGAATTCGTTTTTTCTTTCTTTCTAAAACATAATAGGTAAATAATATTAGTCATTGCAAAGACGATGAAGGAAGTAAAGAAATATATTTTTGCCATGACACAAATATATGCTTCATTCGAAGTTGTCTTAATGGTAAATTCAAAACAAAATTACAATCAGGTAATTGCATGAAATGAGTAAAACTACTTGCTATACAGAAATGTGACAAAAAAAGAGCAAAAAAATTTAGTGTCAAGAGTCCATTCGAATTTCTCTCGCATATCGATCTAGATTTTAGAAATAGCAAAAAGCACGTGTAATATCGCCATAAAAGAAGAACTATCATTTTCTCTTCACAATTGTTGTTTCCGCTAAGAAGAATAAGACAACGACGAGCTAGATTTTCTTTTTCGCGTGTTGTTAATTCATTCGTATCAAAAGAAAATATGACACTATAATAACGGTTTTAGGCGTCGAATAGTCAGAGGATATGCTATGTGCTAAATTACAACGTGAAGGACCTGATTGGCCTGATTTCACTCATTACTTTACAATCAACATAGAAGACTTGCAATTGCATGTTGTTGATGCCGATAGGGTTAATACCTACTATCATGATGTCAGCACACGGCATTGCTACATCATTGCATCTGAAATCTAATTCGACACTATGAACAGTGACAATATGGGTTCTCCATCGAGACCATTGTCTATAGTAGAAAAAAGTAATTATTAGTAGTAGTGTGTATAAAGAAATAAGAAATAATTCGGGCAAACATTCTATTTTTTTCATTTCTTTTCTATTATCTTGTGTCAATATACTCGAAAATTCAAGTAAAAAAAGTCAGCTGCCCTATTCATCTTATAATCGTTTTAGAAGAAAAAATTTAAAAAAAAACTGTATAATATCATAGTTATCAATTTATTTATATATACTTTATTTATGGAAACCTGCGAATTCTTATACATCAGTGCTACTGATTCAATGCCCAAACGTGCAGTAGGCATGAAAAGATCATGGGAAGAACTAAAAAAGGAGCTAGATCGTACTGGTTCAGGTTATCCAGGTGCCGTCTACTTTAAAACTATAAGTGCTCAAGGACCACAATTATTTGCTGTAGTCAACAATGATTCAGTTTTCTATAATGATCAGGGGAAATGGCATCGATATATAACGGCATGCAATATTCAATTCGGGCGAATGGAATTCAACAGTTCAAATCCAGATCGTTCCAAAAGCGAAGATACAATCAGCCAATTAGAAACAAATGAACCAGACTGGGTTTTTATATCTCACAATGGACAAGAGTAAAATAGAATCATTCTTACTTTTGAATCAATAAACAAAATGAGATTATTATTATTCAATTGACAGAATATCATAGACAATCCTATCTAAAAGAGGAACATATTCAATTAGAACATGATCGTAGTAATCATGCTTGAAAGCTTCAGCATATTGTAAATGTAGAAAATATCCAAGATTTTTATAAATCTACGCATCAAATGTAACACCTATGTTTTGTATAGCATGATATTGAACATTCATTATCTTCTAATTGTCATTCAAGAAGAAAACAATGAAGTTTATTGTAATAGACGTCATATACCTCTTTCTTTATCGTAAACTATTAATTTGTGTCTTTTAATATCAACTCTGACATTTCTTTTTGTTGTATATATGTTTAGGAATTGTTAATTGCTGTATCACTTGATGAAACGTAAAACAAACTTAAAAAAAATGATCAGTGGGATATATTTTTATGAAAGTAAGCAATATATTGGTCGATAGAAATAAATCAAATCAGCTGTCGTGCTTCGTATCGATTTTTAGAAAAGATTGACAGTCTTGAAAAATGAAGTGATAGAAAAAGTACTTGAAATTCTTTACAAGTATATCGCCCATCATTACTCAGGACAATGATTCCTGAAGCAGTATTCCGTGAATTTCCGGCGAAAACCTACAAGAAACTCGCTGTTTCCGACCGGAACCCACCGGGAATTGCCCGGAATTCGATGCAGGAATCCGGAAACTGTATCCGGCTACCAACTGTGACAGGTTCCTGTCGATTCCGACTGGAACCGGATCCTTTCACCGGAATACTGCTTCCATGAAATCTCCGGAATACCACAGAACCGGCCGTTTCCGGGACCGGAATGTTCGACCTGGGTGATTTCATTTGATCTTACAAGATCATATAAGATCAGAGATACGATCATAGAAGATCTTACTGTCTGATTGTTTGACCTGGGCGAGTATAGTGAATACTGTTGTGTATTGGAAAAAAGATATTGTTACGATGAAAGGTTTTTCTTGAATCGATCTTTGCTTAACTGTATGAGTGGAAAGCGGCAAACTTAACTATGATGTTCAATATAAACATTGTTAATTCTATGTCGTCCATAGAGTGTGCTTGGAGCAAAACTTAATTGATCATTTCGAGACATTCTGTTTTTTGGAATCTATCTAGTGAAAAAGATTCACTATGCTGATATCATTAAAATCTGATTTTATATTCATGTATGTTTCACAATTTTAGTTTTTTTCAATTAAACGCTGCAATTTTTTCATAGAAAGAAATGAAAATTTGAAGAAATTATGATTTTCCATTGGGGAACATTTTTTTCTTCTAGAATTTTCCGAACGTCAAAACTCATAATAATTAAGATCAAAAAGGAAAATAGAGAATGATGAATGTCTAACATTTTTATGAGAAATGGTTTGTTGCATATAATTTTGAGCATAGATGTGTGCGGATGTGGGTTCATTTACATGTGAAAAGATCACCCACATCCATCAACACCAGATACCGGAAATGGAACCGGTACCGGTCGTCAAAAATCCAGACAGATCCCATCTGTGCCAGCTAGTTTTGATACTTTATGACAAATATCGTCTTATCAACCTGGATGGACTAACAATAATGATGGCTATTGAAAGAGTTATCGAGTTAGTAATGGTGGATATAATTGATTTCCAAAAGAAAGTTGATCTTATTATTATTAAAACTAACTTTTTTATATCTTTTGTTTTGTTTCTATATTTTGACTTGTTTTGTAATTTCTGTTAAAAACAATTTTTTGATAAGCAATTGATATTATTGATAAAAAAAATACCATCTGATTGAATTTATAGCAGTGAACATCAATCACAGATCAATTCATTTTTGTGATGCTTAACGACTTTCTTATATTCCGTAGAATATGAGTTTTTAGTAAGGTTTTATTTCAATGAAAGGTTATGTTTTTATTCAAAGTAGAATTTTATTCATAATTGTTTCCTAATGTTAATGAATTCGATTTGAAATATTATTTCGATAAACCATGGCTTTTATTTTAATTGAATATTCCTATACTATTCTGATTCTTCATCATAACCTGTATACATTTATATGTTCTATGCAAGATTGGAATTCTGATTCTAATTCGCTGTAAAAGCAGCGTTCTTGCTAATTGGAATGTTAAATATATCATTCAATATTGTGAGCGAGGATGAGAGCTGTATCTGAAGTGTACAAATAACGGAACTACAGTCCTGTCTGAAAAAATGTTAGTCAAAATTAATATTTCAACTTTGCCTAGACATAAATCGAACTGCAACAATGCCTAGACGAATTCGCAATTTGTCTATATTGCAATTTTTTCGACACGATATATATGTATATGTTATGCACAAAATTGGAATTGCAGAGTAGTATGGTAATTTACAAAAAAGAATAAAACAGAAATGAACATACGAAAACAAACTAGACTGCAAAGTAGACATACTCCAAATATCTTTCACACAGATCTAGTCTGATATAAATGAAATACAAGCACGAAATTTCACTCATTTATCATTAAATATTCTTATTATCCTCTTCCATCTACTTATCATAAAATTGTCACGTAGAGGTCACCTCTACTTAGTTAACAATATATATATATATATATGTATTATGTAGCTTCTACTATGGTTTGTTATTCTCTTTTCTCTTAATCTGTCTTTTTATTATGTTACATGTATCTTACTCAAATGTGACACATAAGCATCTATTACATCTCCTTTTTTCTTTTTATTCTTTCGTACATATATTTGTGAACCTATCTTGGCACCATAAAGTAAATATAAAAAAAAAGAGTAGTATTGTAATTTCGCCTATAACATATACCGCATGATTCACTTATTTTTGCTCATTTTCTTCAATTTGCTGTATTTCCACAAAACTTCAGAAGGTTTTGGTTTCTATATTCTCAGATAGAGCATCGGTTACTCTATATAAATGTATAATTTTCCTTCGATTTGTTTCATATCTTGATGAAGAAAATCAATAAATTCCCAGAAGAAGATTTAAAAAATGCTTTTTTATTGTGAAATTTAGAAATATTTTCTTTAAGTAATTTGAGCAATTGCAATGAATTGGAGGAATAAATATCTTTTGCTTTGATACAGCTAGTTAGAGAATTCAGTTCTCTATCAAAGTATTCTTTGTCAGCCAGCCTCTTTTCCAGTTTCACTGAAAATTTAGTGAATTTCTGATAAAATGTTTTCGTAAAAGTTCAGTTATTTAGTTTTGTGAGGCACCTTTTAGTCGACTAACTACTTCAAACTTTTCTATTAAGAAACAGTCAGATAAAGAAAAAATGTCTCTATTGATTCATGCAATTTTGGCCTGGTCTAGTTAGAAAGCTTTATAAGTAAACTCGACGTTGTACGATTAGCATTGAAAATTTAGTGCTGCAAACATGTACAAATTCCAACAGTGATATTGAATTTTCTTCTCAAAATCAAAACAGTCTCATTCATTACTTTGTGTAACTTTGAGTTTGCCGTATTACTGTTACTTCGAACTAAAGCAATTTTCGCAAGAATTGAATTTTGTTCAAGTGAAGTATGTTTGCGCAAAAGTTCTATTTACTTAGTTTCGGAAATTTTCTGATTTTTTTATCAAAATATAAAATAAACCAAAAGAAAACTATAAAGTCGGGTAGAGTAATAAATGCTTTATCTTATCATCTAGAAATCATAAACGTCTGAATTCTTGTAGAAATATGGCAAATTGAAGAAAGTGAGTAAAAATAAGTGAATCACGCTGTATATATATATATGAATAGTTGAACAATACTTTGCTCGTATTATTAACGATTTTTCTATTCCAAACAAATATGAATCGTTCGATAGTTAATATTATGAATCTACCGGAGCACATAATTCTTATTATTTGGAATAAATTGAATAAAGTTAACGCAGTTTATTCATTTTTAAATGTTAATAGAAGATTCGATAAACTAATACGTGATAAGGTTTATACTCGTTCTATTGAATTGCTAAAAACAAATTGTGAAGAAGAAGGCAATTGTTCAGTATCTGATCAATATTAGGTCGATTTTATTTGGATATATTACTGCAAATACACTATATTGTTAAACAACTCATTCTTGAAGCATTTTATATGAAACGGATTCTTTACGCTGGTGATTATCCTAGATTATATAAACTTACTCTTATCAATCTCACGCAGTAGTTAGCAATGCGAGCTTTGGCAGTTAGAAAATATTTTTCTTTATAAACAATATCCTATAAATAAGACATACAACAAAGCTAAATGAATAGAATATATGCTAATAGTTATTGGCTGATTTTTCACCAATTTTGTTCACTATAAATATCGCTATAATGACGATATGAGCTTCATTGTAAAACACAATTTATATATATCAAGAATCAGTTTATGATATGAAAAGCTTAAAAACACGAATGGGGTACGAGATGGCAAAATGGGGTACACTTGGCAGCCCTGACTCATGTACACTCAGCCACGTATAATCAATCACGTACCAAATAACAACTTATTTTTTATGCTCTTTAAAAAATTAAAAAGATCATTTTGCTTCTTTCATTTGAATGAAGATTTGTATACAGAAAACAATTTTCATCAATTATATTGATATTATCGATTAATCGAGTATTTTCACCAATACAATAATACATCACATCGCTTTCAGTATAGTAAATATTACCGTTATCCTCTGGAGTGTCATCATCAGCATTTGGAGTCTCAGGATCAATGCACGGAAGAAAAACAGGTGATTGATTTATTTCAAAAGAGAAAAATGAAGACGATAAAGTAGACTTCGAAGAAACTAACTCAAAATCTTGATGATGTAAATGAAATTCTCGTGATTTTTCTATTTTACCAGAAGCTGTCTCTCTTATTTGGTCAATCCATGAGCATCATCTAGATTAATTCTCATCTACATGAAAAAAAAAGTACATAAAATATGTTAAAGAAATCAAATGGTACAAGTTGTTGAGGTTGAGGGTGCCAACAT